GTCTTGCCTGAAGCAAAACACAGCAGCTACTGCAAGTCCATGAATATACCGAAGACCTGGATCACACAACGGCCTTTACTGTACCTTTACTTGAGGAAGCAGCGTGGAAACAAAATGCTGAAGGGACTTTATACCGCTTTCCTAGTATTCAGACCGCTCAAAGTGCTTCAACACTACGTGCCATCATTCAGCCGGGGATCGAACCGCCGATCCTCTGATGCGAACGACCCATGCAGGCAAATGTCTCAGAAAATCCTAGCCGAAGTATTTAGTACGTTTCATTTCCCACGTATCGTGACCCTCAACAGATCAGAACAGCAGAAACGTAAATATTTTTGCAGTATTTTCTTTGGGATTTACTTCACAAGACAGTTTTGTGTGACAAAACACGTATTAAAATATTACAGTTCATAAATATGAAAAAAAAAACTTTTAACACTACTAGTGTTAAGTCAAATTCGGAGTTGGACACAGACTTGAAGGTGCAGCAACTCTCCATCCATGACACAATGTAAGGTAAACTCTAAATAGGTCTCCAGGAAGTGTAACGTAGACTGCGGTGAGTCACGCGGGGCAGCTGACGGAGCCGACTCGAGAGCCGAGAGGGAGCGGCGGCGGCGATACAGGCATCCGCTTCCGTTTGAATTGGGACCGCCTCGGTTTGACCAGGAGGCCGTTCGCGTCCACGCAGGAATCATGTGGCATGAGAACAACGAGGTGATAAAAAAAATTTTTTTTTAAGTGTTGCTGCGCGGCACCCGCAGGCATCAATCAGGGCGTTGGCCGCCTTCTTAAGGCATTGTCAAACAAAGAAGAGCACGTCTGCGCCTTGAGAGCGAAATTAAGCAACAGCGTCTGGGCTACAGAACTGCCCCCTCGGTGAAGACGCACTGTGACGGATGACAAGGCCACAAACTGGAAAAGCTCAACCAGACGGCCGCAGGAGGTTTTAGAGGACTCAGGGGAGCTTTTGACAAAAGGGCTTTGTGGGAGTCATCAGGCATCGATGGAAGATTTCCCATCTTCAGGGCAGTATTTTATTTTGTGTTGCCCGAGATGATTACAAAGAAATGAGACCAAATAGCCTATGAAAACTTTGCTTCCAGTGTTGGGTTTAGGGGAGGGGAAGCCGGGCGGGTGGGGGGGGGGGTAAGAAGTTTTCTCTTACAACACATCAGCATAGTGACGAAGGGCTCGGGACAGAAACACAAACCCTCACTGGCGTTATGTGGGTCCTTTTGTTTGCTGCAGAAAGGATACAGTTTCAGGAAAAAGACCACGTAGGTAAAGCCGGTGATACAAATAAACCCAAGACAAATAATGACACAAATAAACCGAAAAGGCTCTGTACGTGTGTGTGTGTGTGTGCGTACGAGATCTGTGGACGGGGTAATTCGTGTTGGCGCAATGCGAGGCCGCCGCGGCCGTGCAGCAGCTTGTCTGGTAAGAGCAGCAGCCGCATTCCTGAAAGATTGATAATTACCGACTGAGAAGCTCTTCACTACAAATCTGCTGCTCCCCCCCCCCCCTCCTCTTCCTCCCCTCCTCTAGTTCTCCCTTTCACCTCCTCCCTCCCTGCCACACAGCCCTCATACAGTACAGTGGCCTCGGAGAACGAGCCATGAAAGAAAAAAAGGATAATGGCTGGCGCATGAGAGTCATTTTGAGATAAGATTATAACATTGCGCTGTGTGCACTGTGTTTTCTTTAAACGGGACATTTTACCTTTACAGAGCAAGTGGAAAAGTATGCAAAGAAAATATGAAAAATAGATAAAATGCCTATATTACATAGTATTCAAAAACATATATTTACACGTAAAGTTTATATATTTTAGAAATACATGTACTATGTGCAAGAATTTAAATTCTTATTATTATTTTAAGTCTGTCTCGATAATGATGAATATCTGAAAATGTGCTTTGATGACAATGGCATTAACAAGTGTATATCAGGAAAAGAGGGAAAAGGCCTGTTAAAGACCCCCATTGTCGAAAAACTCAGATGTTCGTGATGGTTGTTTTGCTTGAAAAATACCTGACCAACTGATAATGACAAACCTGTATTGATTAATTACCTGTGAACTGATCAATTTATTGAGTGATTGCTTCAGCGCTAACACTTTGAGCTGCTGATATAGAGGTCTCACTGGTATGTGAGATGAATGGACCTTCTCACTGAGCCCCTGCAGTCCCAGTTTCCACTGTTTCCTTCTTTGATTCTTTCCAGAAACCGGACAGAGCAACAATGCATATTTTTACTTTTCTGAAGTGGTTTTGGAGGCGGGGCCCTGCAGAGAGGCTTGTTTGCTTTGTGCTTCCAGGGGTTGCCAGGGGTCTGCGCCTGGACTGCTGCCACTGTGGAGCTGAAGACCCCTGAGCTGACGAGTCAGCCGGGGGAGAAAAAAAAGAAAGTGTTGTGCAGCAGTGGCGACCAGCTCACAGCGAAGGCAAACGCAGCCGGACAAAAGGGTTTGAAATACATTCTGGCATCTTAGTGAGTCGGCTCTAAAAAAAAAAAAAATGTAAAAATAAAAAACTCTGGAGCTGCTTTGAAATCTGTCGAACATTCAGTTCAACGAAGAAAAATGTTCTTTGTTTGGACCAGACTTTAGATCAAACAAAAAGAATTCTAGGATATAAGAGCCTTCGAAAAATCACTCTTGACCAACAGCTATTGATTTCATTTATCAGGAGTATTGATAAGGACTAACCGATGACTTACGCTCATCAGCCAGTCCTCGTCTTTACCGGCACAATGCGTCCCACTCAGCAGGAGGGTTTCCCGCCAGTGCGCACACACACACACACACACACACACACACACACACACACAGCAGCTTTCCCCCGTTGAGCTGCCACTTCCTCACAGATGGATGAACACCGTAAACGACTGAATGGTGGAACCCACCTTCCTGCACCATCTCCTGACCACACAACGCACCGTCATGCTGTCCTTCCGGGGACCTCCTAACGTCCATCCCTCATCTCTCACTGCTTCCATGTTATCGCGCAGTCCCTCCCTTTGATCTCCCCCTGAATGGACCAGGCTGTTCCTCTAACTGCTTACCTAACACACCTGTAATCACCATGGGTACAAGCCCCGGCTTGGCAGGCTGGCAAGGAGGGAGCACCGGTACGCGGCACGCCTTTGCTAAACAAATGCCTCAGCCTCACCTTCCAGCGGGTACAAGCGGTGAACTCGGAGCTGGGAGGGGAGATAATATGCTTCCATCCACACTCCATTACCAGAAGTGCTGCAGAAGGGGTTTTTTGTTTTAGAAAAGTTTGGATTTGGAGCGTCCAGTCCAAAGTGAGAGGTGGAGACCCTTAAGAGAGGTGGTCCTCAAGCTCTGTTGGGTCAACCAACAAGCAGTGGGTCTCATGGGTTGGCAAAAATGAAACTAAGTGTCGGAGCAGCGCGCTGAAGACATTTGCTGCTGGGTCAGTGACGAGGGGAAAAAAACAAACACAATAGTGTTCATTGTCATCAGCTGTGAGAAGCACTGTAGGTCTTAAATTACCTATTGCTTAGGATCCCTTAAGGGCAAGCAAAGCAAATCTCCCACACCTAGTTTTTCCATGCATGTACTCAACCTGGATCATCTGCCGACCATTTAAACCTCACGTTATCTGATCACAGTGGTTCTTTATGGGGACAATTTTCTTCATTTTAAAGACTGATCTGATAGTTTCCTTGTATTGAAGCAAAGGCAGTAAACTAATCAGACCGCACCTTCAATTAAATGTACTGAGATCCTTAAACGTCGATGAATCAATCTTGGGGACTTTTTAAAAGTCCACTAAACTTTATTCTATTATTTTCCACGCTAAAACATGGGGCCCAATTCAAACATATACAAGGGTATAAAAAAAAGCACTTTTCTGACCAAACTCTAAAGGCTATAAAGACAGAAAAAAACCCAAAATGTTTCTCCTACCTTAACGAACTTGTACGAGGCAGAAGGTTCGGTTCACCCTCTCTCCATTTGAAGCGTCTCCCTGCTGCGTCCTTTTCTCTCCAACTCAAAACTTTCCGCGTCCGGAGGGAAACTTCAGGTGAACCATTTCCTTGAAAAAGGCAGTTGAAGGGAAGCGATTGGAGGTCGGGATGTGATCGCGCCCGCCGGGTTCGAGCCCCGTTGTGCCGTGTGGACGTGGGCTGGACTGACGTCTCCCACTGCTGTCGGGCTGTGCGGACACTCCGGTGGACCGGCGAGGGGGAAGTGGGGGAAAAGATTGCCGTCGACGCGCGTCCCCAACCTGGAGGAGGCAGCGCGCGCACAGGTGAGTGTAGTGAGGACATCTGGCGGTAAGATGCCGCAATAACAGGCAGCGCGCGGCAGGACGACGGTCTGGATGTATGTGACAAGGAATGGCAACACCTCGTGACGGAAAGAATACGAAATAACTTATGCATAAAATGGCATAATTTAAGTAAAAAACAAAGTATATGATTTGACATGTTATGTGATTGTAAACCATTCTCCTTTGTTTGCGTTTAAAATCAAGCCTGCATGTGACAGTTGTTTAAATATTATATCCCATACAAAGATCAGTTAATCCCTCAGCATCGCTTACAAATTTAAAATCAACATTATTTGAATAAAGAACGTTTAGTTAAATGGTAAAAAAATGGCTCAATTATGTAATTAATGATGCAGTCATGCCATTAAAGGTGCTTTGGATAAACTTACTCTTTTACTGTATTTGTTCATGTGGGATATGATATACACAAAATATAAATTTATTCAAGAAAATAATCTCAGAAAATTTCCTCCTTTATGACCCCCCCCCCCCCCCTTAGCTTTCCTTGTCTGTGTTTGTTTGTTTCTATTTGTGAGTGAGGAACTTAAGAAGCATCATGCAAAATGTCAAACAAATTAAATTCAGGGCAGCTGAGCTCAAGAAGCTATTAAAAGAAAAGGCCTGCTGATGTTTCCTCCTCTGCAAGTGCAGAATGAGGCTAAAAGGTAGAGAAAACTCTACACACTTTAAGTCATGCGGCTGCTGAGATGCACATGAAAACAGCTGTGTAAATATATCTCTCTCTCTGGCTCCCAGGCTGGTTCAGACATGTGTTGATGCATCCGGAGTATGTGGACCGCTCGGCCCTCGGCACTGACACCGTTTGTGATCCCCCTTGGGGGGGTATGAGAGTCTTGCATAGAGTTTCCCCCCAATGCCCTCAGCTTTATTAATACACACAAAGTTTACCTCTGTTTTGCTGGAGACGGACACACTGCAGAGCTCCTTAAAGTAAACAGAAAACTGCTTTGGTGTCTGGACTGTCCTCTCCATACAAAGTAAGTACAATAAGAACGGGTACAGATCGGTTTAAGATTTAGATTTTCCCAATGAGTGGGATCTTTAACCATGATTAAATTAACATGAAATGACTTTGTTATACAAAAGAACCGAAAAGGAATGAGTAGATTAGTGTGTTTTTAAAACCAATCAATTATCGCTGCGGGTCATGTGATTAATGGCTGTGCGCTCCTCTCTTCTTGACAATCAATCATTAACAGAAATTGAGGGAAACATGACATCTGAGGACTCACACGTGGGACCCGTTGACAGCAGCCGTGCTGACTGCGACACAGAGACAATCCCTCCCCTGGACGAGCGCGCACCACATCCCTCCCCACCGACGGGTGAGACGGTCATGGACCACCTGGGGCGGCTTTTCGACCACCGCGTCCAGCAAGTGTCCCGCCTGGAGACGCAGAGGAACGAGCTGACACAGGAGCTCCTCCGCCTGCGGGAGCCCTTCCACAGAGTCGTGGGGCACCTGAGGGGGAAGCTGGTGGAGACCCACAGGCTGCTCGCGCTGGCTCAACTAGATCACGTGGCCGTTTCTGAGGACGTGAGGGAGGCGAAGAGGAGACTGTTCGCCGCGGCCAGAGGATGCATCCAGAGCCAGGTGACGCTGGCTGAACGCGAGTACGAGGTGGCTCAGTCGGCTGTCACACAGGTACAGGAACCACTGGGTCGACGGTGCCCGGAGGGGGTGGCTGGCAGGTGTCGGGTTAAGATGTCGTCTCCATCACGTCATCTACCGCATCTAATTCGTTCTGATCTAAAACTGTCCCAATGAGACACGTGGTTCTGCAGCAGATTCTTAAACCAGCATCCCATAAAACAGTCGCTTCGTGCAACAAACAGCGGTGAATAATGTGTGAGGGTGATGTAAGGCGGCGGGAAACAAATGAAGAAATAAAAATGAATCATTCATGTACATTTCGTTAAAGCAACATTGCCTCTATTGCAATAAAGCATGAATATATATCATGTATATATCAATATACATATCAATATGTTGTGCACCCATGACAAAGCGCAAAAGTGGTGAAAACTTTCCCTATATATCAATAGAGTACGAATATAATTGGCACATTGAATGAGAGAAGGTCGGTAAAAACAAGCACCATCTCATTAAAGTTTTGGATTTATGGTTAAACTATTGTGAGGAAATAAAATTAAACTTTAACATATATTTTTTTTAATTAGAATACATATTACGTTTGAACAGAATGTCATGTTAGACAAAAAGGTAGACGTTTGTAAGATGTTGAATTTTACTCATATCAGTAGATTTGCTTCACCAGTAAAGCAAATCATCAAAAATTCATCCTCAGGAGGAGCTCAAGGCCCACATCCACAGTCTGACCCAGGAGTCGTCCCAGCTCCAGAAGGCCCAGAAGAAGCAGCTTGCGGCGCTGAGGGACCAGGCCTCCAGGCCCCGCAGGCCGAGGGCGGCGAGCGACGTCAGCCACTGCCGGCAGGCTTCTGCCAGGCTGCAGCGGCGGCTCAGCGGCAGCGTGAAGGCCCTGGAGTGCTGGTACGAGCCTCGGCTCATCTCCCTGCTGAAGAGAAGACAGGTCGGGGAGGAGTCCTTGAGGAAGAGCAGGGAGCAGGCCGTGGACCTGAGGGCCAGCGTGGGGCCCCTGAGGGAGGCCACGCGGGGACTGGAGGTGCAGAGAGCCTGTCTGCAGCAGAGGCTCTCTCTGGTGGAGAGGGAGGGGGAGGAGAGCGCCGCACGGCACAAGGTGATGCTAAGGTCAAATATGAAATGGACGAAGGGCGTTTGGTAAAAAGACGACCAACTCGAGATGTTTCTCCATTCTGCAGGAGACGGTGGAGAAACTAAAGGAGACCCTGAGAGAACTAGAACTGGAGTTTGAGGTTCAAAGAAAGTCAAAGGAAATTCTGGAGGAGTGTAATGACGGCATTTTGAAAGAGCTGACATTTCTGAGGTAAGTTCACTTTGAACCCTCCGCTGCGTAATTTACCGAGAATCAGGAACCTTCTCATGACTGACATGTAGCTTGTTTTTTTAGATGCTGTGATGAACCCATCGAAACCACTCAAGATCATCCTTAAAATTGTTTTTTGTAAATCGTCATACAATTTGTATTGACTGAATACATGATAGAAATTGATATAGGATTCAGTATGAATTAACATAACAGAATTTGCTCTTAAATATCCTCAAACTTAACATCTGGCATACTGTGCAAAGAAGAAAAGCATCAGATTTAATGTAAATATTTTATTATGAATTTATGAAGTAGACAAGAGATCAAAAGTAGAAGAGAAAAAACACAATAAAATACAGGAAAAACACACAAAAGTGACAGACAGAATCTGGAAAGGTGTATAATATCAATATCAAGCAAATACGATAACCCTACAATATGTACAATTTTAATAAAAATGGATCATTGTAGAAATGTGTTCAGCACAAGTGAACAGGATGGAAAAAAAGTAAAGCCATCCAAAAGAAAAACCTGAACGATGAAGACATCTGTGAAGAATTCATCACAAGCCAGAGTTTAGTACAGGGAGTTCTATAACTAATACGAGCTAAAAGTATGATCAATACAGACTAAATTGAAATACTTCAGGACAAGATGACAAAGCAGGTTTTTTTCTTTTAACGTCCTCCAAAAAAAAAAAAAAAACCTTGCTGCCCAGAATGTATTTGAAAAAAAGAGATTACTGCTTAGATTACAGCGCTGGACAAAGAATCGGTTTTCAAAAAGCAGGTGGAAAGAAGAGATGACGAGACCGGACTCATGTCTGGACCTCGCTGTCTGCAGCACCTTCTGGGTCTTCGTCGTTGTAGATGTTTTCAGCCTGTAGAGGAAACAATTCAAAAGTAAATCCCCCGTCACTGATATTCAACGTTAGTAAAAGATGCTCTTTGAAATTCTACCCGCGTCGTGTCTGACATCCGCAGCTCTACACGACCTCCACAACCCCGGAAGTGCAGAAACGAGGCTCTTACCATTTGCCAAACCTGCATGATGTTGTCCTCTGATACAGAGCAGATGACCCACGGCTCGTTGGGGTTCCAAGAGAAGTCGGAGATCTTCGCCGTGTGTCCGCCATGGATGAACTGTAGAGAAGCGGAGCCGGAGGGATCACTACAGCACTTTACATTTTAAATCCTTCTGCTAACCTACAAAGCACCAATTGCACGGTCATATCTTAAAAGGCAACAGAAAGCACATGGAGTTGGACTGACCAGCAGCTCCGGAGGGCCATCCTCGGCGTCCTCGGGGGATTGCTCCTCTCCGATCTTACTGAGGTCCCAGACGTTGAGCCTCCGGTCGGTGCCGCTGGAAGCCAGGATGGTTTCGTTGTGAGGAGACCACTGCACCTGTGGAGAAGAGATGGGACAGATGTTGCGTTTCTGCCACAAGGAGCTCAACGCTGTCTCCCAGAAAGCCACGATCAACAACACCAAAACTCGGTTTGCTACGGCTCTTATGAACCGTATAGCAGCATAGCAGCCGGTCAGTGACCATCAGAAGACAGACTCATTACCAGTTTTATTTGTAGCTTTGTTTGCCAACGCAACTCCACTTTCTCCACATCTTTCGGGTGAATTTAATGGAACCAAAAAGGAACATTTCTTACCTGGAAGATCTCGTCCTTGTGAGACTCAAACGAGTGCAGCTTCAGTTTCAAATTCCTGAGGTCCCAAAGAGCCACAGTCTAAAAAGAAAAGCAGAAGCTCCAGCTCAACTAGGAAGAAACTTAAACAAGAGCCTACTCTACTCCCCCACCCCCCTGACAGCGGACCCACCTTATCTGCAGATCCACTGGCCAGGATAAATTCACTGTAGGGGTTGAAGGACAAGCAGTTGACCTCAGCGGTGTGGGCGTCCACGGCGTGGCTGGGCTTGGAGGTGTTGTTGGACCGTGTGTCCCAGCTGCGCCGAAGCAAACAAAAGCACACAACTCATTAAAAAAAAAAAAAGAAGAATGAAACTGAACGACAACTCTTTCATGGCCAGTTACTCACATCATGAGTTTCTGGTCATCGGCCACGGAGCCAAAGAGCGACTCGTGGAGCAGGTGCCAGGAGACGTCCTCCACCACGGCGGTGTGGCCCGTGAAGATGGTCTTGGCGTCCACTATCTTTCCTTCCTTTGGCACCGCGCTGATGTCCCATAGGCAGATCGTCTGTAAAACAGCACAGACGGTTGAGACAACGTGTTAACGAGTTCAAAATGCTTATTTTAGTTGAAACACCAGGGTTGTGACCGGTTGCTCACGTGGTCGTCTGAAGCACTGAGGAGGCAGCCGCTGAGGTTCGGGTTCCAGGAGAGGCCGTAGCCCTCCTTCTGGTGGCCTCGCAACCGCAGATCTGGGGTGCATTCTCCAGAGGGGTCTTTAATATGTAGATAAAATCGTGTTTAACAGGGAACAGAAATGTGCAGAAGGGAGCATGTGGGGTTTTGGCTGAAGTCCTACCGGGTTTTGAGGGATGCTTCGTGTAATCAAAGACCAGCACGTCGCTGGTGGGGGTCTTTGTGGCAATGATGCAGGGATTCTGAGGCATGTAGCGGGCTCTGTTCACTTCACCCTCGTGGTTGATCTTGATCTCAATCTCAATCTTCCCGCTTACGGATCCAAAGCCTCCGAACTCTGAAATAAAGAACAGTTGAATCGGATGGTTGAGCAGCTATCAAATGAGATTCTGGTCTCTGGTGAATTCTACATACATATGGTTTATTGCATTTCCAAAAAAAGAAAAAAAGAAAAATTGAAAACACGTACCCATATTTTCTGAAGCATTAAAGATTTTAGAAAACTTTAAATGTATTCATTCATTGAGAAGAACTGTGAGCCACAAAATCCAAAAAAAGAACTTGAAGACATTTTGACAACACTGAATAACTAACATTGAACATATTGAAATATCGCAATGACCTAACAATGGCAAATGATTTGTTAATCTACGCGATTTTGAAGTGGACCTGATTGTACATGTCGTTCCCATTTGACAAACTTTACCCATCAAGCCATTAATCTTTCTTAATATACAGCTGGACACTTTGCACGACAGTCTAGTTTTGAACACGACACAACCTTCCATGCACACAGGATTTCCTCACCTCCTTTCTCGCTGTCATAGTGCGACGCGTCGAACTGGGCGTCATCATTGGGCAGCTGAACGCTGGCAATTACGATGTGATTCTGCTCGTCGGACGTGTGCGTTCCCAAGACCAGCCGGTGCACGCTGTAGTCCTTCCCCTCGGGTCTGTCAAGAAGAAGGAGGATGCAGCACTTCAAACAACGGGTCACACGTGGATTCATTCAAAACTACACGATAGCTCTTTTCGGTGGTTTTGGTGCAGGACCCCGCTCACCTGGTGACATCGGGCAGCCACTGGGCAGTGAGGCTGGGCCACTCCAGGGCGTGAGTCATGACCAGGTCATAGAGGAAAGGGGTGTTCTTCTTCCAGATCTTGTACTCCTCATTGATCACCCTTTCCTCCACAGCATCGTCAAACGCAGCTGCAAAAGTAACATCCACCGATAACAGAACAGAGGTACTGAAGTGACAGTCAAGTCAAACCCAACTCAGAAAAGTCCCTCTTTTTTGAAAGCAGTAAGGTTTATTGTGCAAATAAGAGTAGGTCAACTCCTGTTTTATTTTGTTCGATGTGAGAGTACACGATCATTATCAGCCCTTGGTGGTGGGGGATACGTCATTCCAAGCGAATGTGAATTAAAACGCCTGCTCAGCCAGCCTGCTAGCTACTAATGCTAGCTAACAGCTAGCTCGCTGGTCGGTAACAATGAAAGGTGATTCTGGCTGGCGCGCCAACGCCGGTTCCTGCTCACTGGTGGTTTTCTGACGGTTCTGGACGACACGCGCACACACATATTTAACCTGCTAAGTAGCCAGAAAAGTGAACGCCCTTACCATCTTTGTCGGCCATCGTCTCGTGGTTGGACCACTACTTCTGGCGAAGGGTAGAAACGATATTTTGGAGAACACTCGGTAAGACAGAGCGAAGGCTTGCAATGGCGCCAACGGTATAGAAGAGCGTTGACCAATCAGCGTTGACCAAATACTGACAGGAAGTCGTCACCGCAGCAGAGTTCTTCATCCGGAACGCCCCCTTGAGGTACATGTAGCGGTGCGGTGGTAGGTGGGTGTGATACGCAGACATGGTAGCATTTGTTTTGGGTCCTCTTTTACAGCGTTGAACGAAGGTACAGTCGTCATGAACGACCGTGAGCTGGACCTGACGGCGGCACAGAAAGCGACTAAGTCAAAATACCCTCCAATCAACAAGAAGTATGAATGTAAGTCTGATGTTATGACAATTAGCTTAGCGTAGCTAGCTTAGCTCGTTGAACGTTACTTACGTCAACTCGTGAACACTTGTTTTAAAGTCCAAAACCGCGTATGTGCTTTGAAGCGACTATTGTCACATCAATCCAGCTGTCACCAGCTCGTCTGACAGCAAGCCTCATTATGCCACCTTGTGTTTTACTATCACAGACCTGGATCACACGGCAGATGTACAGTGAGTGTGTTTCAATATCTTGGCGTGAACGCGCACGTGTGTCTCTGTTGTTCGGTCCCCGTCACATTTGCTGATCTCTCTTCCAAGAATTCACTCTTGGGGAAACGATCTCGAGGAGGCCTTCGAGCAGTGTGCCATGGGCATGTTTGGCTACATGACGGACACGGAGACGGTGGAGCCGATCGATACTGTTGAAGTGGAATCGGAGGGTGAGAGCAGAATCCATCAACCTTTTCTATACATCCGAGTTACCTGTCATGATGCTTTCAGATCACCGGCACTAAACCTCTATTTCATCTTCCCTTCTGCAAAGGAGACGACATGGAGTCTCTTCTTTTCCACTTCCTGGATGACTGGTTGTACAAGTTTAGTGCAGAGCTCTTCTTTGTTCCCAGGGTGAGTGTGTGTGTATATATATTTGGTAGTGGAAATGTTTACATGTTGTATCAAAGCATCTAGCGGAAGAACTAACACAGATTTATTCAACCCTGCCACAACAGGGAGACTTGAATAGTTATGCATAGTTTACATTATTTTCTTAATGTTTATATCTTCATAATAATTTATTTGTATTTTCCTATGTTATTATCCTGATACAATAAGTTGTTACATCTATCCACTAGGAGGTAAAAGTTCTGCACATAGACAGAATGCACTTCAAGATCCGCTCCATTGGGTAAGTTGGGTTGCCTCTATATAATAAAGGTTATAAAAGGACAGGGATGGGGAAGTTTAACTCCAGATTTTTAAAACCTACCTAGTTCTCCTCTCAATTATCGTCTTGGTTACCCTCTATCTAATTTGTGTTTTCCTCTAGTTTTTTTTTCTATTTTATTCATCTCTTCCGAGCTGCTCTCTCATACGATTGTCTTTCTTTTATTAATTAAAGTTGGGGTGAAGAATTCTCTCTGGTAAAACATCCACAGGTAGGTAAAACGTCGCTGTAGAACAGCCCATTTTTTCAGATTATAATTCTGTATATAATAAAGTGATTAACTACATATACATAATGTTTATAATGCATTACAAAATATACATAAATGCTGGGTTTTTCTTATGTCTTCTTTTGTAAATCCAGGGAACTGAGGTGAAAGCCATCACATACTCCGCAATGCAGATCCACGATATTGACAAACCAGAGATATTTGCCATCATTGATATTTGACAATACCAGTCAAACCGCACTCCTGGTTCAATGAAACAGAAAATTCTACTTAGCCGATTTAAGTGGCCTTTTATCTAAAGCACTGTTTCCTGAATGATCAAATCTGGTTTTGTATTTCAAAAGCAAATTGTTTACAAACAGCAATCATTTCCCAACACATAATGTTGGCTCTTTTCATACAGTTAATACTGAAAAGTCAAACTAATTAAGAACAATGCAACGTTTTTGACAAATTTTGTCAACCAGGTTTTACTCTTACTGCTTTTGCAAATTTTTATTTATAGCACATTTGACATGAATTGTGTTAATGCAACATTGTAAATAAATCTACATATTTTTCTTCTGTGGGGTTGATTTTAATGGTTGGTACTTTAAAATAAAATCTTGCTTTCGAATGATTTTTGGGTGCTTGGTCATTATGGAGGACAACATTGAATGAGTTTTGTAGTGCTTTGTGCATCAAGCACAAATGAATAATTATTGTGTACTGATTGTATCCTCAATTCAAATGTGTCACAGCTGCTCCTGGGTTTTGTTAGTGCCCTTATGATATTCATTGTACCTCTAATACCTAATATTAAAACACATTAATAAGACCAGATTTTTTTAACTTCATATTCAGTTGGAATAGAACAGTAAGACTGGATAATCGTGACCTTTATAGATAGAGGAGGACACTTTTAAAAACAGTGTTGACTGAATAATCTGTGGCAGTTTCTACAAGCTGTTCTATAGAAATAGAGTACAGCGAAGTGCAAGCTGCATTATTTATGGCATTTACAATAGATGTGGTTAAATTAAAGCTTCACACTTTGATGTCCATCTCAACTAATCTCTTGACATGGATCAAATGTGAGAACATTAGAAGCAAATTAGAAATAATAAACAATGGCATCGTAAATGATTCTTTATTGCAACAACTTTAACGCAACCGTTTTACACCCCCGTTGTCTTTGCAATGGAAGGCTTCTAACAGTATTCAGCATTGACGGAAGATGATACGAAGACAATATTTCCTACAACGAACAGCAGGAGGCCGTTGAATCCACGACGAATATGCCGCTCTCTCCCGCAGACGCAACGTTATATCTACGGACTCTCCCTCCCGGCATCCCCGGCGGCGGTGACGTCACCGCCCCCCCCTGCCGCGTCCCTCCGCCCACCGCGCGCTGAAATGCAGCTGCGCCATTGCTCCTTTGTCCATTGGAGAGAGCAGCGCGCCTCGCAGAACGGAAAAAAGACAGCCGGCCGTCCTGCAAAACTCCGCCGTGTATCGCGCCGCAGTTGTTGTCTTTTTCTCCTCCGCGAAACGCAGCGGGTGCTTCGGTTTTTTTAATCCGGCCGCGCGCTTCGGAGTTTTTTTTCCTTCTTTTTTAAGATTTTTTTTTTGTTGAATCCATCGTAGAGGCGAATCCACAAAGGAGGGGGGGACAAAAATCAAAATGGAAGACACTAAATACCTCCCGGAGCTGCTGGCTGAGAAGGACAGCTTGGATTCGTCGTTCACGCACGCGACGAAACTCATCTCCGCAGGTAAAGTGAGCGAGAGCTTTCGACGCGAGAATGGCGAGAGGCCCGGCGTCGTTCTGCCCTAAACAAGTGGCCCGCACAATGGCGTAATGGACACGTGGTTGTGCGAGATGTGGGTCACACTCTGCTGTTTGAAAAATGTAATGTTTTGTTTTTAAGGTTTCGCGTTAACGCTCGAATAATTGATTTTAAATCGATGAAAGCGGCGCTAAACATCATCGCAAATACATTATATTTTTTGCAGTTCCTCGTGCATCGTCATTGCATTTTGGGGAGGAAAAAAAACTGTCTTTCTTGTCTACAGAAATTGAGAGGATTCAGAAAGGTGAAACAAAGAAAGAGCCAGAGAAGGAAACGTATCTGGACCTGTTTACCACCAAGAACCTCAAACTGAAGGAGCGGGTGCTCATCCCTACCAAGCAGTACCCCCGGGTAAGCGTTCGAGTCCCCGTGCTGGGTGTTGAGAATTGGCCCATTTGAGCTAAAATGAGCCACATGAAGATATGCATAATCCTGCACCGTCTCACAGGATTAAAGTAGTCTAAAGACCTGTTTGTGCATAATGCATTAATAAACTGTTTTTAGAATAAAGGACTTTGGGAGGCCTTGGGGTTGACTCACCCGATTTCCTTTTGGGAATTGCTACATATCCTTACTTACTGTTTCGCGATGATGTAATGCTATAATTAAATTGCAATGTCTCCTGCAGGTCAACTTTGTTGGTAAGCTATTGGGGCCACAGGGGAGCACAATCAAGAGACTCCAGGAAGAGACCGGTGCAAAGATTTCCGTTCTGGGTAAAGGCTCCATGAGAGACAAGAACAAGGTTGGAACCTTTTCCCTGCTGCACGATTCAAAAGGATGCTACCTGGTATCCCAAAGTGTTGTAACCTAATTTCTATTTCGTTCTCAGGAGGAAGAGTTGAGGAAGGGCGGTGAGGCCAAATATGCTCACTTGTCCATGGAGCTGCATGTGTTCATTGAGGTGATGGCACCCATTCCAGAGGCCTACATGCGCATGGCTCATGCCATGGAGGAGGTCAAGAAGTTCCTTATCCCGGTAAGTTCCCAGGGGAGCGGTTCACGACCCAGTTCCATTGACGTGGTGCATTGACGGTTGCCATGGGAACGAACATACTTTGCATTGGATGATTTTTTTTCATGCTTGCATTAGAATCACAAATGAACAGTTAATCTTTTGTACGTATCGTGCTGCAGGTGTGAACGTGGCACAGTTTTGGCTGTGGCATGAACATGCTAATTGACATGTTGGGATCTTTTGTAGGAGCCCGGTGAACATGACCCGTACATGGATCCCCACTTCCTAAACGGATCCCAGGATGGAAGCAGGGGACGGGGCGGTCACCTCGGGAGGGGGAGGGGTGGACCCCCTGGTAGTGGAGGGCCAAGGTAGGAACGTGTCACTTTTTTTTTTTTTTGGTGGTGCTAGTTTTGAGGCTCTGCGTTTACAGTTTGTTAAATTCTACAACCTGGTTGACTGTCCACAGGGGGCGAGGGATGCCACGCGGGGCTCCCCGGGGATCAATGCGCGGCGGAGGCCCGCGAGGGGGCTTAGGCCGCGGCAACGGCCATCGAGGTGCCCCATCCGGTAGGGGCGGACCGCCCTCTGCTCCCAATAGAGGAGGCTCCGCTCCCCGCTCTAGACCGCCTGCAGCTGGGGCTCCGAGGATGCTCCCCTCTGCAGCCATGTCCCATCAAGGTCCTCCCTCTACATCACAGTCCAAAACCGATGGCTATGAGGACTACGTAAGTTGATGCTAATCTAATTGCTTGACCATGATGATCTTATTAGGTGCAATGTGGGTACCTTGGGTTGCATTACTAGTGACACACTTAACATTGACTAACTTAATTTGTTGCCATTTTAGCCTGCCTATGAGGAGCAGTATGCAGAGCCTACCTACGAAGGATATGAAAACTATTACAATCAGCAACCTGCCCCTGCGTAAGTCAAAATGAAATTGGGTCCCTCTACCTGCCCACTAACTATGACGATATAAATACCATACTCGCACTATTCTACTGCCCACAGGGATACTGAGTATTATGATTATGGACATGGAGAGGCCCAGGAAACCCCGTATGAGCCCTATGGTAAGATGATCTTGTTTTTGCAGCATGCACTCACTCACTGAGGACACTTTTTGGAGGGTTGGGTTGTTTACCTCACTGATGATTTTCGTGTGTGTGTGTGTGTGTGTGTGTCTCTGTCTTTACAGCTCAGGATGAGTGGGACAACTCATGGTCCAGCTCCGGTGCCGGAGGCAAGACCACCGCCCCCAGGCAGTCGAAGGGAACGTATAGAGAGCATCCCTACGGAAGATACTGAACGGCTACTGGTAGAGAGTTGCTATGGCAACTGTCTCCGATTGTAACTCACTGAACGTTTCAAAAAGTAATTCCCCTTTCGTTTGTTCCCTTTTTTTATGGTTTATTTTATTTTTTTATTTTTTAAACCCGGTAGATGTTTTGTTGGCTGTATCATAGTGCAAGAGGAGAAACGTGAAGACGGTTTTTCGTTGTTTACCTGTTTCCATTTAATGTTTGTTTCAGTTGGGTAGTTGGCAGGTCCTAGTGACATAACCCTAACAAAGAAAACAGAGTAACCTTTTAATGATTTATCGTTTAAGTTAATTGCGTCTGAACAAAATGTGACTATGGCGATAAATTCTTCTCACGTGGGCTGCATTCTAAAAGTCCTTCGTGACTGGACAAAAGCGATTCCCAATGCCTCAATGTAACTTTACTTTAACCGATGTAGTCACAAACTCAAATACAGCCCTGAGCCGTTTTGATAAATAAGTCTTATCTTAGATTTGTTTACACTGCAATATAACTCAAGTGTGTGAAGTTATAGAGTATCCTAAAATACTATTGAAATCAATTTGGCAAAGAAAAGTATATTTGCTTCACTTTACAATTGATTTATTGTGATCTGACTATTACTTGCGAAATCAACGTTGATCGACTAATTCTTGGAAAGCCTGAAGGATTAACAATCCTTACTATGTGAGAGGAAGGCAGCAGCCAACTCAATATTTTGTACATAACCTTAGAAAAACTGTGTATGCTTTAAGCCGTATCGTCTCCAAAATGCATAATGCCTGTGTTCCTTTTGGCTAAATAGGATACTAAATATATCCCCAAATGTTTTTCTGCAGTGCGTGTTTCAATAAAGTTTCTAGTTTCTTTTTAATCAAACTAAACATGGTATTTTGCCTTTGTTGTACCAAAGGAATGCCTTCAGTTTGTGAAAGTGGTCCTGAGGGTTTCTCAACAACGCTGAATAAGCTGTATGTATACACAAAAAAAAAAAAAACCCAAAACAAAAGCAGTGCTCTGACATGGAGCTTATCCTCTTCGTCTGTTTTTCAAAACTTATCTAAATGACACATGTAATGTCGCCTTCAAAACAAATAAAAAAAGCTCATTCCTTGAGGTAATGTGCGGCCAAATATGTTTGAACTGAGAATGATGTAGTGCTTGAACATTGATTGTCATTAACCTTCAATTAGTGTATCTATTCAAGCTCTCAAGAGAGCAATGTATCTTCAGCCACTTGAAATAACTGAATTTCAACAGTATTTCAAATCAAGCTTGCAGGGATCTTACTTGACTTTGATGCAAAGTCATGCTGGCTGGTTTTTATAAAAGAAAAAAATCGCAGAGGAGAGGATTCTAAAAGCCTAAAGATCGCCGCAAGAAGGTAAAACTAACCCCAACACTCATTTATTAGATTTTTTTTTGTTTTGTTTTTTTTGTTTTCTGTGCAAAACATCAAGTAATGAAAGTCATCCAAAACATATCCAAAACATTGAAGTACAAAATTATGCTATCTGTAGTTATTTCCGAGCAAAATAAGCCGTACAAAACAACCAGAAATGGTTGTGATGCAACTCTTGCTCAAATAAAACCAATAATGGTCCATTCATTTCACTCAATACTTATCAATTTCCATCTTGATAATTTCTGTAGAATGTAGATTAATGAAAATTAGTAGTTTCACTCAAAACGTTAAAACTTCCCATTGGTGGACAAAACCTTTCAGCTTGAGTTGCATGATACTTTTTTTTTTTAGTCTAAAGTTGGTTTTGCATGTGTGTTACTCACTGCAGAAAGTCGCTGTGCTTTCCAAGATCTAATTTCTGTTTCTCTTTTTAGGTTGTCAGAAAGACTGTAGGTGCAGTTGACACATTGATCTCCAGTTTACCAGGATTTTTATGGTCAGTTGGAAGTTACTGCATGCAAGTGTTTGCCTTCAACTGTGCTGTGAGCATTGAACATTTTCTTTTCTTCTTCCGACAGGTCCATTGAAAGTCCCTGGATCGAGCGGGGCCTTGCTGTGTCGCTGACTGCTTGGTCAATACTGTCCCTTCAAGGGATTTGTAGGTTTTTAAAAAGAAAAATACTAAGGATCTGATCATGTGGAATTTTAATGTTGTTTTTTTTTTACATTTTTTATTTTAATGTGTCCAGTTATTCATTTTTACATACAATTTTTTTACTGCATTTTTATTAAAAAAATAGTCAAAAAAATGACTTGTTTCCTACTTTTTTGGTCACCATAAACAGCCATGTCACGTCAGAGCGATGGTTGTCGTGCACATCTTGAATTTGCATCAGTTCTATTATGACGTCACTGTTTTATCAAAGACAAAACCACTGTAGTCTTGAATTTGCAGAACCGTATGTGTATACGGTCACGTACGCGTACATGGAATTTGACTTGTTACACATGCACTCAATTACAAAAAACAGTCCACACAAAAAGTTAATAAACTGTTAATTAAGAAAAGGGGAAAACGCGTTTAATTAACTGCACAATTATAGTTAATTAAAAGTATCAATACACACTGTGTATTGATACTCCACTGAATGTGATAGTGTATTTTAGCCCAGATAATGTAACGCGTGTAGTCGCATTGCTGTGCTGGTCTGAATATCTGTGTATTGTCCCTTTAACGGACTCTCCTCCCTCATGTCGCTCCCGGATCCGCGCCCCCGTCTGCTAGCGGCTACTTTCACATCAACAATGACTCTCTTCGCCGATTTCAATGGAAAACACGCCAGTATTTCAACCGATATCTTGAAAATGCATCGTGTTTAACTGCAACGGCGGCTTCTGCGGCGGATAACGGAGCCTGCCTCCGGTAAGCTTGCATTTAGCGGTGCAGCCGGTTTGGTAGGTTGGTTTGGCAGCTAACTAGCTAACAAGCTAGCTAACCAGCTAGCTAGCTAGCTAGTTAGACACACCGCTAGCGTAGGCCTCGATCTTTGTTTTTGATCAAGCATGGTCTCGGCGGGCTGATTCGCTCGTGGAACGTTGGGTTTCCCCTCTGACTCGTGTCCTTTCACCCTCGTAAAACATAGAGACCGGGAAGAGAGCGAATTATGTCGCTTCTTAGCTAGCTTGTGGTGTCAGCTTCCGCAATAAACAACTTGCAGCATATGCAAAAAAGACGCTATGCAGTTATCTTCAAGTCCTCCAACAACGACAGCTGATCGTGTGTATTTCCGAGGGAGATTTTTCCTGCAGATCTATTTGACTTTGCACCCGCTTTGATTTGCCACAACGCCTTAAACTTGCAAATATGTGTTGATGATGTGGTTGTTGTTGTGACTCTTGTGTTCCGCTCCCTCCTGTCAGCTCTGTGACATCAGATATGTAACTTCACTAACTGATGCTCTCTTCTGGAATTCCGTCCTACGTGATACATATCGCAGACCGACACAAACCATTAGTCACTTTAAACATTATTACATCTCTCCTCACTCACTGTGACCTGCTTCCACCTAAGCAGATAAAAGCAAAGGAGGAGAGGAATCCTAAAAGCAGCTGGGAGAAGTCGGCTGCTTGTGTGTCTGCGATGGCTGGCGGAAGGAGAGGGGCGAACCGCACCACGTACTGCAGACCGCCCCTGAGCAACGAACCGGGCTCGGTCAGCAACGGCAACCACTCCACCAGCTCCCCGGTCACAGGGGTGCGATCCCGCGCCAGGTAAGCCCTGGTTTACCGCTGCTGAAACACACCCCGAGGGACCCCCCGCTCCGCATCCCCACTCCCGATGGACCGCTCCTCATCGAGGCTGCAGATGTGTCCCGCTGCCCAATTGTCTCGACACGTGCAACATCACAATAACGCGGCTTCCCTCCGTCTGCAGGAACGGCTCGGGGACGTGCATGTCCAATCCCCCTCTGGCCGCGCAGACGGTTGTTCCCCTGAAGCACTGTAAGATCCCCGAGCTGTCCGTGGATCGCAACGTGCTGTTCGAGCTCCATCTTTTCTTCTGCCACCTCATCGCCCTCTTTGTCCATTACGTCAACATCTACAAGACCGTGTGGTGGTACCCCCCATCACATCCTCCCTCGCACACTTCCCTGGTGAGCACTCGGTGGTCAGCTGTTGACGGTGCCGTTTGTTTTGGTTTATCGGGTGTTATTGTTAGCAGTCACCGTATCTCTGTTTTTGAGATTTTCATATCTGGGATTTTCAGGTTGTGCTTCGTAGCACTGTTAAAGTAAGAAATAACCCTGATTCTATCTTATTATTTGCAGAACTTTCACCTCATCGATTATAACATGCTGGTGTTCATAATCATCGTACTGGCGAGGAGGTTAATTGCAGCGATTGTCAAAGAGGTAAGACTTCAACTTTTGGCTTCTATCTTTTTCCGAATTTAGCTTTAGTGCCTGACGTGTGCTCCGCTCTCTGTGGTTGATGCAAACGAGGCCGGCGCTTTGCCTTTTCCCCTCGCGCATCTTTCCCGTTCGAAAACTGTATTAATGCGACAATTCTGTTTTCGCTGCATCGCCCGGCGCAGGCGTCACAGAGTGGGAAGCTGTCCTTCCCTCATTCCATCTTCCTGGTGATGGCGCGGTTCGCCGTGCTAACGCTGACGGGCTGGAGCCTTTGCCGCTCACTCATTTACCTGTTCAGGACGTACTCCGTCCTCAGCCTGCTCTTCCTCTGCTACCCGTGAGTACACACGAGGAGGACGAAGAGGCTCGTGCCGGATCAACAAGCTATTTTTGGTGCACGTTATACAAATGTTAATGCATTTGCATGTATTTGATAGATTTTCTTATGTCAGTATTGTGTCCTGCTGATGTTTTATGCGTTCGTGTGTTCATATCTGTTTTCACCGAGGCTTTAGTCTGCTAAGCGTTGTGTTTCCCTCCCCACAGATTCGGGATGTACATTCCATTCTTCCGGCTGAGCTGCGACTTCCGGCGGGCAGGTCTGCTCTCCCCCGTCGCCAGCATCGGCTCCAAGGAGGTGGGCAGCGCGGCTCGGGGCAAAGACTACTTGAGCGTGCTGAAGGAGACGTGGAAGCAGCACACCAGCCAGCTGTACGGCGTCCAGGCCATGCCGACTCACGCCTGCTGCCTCTCCCCGGATCTCATCCGCAAGGAGGTGGAGTACCTGAAGATGGACTTCAACTGGAGGATGAAGGAGGTGCTGGTCAGCTCGATGCTCAGCGCTTACTACGTGGCCTTTGTTCCCGTCTGGTTTGTCAAGGTGCGAAACTGTCCGAATTGTAACTCACACACACGTTAATAAGTGAATATGCTTTAATATCGCTTCTGTTTTCTCTCAGAGTACACAGTATGTAGACAAGCGCTGGTCTTGTGAGCTGTTCATCCTGGTGTCCGTCAGTACGTCAGTCATCCTCATGAGGCACCTGTTGCCACCTCGGTACTGTGACCTGCTTCACAAGGCCGCAGCGCACCTGGGCTGCTGGCAGAAAGTAGACCCCTCGCTCTGCTCCAATGTTCTTCAGCACATGTATGTACCACTCGGGGTGTGCTGCAGGGCTCTGGGTGTGTTTGGACTAATTTGATTTGATTTGCTAATTAAAATCTGCTCTCTGTGTTTGCTCAGATGGACAGAAGAATACATGTGGCCACAGGGAGTCCTGGTCAAACATAATAAGAACGTCTATAAGGCCATGGGCCACTACAATGTGGCCGTTCCGTCAGACGTGTCCCATTATCGCTTCTATGTGAGTATTCCCAATTTTCTGTACCGCCGGTTTTGCAAAGTATTTGCTGTACTATAAAAAGCCGGCGACTCGCACTCGCTTAATGACCGAATCTCTTTCCCTCCCCTCAGTTCTTTTTCAACAGGCCTTTACGGATATTGAACATACTCATCATCCTGGAGGGTGCCATGATATTCTACCAGCTCTACTCGTTGATATGTTCAGAAAAGTGGCATCAGACGATATCGCTGGCCCTGATCCTCTTCAGTAACTACTACGCCTTCTTCAAGCTGCTCAGAGACAGAATAGTGCTAGGGAAGGCGTACTCGTACTCAAACAGCTCATCGGACCACAAAGTCAGTTAGATTTCAGTTGTCGTTCACATTCACTTTGGAACAAAAAAAAAAACATGCCTAAGAGCTGTGTATTTTTTCTACAAACTGCATTTTCTGTCACGTTTTTGTTCTGATCTGCCATAATAAAAAAAGACATATTTTTGTATTACTTTAAAGGTTTGATGGATTGATTTTTTTACTTTTTTTGGTAAACCTTTTTTTTCCCGCCAATTTCCTTTACATCCTGTAACGATGGAGGGTTTCGAATACACAGATTCAACAATCCAGATTACGACGGCGGTACGAAGTAAATGTCTTTTAGGCCTTACAGTGATGGAATATAACAAAGTGTCTGTTTGAATAGAGCATTTAGTGGAATTCTAAGAATTTTAAGACTTATATCAGGAGTCAGGAAACATTTATTGCCATAATATGTCAGACAAACAAGGAATTTGACTTGGCGGTTGGTGCGTAACAGCAGACAGTACGACAATGGACGACATAAAATATAATGCTATGGGTTAGTCGTATAAGGCTATGGATTGGTTTACAAATAAAGGAATATAGTTAATGTTTCAAAATTAAAAATAAAGTGCCCCAGCGAATATTTCCATTTCTTGCTACCTTGTATTACAATACATTATCAGGAAATATCTAGATTTTTACTTGACCAAATACATTTGACATAACTAGCTATTTTGCCGATTCATATTATTAATACAATTTTTGAAATAAGCCCAACAATTATGTTTATGTTGATTAGACAACTAAATAATCATTATTGGGAACTAAGCTAAAATGGCATTGTATAGAGTGGTTGAAATCAACCACAACTTTACTAACTGCAGCATTAGTGATGATTACACACTCGTCACTAATCCAGTAAAATGATTTATATATGAAATCTATCAACATCTGTAACTAGTATATTTTGATAACGTGTATAAGGATGAAGTAGCTACTGTAGGAATAGTGTCATATTTCAAGATGTCACGGGGAGACCAGGTGGAATAAGGGGGGGGGCATACTGGCGTTGCCAAGCAACCACAAAAGGCAGACCCCACCCTCCTCCCTCCCCTCCAGGCTGTGATAGGACGAGGATGTGCTTGCGTCACCACACCGCGGGGAGTACTGTCCCTTTAAGGCGCATAAAGCCCGACCGCTCCGCACCGGGAGCGCGCATCGATGTGGCGCTCCGCATTCGATCAGTGATCAGCAGCGATTTACAGCCGCGATCCGGCGTCCGAACGGGGGGGTTTCGATTGCAGATCGCCGCACATCAGGTCCGCTTAGACCTTTTGTAGATGTTGGGGGGAGAAATCTGACGGTTTCGCTCGGCCGGTTCGCTCTCCGGTGCGCGATTGATTCGGTAAGTCGCGTCCGTGTCCCTCGCGGATGATCAATGCTATCTTGTTTACGCGGATTTGAACACACGGAGAAGCAAACCGCGGTGTCCGCATCGTCCCGGAAGCAGTTTTTCCAATTGAAAGGGCAGTAAATAAGGGTTCCCGGGGTGCGAAGGGGCCCTTTGCCTTCTAACGATACTCTGGGATTAAGGAGATGAGGCTGTGAGTGGTTCCATCCTGCTGGATCACAATAAACAACCGCTCTGCCGCTGTGGCTGCAGACATCAGTGACACACGTTTAAAATACCACACAGAAGTTAACGAAGACTGAAAGTCTTGCAATGCTACCTTTTTTTATTTCTAGTAAAATACCTGAATGTATTTATCGGGTTGAGCCTGTAACATTTGATTGGGTAAAGAAAGGAAAAGAAGTGAAAGATGTTGCAGGGTTAAGTGATCGGACTAAAAGGGTGTAAATAGATAATAGTAAGACATTTAAACTCCACTATCTTACTGCGGGAAGATCTACAGTGGGAAGTAGGACGATAATAACGCAGTATATTGATTTTCTCCATCAGCCATTTGTCTGAAAGCTGTGCACATTAGGTCCATTAGCATTATTAGATCAATGTTACATATATTTTTATTATTTCTATTTTTCGCATGTACTTGATGTGTTTGTTTGGAAATCAAAACAGTAACATGTGACCTTCACTTCACACATACTCTAGAAGGTATTTCTACTTTGAGGCTGCTCTAAAAATATCTTTCTAGGCCAATGTTTCACTTTCTCTCGACACCAGGAGACTATTACGAAAAAATATATATTATTGGCATTTGAAAATCACATAATCTTCCTGACTATTTGTATACATATATGGTAGCCCCCCCCTCCTTAACCCTGACCATTATAGATGTGACAAAGCCCTTTTCTCAGAACGGGCTGCAGGTTTTTTTTTTTTTTTTAACATCCTACCTTTGTTCCTTCAGGACGTCCTGTACACCAGCCAGGCACGCAGTGCCCCCGCTCATCTTACCCCCACCCGGGGTGCTTCACCCATAAGATAAATGATAATGGAAGACAAACGCAAGAAACGGAGCCCAAAGGTGTCCCTTCCCCAGCCCCCTCCTCCCCCCGTCAACCCTCGCAAGGTCTGCGTCATGCCGGCCAGCAAAAGTGCCACCTTCTCCCTCGGCCTGCCGCAGCCCCCCTCCCCCAAGAACCGGGGCAAGTTCAAGAGGTCCATCGGAGCGCCGGGGCAGCCCAAGGAGGTGTTCACGGCCGTGGTTGCTCCACCGAAGATCACCAGGTTTGTGTCGAACTGTAACGGGGAGATATGAATACGTCCCATCCATTTACAAACGGGACGTCTGATGGAAACGATCACATACAATCTGAGTGATCTTTTAAGTCCCGTTCGAAATTGGCATTTAAAATACAGGGAAAAGTCATCTTTATAATAATTAGTTGTATCTCCTCAGGAAGGATTTGTCTTATGTGATCTTTTCTTTAACAACTGTCATTTAACGGATGAAAAGCAGTAAATTTAGCAGTAATGTGAACCCACTGCAAAGTCCGCCACTGTTGAACAGTTTCGCTTTCAGTCCTCGCAGTTTGGGAGAAGTAGACGAGGCAGGATAATGTACGGCCAAAGCCCTGTTTGTCAGGACTGGGATTTACAAGGACAGATTCGGTATCATTGTTCCTCTTTGTTTTTTCTCTCAGGCCCCCCAAGGAGAAGCCCAGGGCCCCCCAGCCCGCCGGCCCCAGCAGGGTGGTCCAGTCCTCCCCCCTGCAGCACTCGTTTCTCACAGACGTCTCGGATGTGAGAGAGATGGAGGGAGGCCTCCTCAACCTCCTCAATGACTTTCACTCGGGCAAACTACAGGCTTTCGGTAAGACGACCTCGATCAGCGGGGCCCCCGGAGGGAATATTCGGTTACGGGTTGAAAATAAAATCCCCTTGAAAAGACGAATCAAACTGAAATCCGATAGTCGCGTGGCCATTTTTACCCCTCCGGCACCATGGGTATACTCCAAGTTGCGCTGGTCTACTTTTCTAGGTAAGGTGTGCTCCTTTGAGCAGCTGGAGCATGTGAGGGAGATGCAGGAGAAGCTGGCTCAACTACACTTCAGCCTGGACAGCCACGTGGAGGAGCTTTCAGAGGACCAGAGGAAGTGCGCCGCCGACCACAACCTGGAGCACCTGCTCTGTAACGTAAGCGCCGGCCACAGCAGCAAAGGTCACGCTGGCTTGGGCTTCTTTTGATCAGACAAGACACAGATGATCCGTCTCCACCCGGTCATAAAGTTGCACGCGTTTCCTTTTTATATTGTGCACATTTTTAGAATTTCCCTTATTTTTGCCACAACCACACAAAATTATTAGAAAATAGTTTAACTATTTTAGGGACATTTTAAATGACAAAAAACGATAATATGAGAAAAACAAATCAGAGAAGATGACTGATGATTATGTCCTGGGAACACAAGTTATCTAAGTCTACAAAGTGTCATTTGAATATTCATAAGGAGAGTGAAGTGCTTGTATTCTTTCTCTTTGGGGGGTTTACAGTACATCGTTGGCACCAAACCGATCTTTCTTCCTTCCACTCTTCACAGCTGTGAAGCTCCCGTTGAAGCAGATCATTCACAGAAAAGGGATGCCAGGTTTAATGCTGATTATTATCCAGCACAAACCCGCCTACTGTAGTCCCAGAATGCCTTGGGAGAGCTTCTATTGCTAGAATGTTGTGTGGCCGGTATCCTGCAGGGCAGCGGGTGAGGGAGGTGAGGAAAGGCCTTTGGCTCGTCACAGATACCGCCGACAGGAATGCTCAATAGCTGTGGCGCCGGAGGATAATCGTCCCTCAGGGGGGCAGAAGGGCCGTGAAGTTACTCTCATAAGGGAAGTTGACCGGTTGCTTTTGTAAACAACGACGCCGTTCAATATTTACCGGAGACACGGAGGCTGCTGTGTAATATGATAATGAAGTGATTAGTAACCTGAACTTCCACACCGTGTTCTAATTTTGGCTCTTTCTATTTTGATCAAACCTCTCACCTACTTCTTCATTTGTTCCTGCAGCTGGAGGAGCTCAGCACCTCGATGTATCCTTTTCCTACAGCCGAAATGTTTGTTTATGGGAGTCGCCCGGCGGCGACACGTTTTTTTTTTTTTTTCTTTCTATAATCCAGTTTAACTTCGGTGTTTGTCTGTTTTGAATCTTTAATGTTTGTTCAGACAAAAGCTCCACTTGGCAGAGAACCAGGACGTGCCCAAGACATCCGGCCCCTGACACGCTCCCCTTCTCCCAACATCTCACCAGTCCGGGTTGCCATGGCATCGATCCAGCTGCCTTAGTAACGAAATGGAAAGATCTACAGGAGGAGGAGGAGCCATTTCTCCATTCGGTCGGTGAAGCAGAGGGAACAATTCAGTGACTCAAAACCAAACCCATTCCCCCCCCCCAGTTATGGCGCATTAAACAATCAGACGGTTTGTCAAGCCGCCGGGCGTGACAACGTCGTGTTCAAGTCTTTTGCGTGTTCCTGGAAGTTGCGTAACGATTCATTTAATCCAGGTGGAGGCCTCGGTTTTCTATGTCACAAAATCAAACTTCCGAACCCTTTTCCAGAAGTTGATTTCACAGTACGCCTCGTCTCTTGCATCATCTCAGAAGGTTTGCCTCACTGTTTGCAAAGTTAAGAACTAGAACTTGTCGACACCACTGTGGTTCGCTCAGAACTTAGAAAGGGAGTTTTCACTTTTGCTATTATTCAGAATGCCCTTCGTTGCTTTTATAGGTTTAATAGTGGAAAATAAATACTGGATTGAATGAAAGATGGGATCTTTGATACATTTTAAAGGGTCTATGTAAAAAGATACTAAATGTATGTTTGATAAACCTGCATGTAAAATGGTTACTATCTTTTGCCAATGTGCGATCAAGCTACTGTATTTGTTGACACTGATGGGTTGAAATAACTTGAGCTGGGATGATTTCGTGGGAACTTTTTCAGGGTTATTACTGTACTGAAATGCTCTAAAATGATCTACTGTAACACATGATACTGTGTTGTTTGATAGCACATCTAAAGCGGTGCGCTGAAAGAATGGCAGCTACTTTTATAATTAAAGGTTTAGGTGGTCAGATTGTGATTTGTGTTTCATTAATTCCATACTTAGCAGCAGAAATGGATTTTTCTTGAGTAAAACGTAATAATCCCTTTAAAAACACACGACGAGTAACAGATGAAGCACCGGGAAGTTGGTTTTACAGAAATAAACTTTTTATTTATATATATATATATATAGCTCTGTCTCTTGTTCACAAACAAGTTCAATATAATTTAACAATAGATGGGTTAAAAGGCTACTTGAAGTTCTGGCACTATACTGAGACAATCCGATCTTCAATGTTTCTCAGGCAACATCTGGAGTGTTACTGCAATCCTTTCATGCTGTGTGTGCGTGTATATACACATACATACACACACAGCATGGGAAGGAATATATACAGCGTGAAAGGAAATATACGCATAACCAAAATATTAAAAAAATTGATCCCGCAAGTAAATTTTGGTCATGCAAAGCGAAAAAGACAAGATTCCAACTCGGCACATCATTAACAAGACTTAAACCATTACACAATAGTTCAGTTATAAACTGTACCATTATACAGCATACAATTACAGAATAAGCTAATACTGTGCAAATACACGAACTGTACAAAAGTATTTTGTTAATCTCTATTCACAAAAATACACCTACGTAAGACATTTAGAAAATATCACATTTGATGAAACAGCAAAAATATACACCTTTCATATCCCTGTCTTCCTCGTCCTTTGTGCATTTAAATCTTACATTCTGCAATAGTGTCTCTGATTTGTCTACAGTACGTGTTGAGAAAAAAAAAAGCAATGACAATCGTTGGATGGTAAAATGTAAAAACTCATGAAATCGATCATGATAATTGAGCTACCTTTTCAAAGTGCAAAGAGAGCAGGTTGAGTACGTGTCTATGTTAAAGCCGCCCGTGCTTCTGTACCAGAGGGAATCTCACTGATATAAGATTAAGATTTTAAGGGAATTTCTCTTTATTGATATAAAAGTGCAGGCACTATAAGAAATGTAGAACATCTCTGTCTTCAAGTAAGGTCAGTCTCCGAGTTCTTCTGTTCCGACATTAGGATGGATTCGGTTTCACCTTTCAGGATGAGGTTCTCAAGACCTCGTTTAAACGCGTGTGGACATTGGCGGGCTGGGCGGCGGCACAAGCCGTCAGGCTCAGCCCCATCTGGGCGTAAAGGGCTTGGCACAAGGTGGCTGTGGCACCCCTCACGCTGCCGCCCCGGCCGTGGATGGTGCCGCTGTGGGTGGAGGTGCCCAGGAGGTGCCACAGCAAGGGAAGCACTCTCTGCTCCACCATCTGCGGCTTACGAGGGTAGAGCGCTGTCACAAGATCTGAGAACGGACGAGAAGCGAGATACGACATATAAACCAACACGGAGCCAAGGCTGAATCTATCGCTAAAACTGTTTAGAATTATTAAAACATACATACCTGCGACCTTTTGGATAAGATCCACCTTTGCTTTGCCATTTAGGAACTGGGCCTTTGTGCAGAAAGGCTGAAGAAGAAGCACGTTATCTGTGCAAAAAGTATGGAAAGAAATCATCAAGTCATGCAAAGACGGTTCTCCAATTACACCGAAAACCTCTCACTTCAACCAGAAATACTTGGAGCGTACCAAGATTTAAGATAAGTGCATCAATAGCTTCAACGGCAGCCGAGTAGATGGCGTTGTTCTTGGAGTTTAGGTGATTGTCCATGATTGCCGGGACCAGGATGTTGACCACTTGGGACAAGTTGTCCTTTAAGAGGGGGATGATTTTCTGTAGGGACTCGAGGGCATGCAGGTTGACCTTGGCGTTGGACTCCTGCAGCCTGGCCTTGAACGCATCAAACAACTGAGAGCAGGAAAAAGAACAAAGTGGAGGAACAGAGACATTTTGGTGACTTACGTGATGATAACTGAGAACCACAAACAAGCACAGGGCAAGAAATATTTATAGGCTTTGGAAAAAACAATGAAAAAACAAAACGGGAGTACCAACCGGGTAAATACTATTGATGACCAGTTTGGGGTTGTGCTGGCTGTCGGCTACGAGCTGGTCGATTCCCTTGATCCTCTCTCTGAAGTCCTTTGAACCCAGCAGACCTGAGATCTGCTGGATGTATTCGTTTTTGTCGGCGATACTCTGTGTCTGAGGTCTGCTGCTGTAATGGCTATTTGACTCCCTGTAGATGATGCAGAGCACATCAAAAGGTTTGCTTTTAGAGACCCGTCAGTGTGCATGAATAGCTTTGTACTTTCTGTGCGCGTCGTACACTTTGGGGTTAGCTACACCCTTTGCTTCAAAGGGCAGAGTGTAGTGTACAGCGCTGCTGTAGGGGTTTATATTTCCACCTACCTGGTGGTCTGGTTGAGTGGCTCTCTGGTGAGAGAGGAGGCCCTGACTGTACCGCTGCCCGGGAGGGAGCGCCGACCTCTGGCAGACTGGGTTTCTTGGGGCATCTCACCGAGACCCTGAAAACAAAGACAACGATCTCCAGTCAAGATGCCGGTGTGACCTTTAGCTAAAGCACCAGGAATGTAATAACGCCGATGTGTGTTAAAAAGTAGTACCTTTGTCTTGAGAGTGAAAACAGTGTCTCTGACGGTCGGCAGGTCTTTGGGGGCGATATATTTCTCCAGGATCTTGTCAAAGTCCGGGTGGGATGACAGAGAGAGCAGCATTCGACGCCCAAAGTACCTGTTGGTTGAACCAGTGTGAACTCAGACCCGAAATTCAGATATTATCAGCGATTATTAGTTCTGGCTTCTAAGCGGCAATGTCTGCTGGTTTTGCAGTCCAAAAATAAGCTGCTTTTGTTTTTAGATATCCACTTCAGCTATAGTCTTATTTACATTCATGTGGCGACATAGTGTTACAAATCTCGACAACAAACTGTGGCGGGTTTTTATTGCATGTGCCAACCAATGTCCAACATTCAGGAATCAGGATGAATCCTTGTGTGTGTGAACATAACTGGTGCATGCAGCGACAAAAACAAAGTGTACCTTGCTTCCTGCGAGGAGTCTTGTGTGAGTCTGGCGACGGCAGGGAGGATCCTGTCAGTGAGATCTTTACCTCCAGAAAGAAGGCGGGTCACACCAACCTTCTCCACCAGGTTGACCAGGTGCTGGGCGGCGCATTTTCTCACCACTGCATTCAGGTGACTATCGGAGGAGTGGAAACCAATTCAGATAAATCATTCAGAAAACGACGCCAAAAGTATAAATTGTTACTTAATTAACATTACACGCACTGACCCGAGTCCCCCAGAGAGGAGAGCGTTGATGCCACGAGTTGGTGTGCAGTGCTGGACCATGCAGCCCAGTGCGGCATCTACGTCCTGCCTGATGAAGGTGTTGCACTCCCCGGCCTTCTGCAGTAAAGCTTTGACCGTCCCATCCAGCTCCTGGTCCATCGCCTTCTCGAGATGGGTGTACAGGTCACCCAGCGTACATACGGCAACCCTGGAGACACTTGAGCGCAGGTTCTTCACCTGAAGGACACGGACATTGTTAACACCTAACACAGCATAAGACACTGAGAAGTTAGCTGCAAAGTAGGATATTAACACATGAATCGGGTGCAAAGCGGTTTGGAGTGCCGAAAAAGGTAAAAATGCTGCAGGATTATTATAAACCGGGTCAGACTACCTCTTGAATAACACACAGGCAAACATCATGGAGACTGCCCTGCAGTGTGTCCGAGTGGAAGTTAGCCAGACTGCGCAGGAACGTCAGACCCTCGATCTTCTTCTCCCTGAGGAAAGAAAACAATGTCCCCTCTCTAGAAGCCATCCAAACTATTGTCCCACGAAGCAGTGCATCTCCGTAAGGTGCGAGTGTTTCTCACCAGTCCTCCGAGCCGAGCAGGTTGAAGCTCTGCGTCAGCGCCAGGTCGGGCTTGGAAAAGGGACGCGGCTCCGGAGGCTCCGAGACGTTCCTCTTGTGGCCCACAGTACCAGGGGACAGCTCATCTGAACGCCCGCCAGACACCAAACAAGACACAGATTGGTTCTCGTGTTACATCTCTATCAGTCTGAAAACCAGCAGAGCGCGTGTGGGCGGCGGTGCATTAACAGAACGGTGTCAAAACAAAGCATTTTGGCACATTAACACACACATCTTAGTCACCCATGCTCCGGTGGCTCTGACAGTCTAATTAGTGTGACTGCACTTTGGATCAACAAAAGCCTGTTGAGGCATGGGTTCATTTATTTATAATGCAGAGGAATATTGCCTAAATTGTATTCTGTGTGGGACCCACTGAGAGAGGATACATTATATCGTTAGAAAGCTACACAGGGAAACTTTTTGGTTGATTAAAAAAAACAAACACCTGAGCTGTGGGACAGCGACGGTTGGGTCCTGCTGAGGCTCGGGGCCCTGCGCAGACGGGAGAGTTTTTTGGGGTTGGGGGGCACCGTGGGGGGGCTCGGCTGGTGCGGCGGAGTGAAGCTCTGGGGTCCCGGTTGGCCGACAGGACTGGTGGGGCTGACAGGAGACTCGTCAGGGAGACGGCCTGATTTGAAAGCCGTTGTGCTGCCGTTGAGATGCACATCTACAACAGAAATAGATCATTTCAAGCCTCCAAAAAAAATTAAGGACACACAGCAACCCCCTCCCCCATATTAAACATTGTATTGTTTTGTGCCTTCTCACAACATACAGAAAGAAAAAACGGAAACATCTAAAATAGAATTCAGACTCAGGTTGAAATCTTTGCTTGCCTTTGCTGATTAACGCTCTATTGTCCTCTGTCGGTGAGTCACACAGCATCTGTCTCACGCGTTGGCGGATCTTGTCTCGTGCGGGGTCCACTTGACTGCACCGCCCCTCTTGTTGATCCAGACACTGCAGCCTTGTCTTATTCCGGCTGAACCGGCCATTGTTCACCCTCTGCTGGACACGCAGTGAACAGAAAACACACGTGGCCTTTGGTAACTGGAAACCTTGTATGATGTACGAGGATTCGGAGCTGGACAAAGTGCAACGAACCATCAGCTCCTCTGGACGGGGGCTGTCGTCACTGTCTCGGTGAGTGCCGGACCCAGCGTGGCTGTAGATGCCCGCTGAGGGCTCAGTGGGGGGTTTGGCCGCAGAGTCACCCTGCTCAAGTAACGAGGCGTCTCCTGGACGGCTGGAGGGCGGCGCGGGGCCAAACATGCCTGGAAGGCATGGGAAGGGGCGGGGGGGTTGGGAATGATTTAAATGTGTAACCACAATGGTGGATTAATTAAATTAAACTTTCACGGCTGCCAGCGGTATCAGTAATTAGATCTGTTTTCACGACAGTGACAGTTTGTGAGGTAAGTTTGTGTCAGGTAAATTCAGGGAAACGTTCTGTTCTATTTGACGTTTGTCTGACCTTTGACCGGCCTCAGAGCTCTGACTGATTCGAGGAAGGCCGGTTTGACCAGCGGAGGCGACGGCCTTGTGTTCTCTTCCTCGGTTTCGATTGTACCGTTGGAGTGAGCGACTCTCTGCCCCAAAACACCCACGTCGGACAATTGTTCGTTTCCCTGTGACAATCCTTGGGACAAGAAACAAATAAAGCGTAAATAAGATAAAGAGAGTGATGAAACAGTTTGGGCTAAACCGTACGATCCCTTTCCTACCCGGAAGGCTGCTGAAGTCCATGGACACAGAAGACCTCAGTGTAGCTGACGGCGTTCTCTCAATCGGAGCTTTCACTCCCGGAGAAGCAGAGTTTCCGGGACTGTTGACAGACGTGACAAGTGAGAAATAATACGGGAACCTTGCTTGGCGCCTTTAAACACATTGATGGGTAGAACGTCCTCACCGCTTTAACATTTACTCCGTGAAATGACACCTAACATCAGGTACTAGTCCGACTTCTGTCCTGACTGACAGAATTTTGTTATACACGGCCTTTGTGTTTATAGGGGACATGCATGCACACATCCCCCCCAAATGTCAATACATCTAATCAGTTCATCTGGTCTACAGGAGGAACCTATGTTGTGAGCATTACAACAGATACGGAGCCCATACCTGGTTCTGATGCCATTGAAGCTATAGTTGCCGAGTGAGCTCAGACTCTCGCTCTCGCTGGCTGAGCTGGTAAGCGTCGGGGAGGTGTGCGATAGTGAGTCCGGACCCAGGTCCAGCCTCACTGCTGAGTCGGGGCTGTCTGGATCTGAATGGCTGAGGCTCACCTTGGCCCTCTTCTTGGCAGCACTGTTGCGCAACGAGCGCAGGGAGTTCTGCATCTGTGAGCGCCACACAGATTGGCACATACGAGAAGGTAGTGGGATATAGTTAAAAGGAGCCACACTTTAACCCCCTGGATCTGCAGAAGTGCATTTGCTGACCTCCTGCATGTCCAGAGGATCATTCTCTTGAGTTTCTCGCGCCACATAGATTCCACCAGAGTCCAGGTGAAGGTCCCTCTCTGGCTGCTGGTTCCGAGGGCTGCCGGCAGCATTGGACCGCTGGCCGTTATGGTTCTGGGCCGGCTCTGCAGGTGGGACGACTGGCGAGAGAGATAGGGACGCCCTGGTGCTGCTCAGGGCCCGGCGGAAAGACGAAGTGGAAGAGGAACTCACAAGGGAGGCCCGAAGAGGCCGGGGCGAGCATCCGCCAGAGGGAGGGTCTCCTGGAGGATTTGTAACATGGAGGATTAAAGAATAGGATAAAAACACAGGCACAAAGAGGCCACGGTGTCTTTACAGCTCACATGTCAACGTGGGTCTTTTATTTTCACCAAATTACCCTTTGCTGTGCACAACGTGTCTCTCCATGGGCTGCCGTCCCGCTGGTCAGGGTTGTTCTCTCTCTTGTGTGGCCACGTGTTGGACATAGAGAGGGAGGAGTCTGCATGGCGGCGGGACAGTGTCGGAGTAAGGATGCGTCCTTGGAGGGAGGCCAGTGGGTAGGAGGGCAGCAGGAAGGATCCTGACGTGGTGTGGTTCGAGGGGAGGGAGAACGTGCGCTCAACACTGGAGTTGCTTGAGAGCAGGCGACCTTTGGGTGCCCCTATGAGAGAGAGCGAGAGAGAGAGCGAGAGAGAGAGAGTTCGGGCGTCAGGAACGACGAAACACTGAGCACTTCAAGGACTCGATTGCGTCGTTACCGTGATTTGTTTGTTGCCATAGTTATGCAAAGTCTAAGTCAATAAACTTTAAAACAGGTGATCATTCTGAGGTTATGACTCCATACCAACATCTGGATCAGAAAAGTTGGTGGATTTAAAGATGTCGGGGTCCAAGTTGAGGCTTCCGCTTCTTCTGAGGCGTGCAGGGGACTCCCTCCTTCTAGAGGATTGTGGCTTTTGAGTTGGAGAAGAACCTAAATGAAAAGTATTTTCATTTTCCTATTCTTCACAAAACTATTGTACTTCTGGTTACTATAATTGGTTTACTTCCATTTCTACACAATTGTTTTTTCTGTAATTTCATTCTATGATGACGACAATATGATCAGGGGATTATTTCCACTACATTGTTTTATGCTGTTGCAGAGGTATGTCTTAATATAATGAATCGCTTAGTAATAGCTTCCTTATTACAATAACCAATAACTTACTATTTATGTGTTGCGTCGCATACCAAACCCGTTTCCAACACATATAATGAATTTCTCTGACAGAATTGGACACTAGTACGACCGCATGAACAAGTGGGGAAACGAAGTCACGTTTTGAAAGCACAAGAATAATCAGGTAGGCTATGAGGTGTTTGCGCTAATGAAGAGTATTGGACCAGTTGGACATTTTAAGGTGATTAATTGTGTCCATAACGTTCCAGCGGGAGCGAACGGTTGGTGAATGTCATGTCCTCCAATGGTATGTTGTGAGACAGGAATGCCACTTATCTGCCTGGCAGCTGTGCTAATATCAGGGCTGTTGGTGACATGTGGCACCGCGACTCCTCTGACTCAGCATGCTAATCCAATTTAAAGCAGTTCTAAATCGAGTTTGGCTAATGTGGACTATGACAACCAGTTAGTATTACTTACACGACATAAGGAATATATATATAATATATATATTATATATAATATATTATACACACACACACACACCCGTGTGTAATAGTGAGAGAAGAGAGTGTTGCCACTTACTAAAACTTGGTATGTAGTTCTCTTGACTCAGCTTCTTGGACAGTGGAATGAAATCCTTACCGGACACCTATTGGGCAGAAAATCATTTATTTTCATAGCAACAATAGAGGATGAAGTTCCAATTGTAAAGCAATCCTTAACCAGCAGGACTAATTGTAATTCCATCCACCAGTCTGAACAAAGGGCATGTATTATCCAGCGTGTATTATCCAGCTCAGACAAGAGACACTGGCAGCCACAAAGATCGTCTGCTACTGTAAACAGATTTAAGTGAATATACAGAAAGATAAAAGAAATGACAGAATTATGACAGCTTTTTGCATTAGCCTCAGACAGACAGAGAGAGAGTATTCCTACTGACTCAAACCTGATCAGCACTGATCGTGTAGCTCATGGTGGGATTGCAATCAACACTAGCAGTAAATAAGACGTGTTTTACAAGAATAACGTTGCGATATATTCGATCGTGTGACACACACCCCTTCAGTGAGTGTGCTGTGTGGGGTTGCTGGGAAACAGACACTGCTGTAAACAGAATGTTTTTCAAACGAAGGCTCTAAACTGGGTACTAGTTTCCAGAACAAAATATTTTCAATCAATAACTCGTGAAGAGTCATCGATCTCAACAAATGGACACTGTTAGAGGAGCGTGTAGAGCTTTTGTTTAAAAAGAATCATTCCAATTTGTTATAAATAATAATAAAATATGACATGTCATGTCAGTGTCGGGTTGATCAGGATTTTCACATTGGATGCAGCAACAGGGTCACTGAAACCATTCACCTGCACCCCAGGAACAGGCTCAGACATCCAACACAGCGGTCACATTTGACCTTTCTACTTTTCCTCCTGTTTAGGGAATTGAGAGACTTCGAGCAATACAATTCAGCCTATTTTTAACCTGCCAAATGGATTCTTTAATAATTTAAAAAATAAATCCTCTTTTAGAGCATTATGAACTGTCAAAAATATGTAAATTGGTACGCACAAGCAAATGTGCAGATCTCGATGTCGTAAGGTGTGTGACATAACTAGCCCTCTGCTGTACTCCATCCATACTGCGTCATGAGAGATGTAGCTTTATCGAAGGCTTTCTCCCCCCCCCGAACTCCCTCTGAGAAAAGTGACACCTCTAAGATTTCTGTTTGGCTGGGTGCCGCTGGGTGTGACTCAGCTCGTTCAGACCGGTGTGCATTTCCGACAGTAAACAAACAAGAGCCCCGCCTTTCGAAGATGGATTCATTGTTACTGAGATTCAGATTTAGCTGTGAGCCGAGGAAGACTAAAAGGGAGACAGGGGGGGGGAAGAAGAACCACTCTGCTCTTTGATTACTGTAACGCTCGACTGATTGGGAGCAAATTAACAAACCCCCTGATCAAAAGGATGCTCTTCAGTCCACGGTGCTCTTAAAGACAAGCAAGACTGGTGAGCCTTAATTGCATTGGATTACAAAGAGTATTTTGAGAGGAAATAAAAAGGGGAATGCTGCTCGTTGAGTAAATAGCTGCTTCATTGGTGTCGATCAACTGCAACTAAAAGGATAAAATCTCTATTTGTTTGCTGGGTACATTAACCAACAATACACCAGATTAAAAACTATATGGAATAAGTATCTGATGGTCCCCACCTTTTCAGAGCACTTTTTGTTCCATTGCTGGTCATTCTCAGTGGAGGAGCAGCTCGACGTCTCCCAGGGCAGTTTGTTCTTCCCTTTGCCGGCACTGACGATCCTCCTTTGAAGCGGAAGGTCATCGGTGAGCGACCCTAGGCTGCCGTAGCCGCACAGTCGCCCCCCGTCCGGTTCGGTTCTGTGGCTCCTAGCGCTGCTCGCCCGCCCTCCGTTCATCACCCAATCCAGATCGGCCCCAGAGCCGTACTGCGGGGAGCACCGGTGTGCTGGTTTGGGGGCCACCAATCCGTACTCCACCACCCCATCCGAGGAGAGCTTGGGCAGGACGCGCCTCGCTCGTCTCGCCTGCACGGCTGCCATGAGGCCCTCCGCGTCCTCGTCGAGCTCCACCATGTCCACAGCTTTCATCAGAGGATGCTTTCTGCCCGTGTCGAGGCAATAGTCAAAGACAGCAAACAGCTCCAGGGCAGCGTGACGGACCTTCCTTTTGCTGTCGGCCAGGTACGGGGCCACCTCCAAACACAGCTTTGGGATGTTGAAAGCTTTTCCAGGATGAGTGAGCATAGCTGCCATAATGATGTTCAGGACATCTTCCCGAACCCTTGAATTCTTGTGTTTCAAGTGGCCAGTGACCAGATCCAAGACTTTCTGCGGCGGGAGAGTTTTCATCAACTGTCGAAACACATTCATGTATTCATTTCTGGTGATGGTGTGAGTGTCCCCTAAGGTCCTCAGAGCCACTAGAACGATCTGTTTGAAATATATTTCTACACCTGTGTCTAGTTTCTGAATGAGTAGGTTTAAAAGTTGTAAAGTGCCGAACAACACTTTAAAATTACTGTCACCCAGAAGTTGAGGGAGAAAATTGATGAACTCCTCAATACTGCCAGAAGGGACAGATTTTATGTCCACTTCCGAGAGGATGCGTCTGAGGTCTTCCACTCCATTTGTGCGATTTTGGAAATTTTTCAGGTCCAGAAGGAGCTCCTGTAACTCCTGGGAGATCAATCCAGGTATCATTATTGATGGTCTCGGGGGCTGTGGTCAAATTTGGGAAATCAAAGGAGCGCCAACGATCCGGCGAGGCCAAATGGATCCGTCCTCTTTACTTGGTGATTTCATCTCGAGTGGTGAGGGAAACCCACTGGCCTGGTCATCAAGCTGTGAATGCAAAGCACAGAGGGGGAAAAATGAACAGGGTAAACAAACGACTGAATACATTATTCACATTTCCTGAGGGGGCAATTAAATGAGCAAAAGTCATCATGAGTATTTTTTTTACATTTTTCCATTCAATGAGAAAGTGTTTCCAAACTTTTGACTGGTACCGTGTGTAAACATGTTCCAAAGCCTGGTAACTGTACATTGAACCGATGGAGTGCGTTACCGCCCATCGACACTACGATCCATCGATCGATCACCGTGAACGAAGGCTTCGATAGATCGATTTACAGCGATCGGACAACCACTTGTGGCTGCGATGCACAGCACCGTTAGTTTTAGCAGAGAGGTTTATATAACGTTTACTGCGGCATTGCGTTGCGTTGCATTTACGTCCTGCCGTTATAGAGTTGGTTAGTACGACGCGTGTAGCGACTTACACGATTCCCGAGTAACGTCATCAATCGATCCCTTGGCGAAGTTACCGTTAAGCGCCCGTGCCGGTTAGCTCCAAACAGCCGTAACGTTAGCCTCTTCAACGTCACGGTGCTAAGCTAACGCGCTTACCCCGCTAACGGTAACTGTTTCAGGGGTTAGTGCGGGCTAACTGGGGGCTAGCAAAGTTGGGAAAACAGCAGGAAAACATACCTCGAATTTCTCCCCCCCTCCTCCTTCTCCTTCTCCTACTCCTCCTCCTACTCCCCGGTGTTCTTCCGCTCGAGGAGACTATTTAATGTCCCGTCGTCCCGAGCTCCATGGCGTGCTGCGGCGGCGGCGACGGCTCCACAAGTGCGGACATTTTTACTCTCCCCCCCTCGGCTTGTTTCAGCTGATTTCTGGAGTGTTTGGATGTGTGGAGAGTAAAAAACAAACAAACAGAAAAGCTCCGGAGGCATTCACGCCGAGAGGAGCCCACACATACACGGGCACACACACACGCGCGCGTGCACGCACGCACACACACACACGTTCTACACACCGAGGAAGCAAAATGGCGAATAGATGTCGCAAACGGAGCGCTTCCATGGTGACGCGTCCTCGAGGCGGTCCGTCATCGCCGCGGAGCCGCAGCGCGCGCGCGCGCAGGTGATCTTTGAGAGATGAATCCAGCGTCATGTGGATTCGCGTGTGCGCGTGTGTCTAGTTTTTAGCTCCGCGTTGTTTGGGAATAAAACATGAGTACGAAGTAAAATGTACGGTTCTGTGTGTTTTTATTTGAGTTCTGCTTATAACGGTAATGCGTAGATGGATATAGCAGTTTATTTGATCACGAGGTATATCTACGCGTTATCGGTTAATAGTTTTATTTTTAATAGACAAATAAATCATTAGAATAAGGGTTTATGAAATAGCATTTAGTTGCATCAATTCGTGGGACACAAAGGAGGTTCACGTTTACTGTAGAATATTCTTATTCATGCAAAAACGATACAATAAAAGGCCTTTTTAAACTTACTATACAATTATGTAACTATATACAAAATATTTCAGAAACAAACGTACCTTTTAATCGTTGCCATTGTTTGAAAACTAACTCACTCGCACAACACTTTATATGTGGAGAAGAGAACGTTTAACTAAATTTAAATAAAGCGAATTCGTTTGAGTGACTAAAATAGTTAGTGGAGACCTTTACAAAAAATGTATTCTGCGTTCAACTTGCTGAACCTGCAGGTAAAAGTTGTATTTTATTGTATGGGTTGAAAACAAATACTTTCACTACCGTTGCATCACCGTTTCATGATCTCTTCCTTTAAAATGTCGTGAATGTGACTTTATTTTGAAGGGCAGCGGAAGTAGCAGGTTTTTATAGGCGCTCATCTGTAGCTCCGCGGCTCGGTTGGCAGTTGGTTGTTTTCTCGATAGCCGCCCGGGGTTCCTTCACGTCGCCGCTGAACTCCGCCACTGAAGTCTGTCATTACAGCGGCACACCAGGCGGTTTACAGATTACAGGTTTGTCGCCCTCGAATCGACGGGTATCGTATGTTATCTAACGGCCATCTGTAACGTCACGTTTGGTATCCGTCAGCCATGTTACTGTATATCAATCAACGGTGCAGCTAAACCACATTAACCGTATTTATATGTAGCGGCTAACCTGCGCCGCCTGCAGTGCAATAAAAACAAACCCAGGCGCTGTGTGTATTTGCTGCAGGCGAACAATGCCGACGATACGATGGGATCATTAACGTTAATACGCATACGACACACGGCTACATGTTTTTGCTTCTGAAAAATGCCTGTGCGGTTCGCGGTGTGTTAGCTAGCGTCCGCTAGCCGTCCGCCGCTGCAAAGCTAAGCGGTAACGTTTTGCTAGCGAGTTTTGATCCGGCCGTGTCCCCCGTCGCAAAGCCGAGGCCTCAGTCAACACAACTAACGGTCGCCGTTATTCTGACTTGTTGTCCGGCAGCATTTATGCAGCGCGAGGTCAAGCTACAACATGTTGTCTTCACGTCATCGGCCAGTTCGCCCCGTTGATTTTTAAGCAGCGTTGTCGCTGGCGAAGGAGGTCGTGCTTCTTTAACTCCCCTCACAGCAGGCTGCCGGCAGAGCGAGACGGAACGACCACCGTGTAACAACCAAAAACATCCCAGAATGCATCACACCGCCCAAGTGTGATTCCTTGACGTGCGCTTTCATTACGTCACGTTGCAAGGCTCGTGTTTATTTGACTCGCAGTCTCTGAGACAAGAGGTCGTCCTTATCTGTGCAGAGACATACTGGCTGTTGGTCGCTTGTCAGTCAAGTCCTAAAATGTCACTTCATTAGCGGCGGCCTTCAAAACGCAGCAGACTAATGTGTGGATTCCTCCTGAATTCAGATGGACCAGCAGGACCAGTCCTATATGTTTGCCAGTCTGAAGCGGCCTCACTCGGAGCAGTTGCTGCAAGGCCTCCAGCTCTTGCGGCAGGATCACGAGCTATGTGACATTGTCCTGCGCGTGGGTGATGCCAAGATCCATGCTCACAAAGTAGTGCTGGCCAGCATCAGTCCGTACTTCAAGGCCATGTTCACGGGTAACTTGTCGGAAAAGGAGACCTCCGAAGTGGAATTCCAGTGCATCGAAGAGACGGCCTTGCAGGTATGCCTGGAACCAGTGGGCACTTTGCTGACTGCCGTGCCGTAGTTTCTTGTTTGTTTTGACGCTTTTACTCCTTCTCTTCCAGGCCATTGTTGAATATGCCTACACGGGTACCGTGTTTATCACCCAGGAGACTGTGGAATCTCTGCTGCCGGCCGCCGACTTACTCCAGGTCAAGCTTGTCCTTAAGGAGTGCTGTTCCTTCTTAGAGAGCCAGCTCGACGCTGGAAACTGTATCGGCATCTCCCGCTTTGCAGAGACCTACGGCTGTCATGACCTGTGCTTGGCCGCCACCAAGTTCATCTGTGAGAACTTCGAGGAAGTTTGTCTCACGGAGGAGTTTTTCGAACTGACGAGAGCAGAGTTGGATGAAATCGTGTCCAATGACTGTCTTAAGGTGGTCACAGAGGAGACTGTGTTTTACGCCCTGGAATCATGGATCAAATATGATGTGACTGAGAGACAGCAGCATCTGGCTCAGCTGCTGCACTGTGTCCGCCTTCCGCTACTCAGCGTCAAATTTCTCACCCGCCTATATGAAGCCAACCACCTTATACGAGATGACCACGCATGTAAGCACCTGCTCAACGAGGCCCTCAAATATCATTTTATGCCGGAGCACCGGCTGTCCTATCAGACTGTGTTGTCAGCACGACCACGGTGTGCCCCGAAGGTGCTGCTCGCGGTAGGAGGCAAGGCTGGACTGTTTGCCACGTTAGAAAGGTACAAAATGATTTCTAGATAAAAATGGCAAGCACTATTGAAAAGGCAATCTTCTAAATGATGTGTTGTTCCTTAGACTAACGGACCGATCTGCTAATATCTCTCTCACTTGTAGCATAGAAATGTATTTCCCTAGGACCGATTCCTGGATCGGACTGGCCCCGCTCAGTGTACCCCGGTATGAATTTGGAGTGGCAGTGCTGGACCACAAGGTGTATGTGGTGGGAGGCATCGCCACGCACATGAGACAAGGCATCAGCTATCGGAGACACGAGAGCACGGTGGAGAGCTGGGACCCCGAAAGCAACACCTGGTCCTCGGTGGAGCGGATGGCCGAGTGCCGCAGCACCCTCGGCGTTGTGGTCCTGGCGGGCGAGCTGTACGCCCTGGGAGGCTACGACGGCCAATATTACCTCCAGTCGGTGGAGAAATACGTGCCCAAGTTAAAGGAGTGGCAGCCTGTGGCTCCCATGACCAAGTCCCGCAGCTGCTTTGCCACCGCGGTGCTGGATGGCATGGTGTACGCCATCGGCGGCTACGGCCCCGCCCACATGAACAGGTAACGCCACGGAGAGTTATCTATGGGCACTTTTACTAACTTTTAGCTTGTATTGTTTAGAGAGTATGTATGAAAGTGCAACAAGCATTTGACACCTCTTAATTAATTATGAAAAATTGTGAAATCAAATTCAGCCACTCTTTTACAATTTTGACACCGCCAAGTGTAATGATGCATCCCTTTTATCTTCTGTAGATTGTCCAATATTCAAAAAGGCTCAATCAATCATTCCCGCTGTAGCTTGTCAGTTCTACTTGTGATGAGGAAAACCTATTTCCCTTGAACTTGTTTTACTCAACTTTCTGTTTAAGGTGAAGTTCAAATATGAAAACCAACCGTTCTTCTAACCTTCAGATTCAAAATGGTCCTTGGTTTGTGTGAAAAACGTGTCGATATTTTGGGCCTTCTACTCTGGTTCTTTCTCACGGTCCTGTTAGTTATTCAACGGAGCTGGTAATCGGGTGGAAGATGTCAAGTGTTGCTGACAAAATGGCCGGGCCAGGAGTCGTAAGAGAAGTGGTTGCTGAAGTTTGGTAGAGACGGCGCCTGGCTGTGTGCTGCTGGTTACACCGGTTGTTGCTGGCAATCTCTAGAGGGCAGCGTCTCTGTTGCTTGTTTCCTTGACTCCCAAAACCCCTCAGGAGAATGTCTTCGGACATGTAAGCCATTGGGGATGGAAAAAAAATAGTCCCATAAGGTTCTATGTTCTGCAAAACAATCCCTGGTTGCTCCGGTTCCCGTTGCTGTCGTGCCGCCAGTGGCCCCGTTACTAGTTGGATTGTGTGCTTGGGATCACACCACCCAAACTTTTGTCTTTGTAGCTTGGAATAAATATCAATCTATTGAAATATTGTGTTTAAGAAACGTAATTAAACAGAGTATGTGTTTTTTTTTTCCTGTCGTAGACAAATGAGGCTACAAAAAGCAAATAACATTAATGTTGATCTCCAGACAGTGCTTCGTGGTAAATGTAGACCGCTGTAGAAGAACATTCCCCTGTGAATGCTATATTGACTGAGAAAGCTGATCTCTCCCGCTGTGGAGCTTTGCCAGCTGTGTCGACGTGTACCAGGATGGACTTATTTTGTTCAACACAAGCTTGAACAACTTACGACTAATGTCGACGAAGAAATATTCTTACACCCAAACCAAAAAATTCCACCATACACCTAGGCGGAAATTAGGACTGCTTAATTTTCCCTGTAGACAACTTTTGACATAGTTTCCCTTATCCCTGAATATTGTTAAAATGCTGTAATGATTTACCAGGGGGTCTGTCGATGGATTGCAGATTTCAAATCGATTTACATTTTGACTTAATCAATGGTGTGTTTTTATTTTCAATGTTGGTTTTTAATGGCGCTCCATCTCCTGCCCACAGCGTGGAGCGCTACGACCCCAGCAAGGACGCCTGGGAAATGGTAGCCTCCATGGCAGATAAAAGGATCAACTTCGGAGTGGGCGTCATGCTCGGCTTCATATTTGTGGTGGGTGGACACAACGGCGTGTCCCACCTGTCGAGCATCGAGCGGTACGATCCACATCAGAACCAGTGGACGGCCTGTCGGCCAATGAACGAGCCTCGCACCGGTGAGTTTCCACCATGATCCTCTGAAGAGACTATGTGTTGAAGGCGTGAATGGATGTGCAGACTGTCGCTTGAACCTGTTGAGATGCATGACCGTGTTTGATTCAATGCAGGTGTGGGCTCTGCTATCGTCGACAACTACCTCTATGTGGTGGGAGGTCACTCCGGGTCGTCCTACCTGAACACCGTCCAGCGCTACGACCCCATCTCAGACAGCTGGTTGGACTCGAGCGGCATGATGTATTGCCGTTGCAACTTCGGTCTGACGGCCCTTTGACCCATGGCCCAGCCGGCTCGGACCAAATGAGCCAACTTAGACACAAACAAGGTTTCTTTTCTTTTCTGCTCCTCCCGCCCCACATTCATCCTCCAAGTGCTAAAGAGCGCTTGCACATCAATGTGAACACCACAGGGGAGAGAGAGAAATGGAGAGCCTGCTGGTTGGATGGATGTGCTGGCTGGCTGGCTAGAGTTGGGTGGGGCACACGGACGGGGCGGCAGAAATGAGAAAGAGCTGCAAAGTTGTGCAGAACAGAGAGGCGAGACGATTGGACAGCGGTTGTCCCGGGCCGTTGCTGCCGGACCCCAATGTGGACACTGAGCCATTTCCCAGGGGACGGTGGGAGAAAACCAGTCACTTTTGTTTCAAAAGTTCTGTTAAGTTAGCAGACATTATTCAGTTTTTCTTCATGCCATTAATTGTGTTAAACACAATTTGAAAAAAAAAAAAACTAAAAGAAAAAACGATTTTCCTGCTGCAGCTGGAACCATGTGTTCAGATTTTCTAGAGCACCGCAGTTTGCTGGTGTATTTGAATGTGGTTGTTGGCCGTGGAGGTGTGTGTGCGTGTGTGTGCGTGCGTGTGTGCATGTCGGATAGGATTGTTTGTTTTGTTACGTGTCAGGGTGCTGAGCTGATGCTCGGGCTCAGCGACGCAGGTGTTCTGCATCAAAATCAGTGCTTCACAAAAAAGAGAAAAGTTGAAATCTTTATATTTTCAAAAAGGGCTGCTTTTTCTCTATTGTAAATAAGTCTAAATAGAAATATATATATATATATAGATATTAATATATCCTCTAGTGCATTGCCTGTAAATGTTATTCTGCACTGGGTCACTAGGGTGTGAGCGGATGTGTTTGTAGTTGGAGGGTCAGCGTAGACGTGAGTGACACATCCTCCTGGGAGCCAATGTCACACGTTTCTGCTTCATCCTCGGAGAAATAAAATAAAAATAAAAAATGAAAAAATCCCTACCTTCTTGTTTCTGTTACATCTTCTGAAGGTCGGGTCATACACTTCTACTCTTGAGAATAGTTGAAATCGGCCGTGGCCCCCTTTCCACCCTTTGGTCTGCATACAATACCAACTGGTGCTATATTTAGGATTCAGGATTCAGCTCTTTGTCTGTGTTGCCTCACGCAATTGGGTCAACCTCCATCCAGCCGCTGCCTAAGATGCTCCTGATTTGATTCAAGCACTTGCAGTGTTTTCCATGCCGCCCCCCCCTCCACCACCCCCAAGCTGTAAACCCTAGGAGGAAACTGACTTGTAATTGCGTGACGGTTAATGGCCAACCATGCAATAAAACTAAAAGGACAGCCTGTGGTTGGGGGGCGGGGGGAACCAGCAACTGCTCTCCATCAATTTCTAGAAAGTCAGAGAAAACCAGCTTGGACTGGTTCAATTAATTCATTTTCATTTAGAAAAGCCCAGGAGGCTGGATATGAGCATGCTTTGTCATTGTCTTAATTCCTGTTCTACTGTCCCTCGCTCCATTTATCCATGTATTTATTTATTCTGCCTGGGCTCCAGGCTGCCCCCTGCTGTCGAACATGGGACCCTCATGTAGCCCCGGGCCTTGTCTGCAGGCTCGGGCTCGAGGTGAACGATCGCAGCTCAATTTGAAGTGCCAAAACACAACTTCCTTTCTTTTCTTTTTGTGCATCTTTTCCCCCCTCCAGCATGAGAAACTGCTTCCTTCGAGTGCCACTGTTCAAACTAACAGACGGGCGACGCAAGGCACAGCGCTGGAGGGGGTCACCGGTCTATGAAAGGCTAAGGGGGGGGGGGGGGGGGAGGAGGTCTTGTTTAGTCACTTAATGTTCAGGTCTAGTTTGAATTGCTCTCTGCACTGACGTTTGCACAGTAGTGGAAACTTTAACCAAGCTCTGCATTGCACTTACCAAACTATTTGATACATCGTGTAACTTGTGCATACGTTCTCATTTAGGATAACGGCATTTAGGCAATGCAATAAGACTTGTGTTTTCTCTGTGGATGAATATGTACGCGTTTGTCTCTAAACAGCCAAGGCATCTCATATTGCTGTAACAGAAACCAACATGGCATGTCTGTAGGCGGTGACGTCTGATGGGACATCAACTGCCCCGTCCCACCAGGCCGCGGCTCGTGTTGTCATGTTGTTGTGCATGCCGGTTTCGTGTGTGCCAGGCCGATGTTTGAGGTAGCTTCAGATGGATTGCGCACAATTACTGCATTCATTATAATTAATGTCCCAACACAAAGTATACACCTTTTTTATTGTTTTTAATTCTGCTTTTTCCACCTGGTATACAAGTCTTGTGAACATTAGACAAGTCGATGTCTAAACTGCGTGTTTTAAACATTAGGGAAACTATTACTACAGACAGGAACTCAAATGATTTTTGGCAAATTTGTTTAGGATCTAATTGGTGAGACATTTAATCGGTTTGCTTGTTTTCATCACCATGTAGAGAACTTTACTTCTGATTTCTGGTTTATTTAGAAAGCGTAACGTAAGCAACCAAAACATTTCTGCAAATGTGTCATTTTGTTTTAAATATGACTTTAATTGTATTCATAATTTGTACTGTTGTGTCCTGTAACCTGATTTCGTTAGTCACTTGACAGCCGCAGCACAAATCACGCAGGCGTAATTATGTGCTGCGGCCATGATTCACTTCATTCATCAGCATCCGTGTTGTGTACAGTCATGATTTCTGAGGTGTATATTGATTACTAATTTGATTCATTTTTGGAGCGATGCTGATTAAAATCTGCAAACGTGGATCTGCAAAAAGAAGGGATGTTATATATTGAGTTTGTATGCATTTTCATTATGGCCTAACCAATGTCATGTTTTTGCCACCACTTTCACCAAAGTGCTCGTTCAAAGAAAGCCGATGGATGACCAACACCTGGTCTGCCACTAATGTTTGTGTCAGAAAGAGAAAATCCTTTTGAAATTGATGTCAATGTTAGCCAAATAACCACTCTGCTTCTTTTACATTTCCCATTTTGTGTCTGGAGTAAGGTGACGATCTTGAATTTTATATCCTGTGGATTAATACTGGAAGTACAAGATGACCTGAGGTGTAGAAACCGTAGCTTTTCACATTTTGTCATGTTTTTTTGATTGAAGACATTTTACATTCTAGTCAGTTTGTGTGGTGCAGTTGTACCCAATTTAAAATAAATGCCTGCCTTAAAAGGTACTGTCTGCTTTTATGTGGCTCCAGACCCATGCAAGTGCAACAAAATAAATCGATACAAATATATTTCAAAATATTTATTTGTACTGTGCATTGTAAAAACCAGATTTACACTGGAGAGGATCTGCTTTCTCAAATGATCCTTCGCAGAGGCACTGTGGTACCAAGCCGAGGTTAAAAACAATTGTGTGCAGTCTTATTTAGGCAATCAAAATGAAAACAAGATATTCCAGACAGCCCTCGAACTTTATATTAAAGAAATCGGAAGCTTTATGAATTAAGTTTTGCAATTTGGACAAACTTGTGCACTCACTGAAAAAGATTTTTTTTCATGACATCCCTCCTTTAAACAACATACTTTCATCTTGATTCATTTGAATCTTTCCTACAATTCAAACGTCTTAGAAAAAAAATCAAGTTAACCCGACGTGGACGTCTGTTGTTTCCAGCCAGTCTAGAGATAGCACCAGTTTAATTAAAGGAATAATGAGTGTAATCCATCCAACAGCCACGATGTTTGAATTACAGTCAGAATCTCTTGTGTGTCGGCTCACTGCGTGATGTGCATTTCTCGCTGCGCCGCTCATTTAGTACAGAACTATTATAGCCCATTACATTCTTGGATTCCAAGTATGCTCCCCAAAAAAATCTGTTTTGTGCAGTAAGCCCTCTGCAAGCATTCAGGCAAAGTGGAGCATTCGTCACTCGCAGCAGATGACAAAAATGAATACGCGATATGTAGAGCAACATGGAGATGCAATCGATGGGGGGTCACGACAACACGTTGGTAGGAAGGAAGGGTGGATGAGCGAATGGCTCCGCTGAGGGGACGAGTTTCACTTGTCGGAGGCGCGGATGTAGACCAGCGAGGACAGCAGCAGGAGCTCCGGCGGCTTGTGCAACAGAATCAGGTTGTCGCTCCTCAGGCCGTCGTAGTGCATCCAGCAGCCGTCTATCTGGAAGGCCGCCGAGTAGTGGTGCTCCTCCTTGTTGAAGAGTGTGGCGCCCTCTAGTAAGTACCTGTGCAGCAAAAAAGAAAAAGAAAAGAGCTGTTAATAATCTCCAAAATAAGGGCATTGATGATTGCTCAAACAGCTTTTCATCTTTCTTCCGAGAGTGAGGAGAGTTGTAGAACAAGTATCATTTTTTCCCTGCATTCATCATCTCGCAGGTACAAAATCTGTCGCAAGTATTTTGGCACTTTGAGCTTTTGATTGGCTCATTTTATAGCGTAATCAAAGAAATTAGCTCTCCTTTTGTTTGTTATTTTGTTATTTATTTATATTGTAAACAGCGTTCCAGAAGCACGGCACAACTTTAAATGTACACCAAGTCGATAGAGACGCACTGTGGGAACCTCCACACCTGTGCTGGCAGAGAGCCAGATGGTAGGGGACATAGGACAGCTCCTCTGACTTCCACTGCTGCATGTTGAGGATGACAAAGGGCGGGGGTCCGTGGCAGAAAGCCCTCTGAGAGATCTCCCTGAGACCATCACACCTGAAAGAAAAAAAAAGAAGATGAGCCCTTCAGTAAAAGTGAACAAAGACCGAACGGGGGAACAGAGGAAGGCGGAACTCCCTGCATGTGTCTCACCCCAGCTCTGAGCAGAGGAGGAGTTTGGGGCAGGAGAACTCGTCCGCGGCCGACTGGACGGGGTCTCTGAGAGGCAGCTCGTGAGGCGGGCTGGAGGGAATAAGTGCACACACCGTAAACGAGCACCGGCCTGAGAGGAAAACACCGCTCACAGCGACAACTTTGATTCAATGCACACAAATGAGGCCGGGGACAAGCGATGCATGCCGCTTAAAATCACACAGGGCACGTCAAGTGGGCCGCGTAAAAAACCCATTCAGGGATGGAGCTCTACTATCGCTAGATGAAGACAGAAGCCGGTGTCTAAAGTCCTGGCGCTTTGGAGCCTCTGCGTATAGTTGCATCAGGTTCCCATGGTAACACCAGGATGCGTCACGCCACCCTGCGGTTACCTGATGTCGATGGTGGTGCTGATGAACTCCCGGAAGCGGGCCGGGCAGCTGCAGCTGGTGCACAGGCTCTCCTGCATGGTGGACATGAGGTTCTCCAGGTTCTCCGTGAAATTATCGTGCTCGTTGCCGAACAGGTCGATCTCCAGCGCCGCCTTGCGTATCTCGGAGCGGTACTGTCTCCTGGACATCCGGTCCCAGATCCACAGCATCTTCACGGTGGTGTAGTCGCAGGAGTCCATCAGGCGGAGGAAGTACTCCACGAAGTGCTTCCCCAGGAAGACGGCCAGCTCCCCGGGGAAGCCCCGGTTGTCCCGCAGGATCACGTACAGGATCACCAGGAAGCCGTCGATGGTGCACGTGTTTTTTAGGTTGATCTTGACGTACAGCGGGGTGCACGAGACGGCCTTCCGTCCCGCCCTGATGGTGAACACGCCCCCCCAAGGCAGCACGGGCCTCCAGAAGGAGCGGTCCTCTTCCTCGTTGTTGTTGATGGAGGCACGGATCTCTTCGAACAGCGTCTTTGACCTAGAGACACACGCGTTGGGAGTTAGCGGCGTGGGGGGAGTGGTGGTGATGGGGGCGGGGCAAACAGACGTGACGTGCGCTGGCAATAACAACTCAAGTCACGCAATGACAAGCAACGTCCCGTTGTCCTCCGGGGAATAGACGTAGCCCCCCAGAAGCCCGCTAGCTTAACACGTTAGCAGCTCCTGTTGATTTACCTTTCGAAGTGGAGATTGTTCTCGGTGTGTGAAATTAGCGCGCGGAAGTCTTCGGTGTCCCTCAAAACACAGAATCTGCTCTCCATCGCTCCCTGTATTTCTTCATGACTTACGTCGGACTCGAAGCCGGGGGATCAGATTTCTAACGTTAGTCAAGTGTAGTATTGTCTAGAACATTATGGTGATTGTCCGACCGGTGACGCCCCGGAAAAGGATCAAAACAAACTGGGTCAAACATCGAGTTGGGCCAACATAAACACTGCCGTCTTTTTCTTCTCTTATTCTTGATGGATGATTTAAGTGGTGTGCAACTGTGGTGCTGCCCACTGCTGGTCGCCAGCGTAACGCCACCCTGTGAAGTCCCGCCCACTGCCCGGGATGACGCGGCCTAGCTGGGAATGTTACTGGTCAGGTGGTCCTAGTACTGTGTTACAATAGCTTTGCGATTGGTCGTCAAAGTTGACAGTTTGTTAGTAGCCGCGCCGATGCAAGCCACATCCCCCCCCCCCCCCCCCAGAACCAATTCCTGAAAGATGAACAGAGCAAGACCCACATCACCGGGGGAAGACCAGGTATGCTACATTATGCTAAAACATTTTGGAAAAGTAGCTCAATTGAAGCTGCTGGGACTTTATAACAGAGTATGGGAGGACAGGAAGTCACCGAGCACATGAAAACCCAGCAGCGCTAACATCCAACATCTGTAAAGTAATGGAACAACGGCAAGTGGTCTGAGAGTGGATTTAGGAAGGAACACCATGGACTCAGTAATACTGCTAGAGAATGCAATTCGAAGGGCTCAGGCAAACAGTCAGTCATGGCAGTGTTATTTGACATTCATGCTTTCTAATTGAGCTGCATAAACTGGGAATTGGTGGAAGAATGTACAACTGGATAGAATATTTGAGGGTCAAAGTCACAAGGGTATACAGGAGAGAAGAGACAAATATGACAATAAGGTAAAAACACCAGACAGGGTTGTGTGAAGGATTTGGAGAGGAGGAGTCTGCACATCGTTTCTGGGATGCAAAGAGGATGAGGAATCAGCTGAGGGGATCAGAAAGCACACGACAGACTGACTGTGGGTGAGAGAGCACAGGGTGGAATACTGTTAGCCTTCCTAAAGAGCACAGGGGTATATGATCGGATATGATGGAAATGCGGGATATGGTACAAAGGTGATTTATTAATTTAATTGAGATATATATGTTTTTAATTATTCTATTGATTTATTAATTTTACTTTTTGGGGAGGAAGGGGTATTTTGGGAGAAAGACTCTTGTCTGATCCACACTCCGGTACAGAAGGTGGCGGTAATGCACCAATAAGATAGATGCCGACTGCCGTTAAAGCAAAAAAAAGAAGAATTCTAAAAGTCAACAGGCTGATTTTCCGCGGCAGCGTTGCGTTTGAGAACGGTGCCCATAGATACATATAAAGACTAGATGTCTCGTCCGCGTTGGCGGACTCCAGCCCCCATGCAACCCTGTGTGCAGGATAAGCGGTTTGCAGATGGATGGATGGATAAATCACATAACTACCTTGTGCATGTGTGTATTCATTGCACCTATCTGTTCGGTTTAATGTTATTTTAAAATGGAAACCTATGGTTATAATTATTCATAAATATGCAGTGTCATAAATACATATATGTATATTTGTAAAGGGAAATCTCGTACCTATTTCAGAACATTGTTCTATTTTTTAGAACATAACATAATTATTCATAAGTATGATAAATACATCCCTGACGTTTATGACAAACCAAACAGTTTAAAAATCAGTTGAAAAATTGAGCAAGTTATGGTTATTTAAAAAGTGCATGTACCACTACCAACACAATGTTATGGGTGAGCGAGCTGCCTGTAGCAAGATGGCCGCCACGTGCAACCGTTCTAGAATCCGCCGTGTGACATCTAGCTTTTATATATATCTATGGCGTGCGTCACCACCTTTCGTACAAACTTGAGTTGTTCGCGACCCTCCGCGCGCTATTCCTGTCTTGTCTTGGTCAACGTGTGCAGGAGACACCAGAACCTTTGAGCACGGACTACAAAGCCCTAAATATGTCTGCGCAAATCATATCCGGGAAGGAAGTTTCAGCGTAAGTGTCATATTTTCTTATCCATATTTTTTATGAATGTACAGTCGAATAACGTGCGGTGTAAATCCGCTCGGAGGGAGCGTGCTCTGGCTAACGAGTCAGCTAAGCAGCCCTCCGAGTTAACCGTTACTTGATAACTAAAGCCACATTTATCGTTGACAACGTACGTCACGTTACGTGATAGTTCACGCAACGTCATACTCCGCCAAACGTATTTCTTAACTTGGCCGTTTATTTAAATTCTATGAATGCGTTGCCCATCATGCGCTCCACGTGAAGGACGTGTGGTGTTGCCGGCACTTATTTGTATTACATCATAGTTACGCGACGATAAGTCGCAGTGGACTCTCCTTCTCTCTCACGTTGCATGGAGCGTTTTCTGACAATTATGTACATTTATATTTAACGTGTTGTCACAAGATGCACCGACTTGTGTCACATTCTGATCGGGGATAATCCGCAATGGCTGCAAATGCCCGCAGCATTATGTAAGCGGATGATTATGATCTTTGCCCCATTGGTCCAAGTGAACCAAAACACCGAGGCTGCAAATCGGTTTGTGATGTTAGTGCGACGTTTGGACGACTCGAAATCAATGAGCCCAAGACCTCTAATTTAGATGCATGTGCTTGTCACAAGACATGCTGCAAGACTCGCTGCATGCTGCCTCCTGTTAACTGCCCTTCACACAACTCATTCTAGATTAGTTTATTTGCAGATCTGCTCAGAGGTTTTGTGTGTCGACAGTTCTGTCTGTGAATGATGATTTTACTGATAGTCTTCAGTTTATCTGCCCTGCTTTTTGTGAGTAGATAATAAGCCGCATTGTGACGGTTGTTTAGTAAAATATTCAACCCAAAACACCAAGTAGATCTATTTTTTTTTTTTTACATTATTTGCATCATGATCATTGAAATATGTATTTTGTCATTCCCTTCCTTCTCGAGATGTTGTTGTCATTGAAATGCCTCCTCCTTTAAACAACGGTAATTCAGGGATTTGGGTTAATAAGCCTATAAGAGCATGATGGATATTTGGACAAAACTTCTGGATCAATCTTCTGGAATTTAAAACACTCATTTTGTAGGTTCACTGGGGCGAAAACACACGAGTTATTTCAAAAGGTAGTTAAACAAGCTGTCACTCTATTGTGTAATGCATCCACAATCAATAGTAGTCACATGGTCTGTTCATGTCTCAATCCAGGTCTGAGATATTTAAATATAATTGTAGAGCTTTTTAAATAAAACTGTACAAGATCAATGAAGCTGAATTGGTTGTTTGATTTATTGCAGCCAGGGTCGATCTCTGTAGACAGACAACTTGATCTTACAATAGATTTTGTTTGCTGGGAGCAAAAGTCCTTTGTGTCCCCCCCCTGTCCTGTCTTTGTTTAGCGGAGTTGACTAACCTACAATAGTACGATTTAAGGGGACAGATAAAACTTCAAATCATTAATCGAAAGATAAGATTATGATTTCACCTAAGCTGACTCTGTGATCCTGAGCGTTGACTGTGGAGCTTAACAGTTTAAGGAAATTCTTTCCATATCCCCCCCGATGAGAATGCCGGATGTGATGTGATGTACCCGTCCCTTTCCTGTTTCACCTCTCGCTGCAAAGAGCTTTTAAAAACCCGGTTGTGTTTTATCCTGTGTTCTCAGGCAGGTGAGGGAGCGTCTCAAGACGGACGTGGAGCAGATGAAGCTTCAGGACCCAAACTTCACACCCGGTCTCGTGGTTTTACAGGTGAGGGCGGGACTGGAAGAAGCTGGAGGAGCACGTTGTGGGCCACGTGCTTCCTCGTGACCTTCCCCTGGAGAAGGTCATGCACCGTCTCACGTGTGTCATCGCGTGTCCCTGCCGTGGAGCGTAAACTCTACGTGTCCTTTGCAGGTTGGAGACCGGGATGATTCGAATCTGTACATCAGCATGAAGTTGAAGGCAGCAGCAGAGGTGAAGAAAGATATTTACCTGCAGTTGGTTCACCTCAGTGCCGCTGTGTTACGATTGTGATCCTCACCGACTCGATGCGTTTTTTCTTTCTGTACAGATTGGAATAAATGCTACACATGTAAGACTTCCCGAGACCGCGACGGAGGAGGAGGTGAGAATGGACACAAAGTGTTTGTGTAGCTTTCCGTTACGCACACACGCAGCGTTGATGTTCTTAAACCAGCACAGTCAGATTTGTGGTTCAAAACGGGGATTCTGAGGTAAAACCTGGCAAATGTCACACTGAAAGTAGCTAAAAGTCTAAAGGCTGTGTGTCTGTCTCTCTGTCCACAGGTTCTTCACAGCATCACAGAGGTGAATGAGAACTCGTCCGTCCACGGCCTCATCGTGCAGCTGCCCTTGGACTCAATCCATAAGATCGACACGGAGAAGGTCACCAACGCCGTGGCGCCGGAGAAGGATGTGGACGGGTGGGTGCAGACGGAAATCTAAAGATCAGGGGGCTCCTTTTTTTTTTTTTACGCTCTGCTTTATTTATGTTTGTTTGCTGCCCTTTTTGATTCTGGTTCAAAACAAATCTCTTGAATCATTTTAGTGTTTGAGAAGCTTCAATTTGCGATGTTCAGGGTGTCGTGACCGTTTTCTAGGCTGACCAGCGTCAATGCAGGGAAGCTGTCTCGCGGGGACCTGGGCGACTGCTTCATCCCCTGCACACCAAACGGCTGCATGGAGTTGATCAGACAGACCGGTAAGTCTTCCCCCCCCCCCCCCCCACACACACACCTTTCCCATCTAAAGCAAAATAATTAGATGAGGCCATAATTAACCAACGGACGGATCACTTCTCTGCAGGTGTGTCTGTGGCGGGGAAGAAAGCCGTGGTGATCGGCCGTAGTAAGATCGTGGGCGCGCCGATGCACGACCTGCTGCTGTGGAACAACGCCACCGTCACCACCTGCCACTCCAAGACCGTGGATCTCCCCGGAGAGGTAGCAACGCGCCCCCCCCACCCCCCCCTCTCCCTAACCGCCTCGTGGTGATGACACGCAGCGAGTCGCAGATCTCTGCTGCAATCGTGTGGTAGAACACCGTAACGTCATGTCTTAGGAAATGTCCATGAGCTCTCCCGCTATTCTTTCATTCGTGACCAGGTGAGCAAAGCGGACATACTGGTTGTCGGCATCGGGAAAGCGGAGATGGTGAAAGGAGAGTGGATCAAGAAGGGGGCCGTTGTCATCGACTGTGGCATCAACCACATCCCAGGTGGCCTTTTCATTCCGCACTAGTCGGGGCACTGCGGTGGTAACTCGCCAATTGGTGCAAGTCTGAGTTTGTTTTTTTTGTCCCTTTCGGTTTTCCAGATGAGACTAAAGCGAATGGTAAGCGGGTGGTGGGCGACGTCGACTACGCCTCAGCCAAGGACCAGGCTGGCTTCATCACCCCTGTGCCCGGCGGGGTGGGACCCATGACTGTGGCCATGCTGATGTCGGTAAGGTGCCTCTGCAGATTGAATCCTCAACCAAACTCTCACGTTTCGGTAGACTAGAAGTTGATAGAACGACTGTGTGTGTGTGTGTGTGTGTGTGTGTAGAACACGGTGCTGAGTGCAAAACGTTTCCTGGAGAGCCACCAACCAGGGAAGTGGAACATTTCTTACACCAAACTCAACCTCCAGAAGCCCGTCCCAAGGTTTGTCCCCTCATCTCCCGTCGTTCCGTTCACGAATCCACCCGCGAGCAGGGTTTGTTTAACTCGCGCCGTCTTTCCCGCTCCGAACAGCGACATTGTGATTTCTCGCTCCTGCGTGCCGAAGCCCATCGACTGTCTAGCCAGAGAGGTGGGCCTTCTGTCTGACGAGGTGGAGCTCTACGGCAAAACAAAGGCCAAGGTCCAGCTGAGCATCATCAAACGGCTGCAGGCCCAACCAGACGGCAAATATGTGGTGGTCACTGGGTATTCAGCTCTTCATCTTCCTCCACGTCACTGTACTGCTGTGCAGCAGCAGCCTTTGCAATGATCATCTGCTAATTTGCTGACGGGTAGGTTCCATGCCGTGTTTTTTTTTGTTTTGTTTTTTTGTCTGCAGTATTACACCCACCCCCCTGGGTGAAGGAAAAAGCACCACCACAATCGGCCTGGTCCAGGCCCTCGGAGCCCAAATGAAGCTCAATGTGTTTGCTTGTGTCCGACAGCCTTCTCAGGGTCCCACCTTCGGCATTAAAGGTGATTTTTTTTTTTTCTTCTTCTTTTTGGTGGCACATGCTGTCTTGAGTCCTACTCAGTGTGTGTGTGTGTGTGTGTGTGTGTGTGTTCATGTATTTGGTATCGTGGTTTCTGCCTACAGGCGGCGCTGCGGGAGGCGGATATTCTCAAGTCATTCCCATGGAAGAGGTACAACCGACGACACGTTAGAAAAGCAGGCTGCTAAAATTGCACTGTGAAGAAGCCGCTTTTAATCCACCTGTCCGTTCACTTTAGTTCAACCTCCATCTCACCGGGGACATTCACGCCATCACAGCCGCCAACAACTTGGTGGCCGCTGCCGTCGATGCTCGCATGTTCCACGAGTCGACCCAATCCGACAAAGTGGGTGCTACGAATTAGTCGGTGCTGTTGAAAAAAAATTGAAAGAAAATGGCACGATGGATTTTGACCCTCATCCTGTGTCGTCAGGCTCTGTATAACCGCTTGGTGCCGCTCATTGGAGGAGAGAGGAAGTTCTCCCCCGTCCAGACCAACAGACTGAAAGTCAGTGACCGCAGCGCAGACTTGCAGTCTCTACTCTCGCGCTGCAAATTGAATTACATTCCAGTTTCTTTTGTTTAGAAACTGGGCATAGAGAAGACTGACCCCTCCACACTGACGGAGGAAGAGATCACCCGCTTCGCCCGCCTGGACATGGATCCGAGCTCCGTCACCTGGCAGAGAGGTGTGAACACCCACGACGTCCTTTAAACCCAGACGACTGCTGCGCTTTTCTGCCTCTTTTTAAATCTTCGGTTTGTCAGCGAGTGCATTGATCTCTGACCATCATTGACCTCCTAGTGTTGGATACCAACGATCGATTCCTGAGGAAGATCACGATCGGCCAGTCGCCCACTGAAAAGGGCCACACGAGAGAGGTAAAGGGAGAATGGTCGCGTGCAAGTTTGTTACTATAATGAGAAAACAACGGCTGTGTATAATACATATGTAACCATGAGGTGATGTGTATTTCATACTAATATGATGTGTTACCCTCACCGAGCCCAGTTTGCTGCATTGCTTTTGGTAATCGGGGGACTCTGTCTTCCAGGCCCAGTTTGACATCACGGTGGCCAGTGAGATCATGGCCGTGCTCGCCCTCACCAGCAGCCTGGAGGACATGCGCCAGCGTCTGGCCAGGATGGTGGTGGCCACCAGCCGCGGCGGAGTGCCCATCACCACCGAGGACCTGGTCAGTGGTCTGGAGCCGCCGTCGCCACGGCGACTCGGGTTCCTATGACTTACCGCCCTTTCTTCTCTGTAGGGCGTGAGCGGTGCTCTAGCTGTGCTGATGAGAGATGCCATCAAGCCAAACCTGATGCAGACCTTGGAGGTGGGTTTAGAAATAACACGCTAACCTGAATCCGTTCCAACGAGAAGCTCTCCGTCAGCCAGGAAATGTTGTGTTGACCTTCGCTTGTGGGTCTTGTGTCCACAGGGAACGCCTGTGTTTGTCCACGCCGGCCCGTTCGCCAACATCGCCCACGGCAACTCCTCCATCCTGGCGGATAAAATCGCTTTGAAGCTGGTTGGACCCGAGGGCTTTGTGGGTAGGTGGAGCTGAGGAGTTGGTTCGCACAAGTGACTTGAGTGACAAATGTCGTATGACTTGACCACACGGCAGCTGTGAGTCGGTTACCGTTCTGTCTCGCAACCCTTTCTCACTTCTGCGTGACAGTGACGGAGGCCGGCTTTGGTGCCGACATCGGCATGGAGAAGTTCTTCAACATCAAGTGCCGGTACTCAGGCCTCAGGCCCCACGTGGTGGTGCTGGTGGCCACGGTTCGAGCGCTGAAGATGCACGGAGGAGGACAAACGGTGAGTTTGCTTGAGTTCCCCTCCGTAATCCTAATGACTTGGTCAGCATTGTGCCGAGTTTTTTTTTCAATGGAAAAAAACTGAATATAGGTAATTTCAAATGTGGATAACTATATATTTATATAGCAGTTTCTCTGATTCAATAAACAAATCACAAATGTGTGAATACAATTGATCGAGAACTTGATTTTTTCCCCCAGCGCCTTTTGTATGAAATTGTTGAATTATTCAAATTAATTAAATGTTTGACTCGTCTCTTGTTCAGGTCACAGCTGGGATGCCGCTGCCGAAAGAATACATCGAGGAGGTAATCAATAAGTGGTCCTGATTGTGTGTTGTTATTACTTACTCTGTCAATAGAGGGCAGACCAGCATGTTGGAGTACAAAGTAAACACAATATGAGCATCTACATTAAAACAGTACTGCAGCTCTTTACTTTCTTCTCTTAAGCAAATTGTTCTCGCTCCGCACGTAGAACCTTGAGCTGCTGGAGAAGGGCTGCAGCAACATGAGGAAGCAGATAGAGAACGCGCAGCACTTCGGCGTGCCGGTGGTCGTGGCTGTTAACGCTTTCAAGTAAGTGAGGGGAGACGACAGCGACGCGGCGGCGGGGCCAAAATGATCCAAATTGGGACGCGCCGTGTCACAGATATCGAGTGTGTCTCTGAATGTCGCCCGGACCCGTCCCCGCAGGACGGACACCGAGGCGGAGCTCGACCTGGTCTGCCGCGTGGCCAAAGCCGCCGGGGCCTTCGACGCCGTGCACTGCTCCCACTGGGCCGAAGGCGGAGCCGGGGCCGTGGCCCTGGGCCAGGCCGTGAAGAGGGCCTCTGAGGCCCCCAGCCAGTTCAAGTTCCTCTACGACCTGGAGGTGCGGCTTATCTCGTTTCCTGTTTTTTCACCAGGAGCTTTAGGAATTTGCCAGAAAACGTGACTGTTATTATATTTAAGTTGACTGTTAAGAGGGTTGAAAACATTGTTCTTGGAGAAATGTTCTTATTCACTGAGAGATTTTTGTACATGCATGCAAAAATGTACGGAATGCTACTTTTCTCTGGTTTGCCTTATTGGGCCGACGTACCCATTTTATTATTATTTCTAATTCCTATCTAGCTCCCTATCGCTGATAAGATTCGAATAATCGCCCAGAAGATTTACGGGGCGGATGACATTGAGCTTCTCCCCGAGGCTCAACACAAGGTGGAGCTCTACACCAAACAGGTAAGAGTCCATTTATTTATTTATTTTTTGGGGCAGATGCTTCCGGTGGAAATCTTCACAACTGATTAAAGAATGATTTCTTAGTAAACCATCTAATACATTTCCTGTCTGCCACCTTCTCCCTTGCCACCCCCCCTCCCTCCTCCCCAGGGGTTCAGCAAGCTGCCGATCTGCATGGCAAAGACTCACCTGTCGCTCTCCCATGAGGCCGACAAGAAGGGTGTGCCCACGGGGTTCGTCCTGCCCATCAGAGACATCCGTGCCAGTGTGGGCTCCGGGTTTTTGTTCCCACTGGTCGGCACGGTAAGCTTTCAAACGTGCAGCGGGTTCACGCCTGGGAGGGGCTCCCAACTGCTCTGGGACAGTGTAACTGGATGTTATGCATTCAGCAGTCTGTCTTAGAAAGCATAATTGTACGTTAGGGTGAATTCAAAGTGCGGCTTAAGCACTGAAATAACGAATGCATGATGTCACCCATCGTCTGCCTCACAGGCTGCTGTGATCGGTTTGTGCAAAGCGGCATTCAGACATTATTCTCCCACTGAAAGCAAATGGCTGAATTCATTCTTTATAACATGGCTGCACGGGAACGTCCCCTTTTCTTAAATTGAAGTCTAAGCTTCAAACCTGCATGTTGAGGCCCATCGTTGAGCAACTCCCCTGTTTACTTGAAGAAGGCAGTTTGGGTGTTCACTTGCACCATTTTTTTCAAAAATGGTAAAAAACAAACAACCTGTTTTTCTCTTGCTGTTCCTGCTAGATGCCCACGATCCCCGGTCTGCCCACCAGGCCGTGTTTCTACGACATCGACCTGGACCCGGAGACTGAGCAGGTCAACGGTCTCTTCTGAAGCCGTTATAGACGTACAAACGCGAGTGGCCCGTTAATGGCTGATTCGTGTGAATGTCTATTCCTTTGTTGACCCCTCCCTCCCCCAACACACACACACACACACACACACGCAGGCATGCTGTATTGACCCAACGACCCCCCCACTCCCACCACTGAGCCTTTATGAAATGTGGTGCACTATTAACCGGGAACACCATGAGCTTGATTTGTTCAATGCTTTTCACTCTGACATCTGGAAGTTGGTTTGTTTTCCCCATGTGATTGTAAAAATCAAGAAACTTGATTAATTTAATGTTTTTACTAACAGACTTGGACATGAAAGAAGGCAGTATGCTGTTGACCGTTCTCTCCGTTACATTGTTCACTGTACCTCAATTACAATAATAAGCCACTGAAGAACCCTAAAAAGATTCTAATATGGCAGATCTGAGTTTTTGTGTTAACTTGTGTATGTTTTTTTTGTGCACTGCATCACTGTCTTTCTTATACAATCTGAGTTTTTTGTGAGATGTCCTGTTGCAACTGTCATGTGTTCTAATATTTCTAACATTGTTGGATAAACCATGAACTTGTAAGTTTGGAGATCAGAAAAGATCAAATAAAAGGCCTTAATGGAAAGATTGCATACTAAACATTTTGTTGTTGTTGTTTTTACGGTAACTAGTTGTGGCTCATTACTCCCTCACTTTCATGCCTTTCATTAATATTAGTTTCATTATTCCCTCAGACCAGCAGGATGATGAACTCGGTCCAGAGCGGCTCTCTGATGGTGTTTGCAGGCAGAAAATACAATAGAAAAAGTACAAACTATTGACTTGAGTGCACCACAAGGTTTAATACTTTGTATTCTTTCGTCTGGTTAAAACTAGGAGTATATAAATATACAATCCGCATTATTAAATACATATTAATGAAAAATATATTAATCACATTGAACACAAATATAAAGTATGTCACTAATTCATAGTAAAGCTCGTGGTGTGGGTATTAGTAGTAGTACCTTTAGTAGTAACTGCACATCTGCGATGACCGCAGTTAAAATAAATAAGTTGTTGGTCAATCATTGCATCACCATGGAAACCCAGGAATAGAAAGGAAGCAGACTTGAGACCCAAGGCTCACATCACATGTGCATCAATTCAATAAGAAGGAAGGCAAAAAGCAGCCCAACGGGAAACCAAACAACAGCCTGCATTGTTCAAACTAGTTTTTGATGCAGGGGCCGTCTCAGAAAAGGTACGAAAATTTAGCAGAAATCCAAAAAGAGGGTCAACAAATGTGCTGTGTAAAAATCCTGAGTGTTTCCCAATCTGATGTGCAGCTGTCTGCTGAGCCCACTCACTCCCCTTATTATGAACTTTATTCTTTTTGGCCACATGCCATGCATGTGATAATGCTGTTTGATATTATATTCCGGGGGCTGATTGATTTGTATCGTCCCTCATCCTCATCCTGACTTTCATTGTATTTTACAAGTCTGTTCAGCTGCTCTGCACATATTTATTCGACGCACATATTTTTCATGACTGTCGTGCAAATGACAAACCTACATAGTCATCTCCCTCTGTGAGACGCCGGCCTGCATATTTACCTTCCTCAGATTACAGAGATAAATTCATTTGCATTTTTTTGCATTAGTGTATTATATCATGTGAATAAACATCAGATCAGTCTTTCTTTCCTATAGATTCGTTTATTGAAGATGCATTTCAGTCTTTACTACAGAACGGCGTTTGAAATATTCCTTCATCATTCGTGACCACCGCGACCTCCTCGACCTCCACGACCACCGCGATCGCCGCGATCATGACCATGACCATGACCGCCTCCTTGGCCACCTCCATGTTCACCACCACGACCACCTTTTCCATGTTTCCCCTGTAGATAATCAAAACGATTGAGATAAATGCGCCGTCCTAAAAAGCTGCAGAGATGAATGGCTGTTTAGTCTGTAACACTCGTACCTTTCCTTGTCCTTCTTCCTGCTGTCGGAGACAATGTGGAATTTAATATCACCGTTACTGATTCAACCAGCGTGGAGCACGAGTTCGGAAGATGCAAGATGTCTTACCTTCCCATCCGGGGTTGGTTTGTCCTCTGGCTTCGTTACGTCGCTTGCCTGCAGGGGAGGAAAACCACTTGATGAGCAAACCTGTTGTGCTGCCGCTCGTCACGGGACTAAAGCACCTCGAGGAAAGACGACTCACCTGGGGGTCTGTGGCGAAAAGACAAAGCAAAGAGAAACAGGGCGTTAATTAAAATAGAGAAGACTGTTCCAAAGCAGTGTGACAGAGATGTAAGAGTGAGAGAGACTTACCAGACATGTTGTGTTGATGATGACCGCTGCAGTAGATGAAGTATTTTCCTTCGGAGGGAGAGAAAATGAACGCAAGGAGAATCGTTAAGTTTCAGAAACAGTCAAATTCAGTCATTTTAAATGAGCAACAATGCTGCTACTCCTCCACGTACCTGGTGCAGAAATCCAAAGGGCTTGTGTCTACGGTGTGTTTTCAGCCTGCATTTATAGGGAATCTCATGAGATGACGAACGTGGGTGTGAGTTTATGCAAGAAGTCACATGTTTATGACTGTTGTAAAGACCGGTTAGATTTGGGCTCGATCGGGGAACTGAGGGTGTTTTTGTCCTTAAGAGCCTCCAGCAGGTTCATCGCCAAACATTGAAAGAAGGGGTGTAACCACGGGGATAAAACTGGTTTCCCTGAAAATACATGCTTTTGTTCTCTTCAGAATCATTAAACTTTTCTCCATAATTTAAACTATACTGTTTTCTAAATAGTATATAAAACATGACCTGCTGCCTTTTACATTAAATATCCAATTATTAGATTGAACGTAGCAATTATTCATTGTGAAAAAGCAAAAAAAAAAGAGCCATCAATGCAGACTGGCTTGAAGGGTGCAACAGTCTTGTCTTACAGAATCTCTGCCCAATCCTGCAAACCATAGAATCCATGAAAAACATTCTGTATCTATAAATCTATAAAAACATGAAATGTATTAAAAAAATTCAAGTAAAAATAATGTGCAGTTAAATATGCAACAGTACCACCGGTGAGGTCACCTGGATATTGCTGATTTGTTTGTAAACACCAGTAATTCCAAGACCATTGTCTGTCTGGGTCCTTCCAAGAATCATGCAGATCAAACCCGGCTTACAGCTTCGCCCTCTACAGGCACGTCCTCACTGGGTCAGACAAACGGGTGATGTGCACGTGAGTTTAGCAAGAGACGACTAAAGCATGATCCAACCTGCCTTTTGTTCTCTGAACATGAGATCAAATCTTTGTGATCTCATGTTTTGATCTGTGTCACATGTCAATGCACAGTTGACTCTTTGGAGAGAAAACCATTTATAAAACAAAGCACTGTAAAAGCATATTAGTTTGATTGACGTCTTGGTTGTTGAAATGTATTTGAAGAAAGTGAAGAAGACTGCAAAGAAATGTTTGATTATAGAAAACAGTTCTAATGTAAATGCTGTTAAATGGTAAATCCCTCTTTTTTTTGGATATCATTAAGTAAATTTCTTATACATCCGAAAAATGTATGCCATGTTGAGTGGTGCATACACGGCATTAAACAAAAAACAATAATTTAAAATTAAGTTAACAATAGAATATAAAATAAAATACAGATAATAAAATAAAGTGCACAGGCACAAGATAACCATACTGAGTTTACCGACCATACCGACTAATTTCGACAATGTAGGTTTTGATTGAATTATTAAACATGCTTTATGTATCATACGACAAGATGAAATGTATTTTTAGGGCATCAGTTGCAATGAATCTTATAATAACTTCTCTCCCTCGTGTGTTTCAGGCTCGGGTTGAAGGCTGATCTGGCGCCACCTCGCGGGCACCGCGTGCGAGACAACTTCTGCTTGATGACGTCACTGCAGAGCCCCGCTAACGTGGAGGTCAGTACGGCTTTATTACTTTAATATCGCGCTTATCTAGCCTTATCTATCCGTCTAAAAGTCTTTCAATTATTAGTTTGCGTTACTGTGAGACGAATGGGATTTCAAATATTTTAATTACATTTGCTGGGCTGCAGTGTTACGTCACGGCTGCAAAACTTTAAATGCAATTAACGTTAGCATCAATACTGTGCTAGTCCCAAAATAAACAAGATGTTTATAGTACACGAAAATGGAGTTATTGAATCTGGTATTATGTAAAAGGTAAGTCAACTAATTCTACACAACTGTGATTAACCCGGCAATGAAAGTTATAAGACATACTTTGTGTGAATTTGTGTGAAGGATAAAACTAGCTTACATGCTAGTTGCAAGTTGGTCAGTTTGGTCCCCAACTTTGGTCCAGACTGAAATAACGCTTTCTAAATATTAAACATACATTTTCCCTTTATTTTTTTCCCCAAATACCAAAAATAATGACCTGCTGTAGCTGTAATAATACCAATATTCAACTTCTGCTTTATCTTTTCATTCTACACTCAAAAGTGTGTCACACTATTAGTCGACCTTAGTTGCAATTCATGAACGTTGCTGTAACTCAAGTTTTGCCATCAATTCCAGGTATTAACACTGTATTAGCAGACTCATTTCTTACATAAATTCTAAAATAGCTCAAATATTTGCAATAATATTTTCTCATTAGCAGCACCGATCCATGTAGAATGTAAACCACGTGGAGTGAGATGAAGCTCAGACGTTTCCATGGTGCTCGGACTGCTGCTTCTAACCTCCACCCGCCTTTGGCATCTGTCTGCTGCATGTCATTAGCTCTCAGACTTGGCTCTGGCTAAGGCTGCATGCCATGCATGAAGAATTGTGGGAAATTCTGCAGACCTTCCCCTGCCCCCCTCAGAATGCCTCCTCCTCCCTTTAGGAAGCCAGTTGAGTACCCTAAACATGTATTCTGGAGCCAGAAGTGGACGCAGCCGTTGAAACGAACAACACACGCATCTCCTTTATGATGCTTATAAAGTGGAACGTTTTGTTTCCATTTTCTAGATCAGTTCTTGTCTGCTTGAGTCACAAACACAAACAGAGAAACACGGAGCATGGTTCATTAAAAACATTTATATTTTATTTCTATATATTTTATATTTTACATCATACAAGTTCACATCAGGATCAGGATCAGGATCAGGAAACATTTATTACCAAAATATGCTAAACATACAAGGAATTTGTCTTGGCGGTTGGTGCGCGACAGTAGACAATGTGACAATAGACAAGACAGCAGTGCACAAGTAATAAAATAAAGTAAAATGAAATGCTAATGCAATGGGTTAGTAGAATAAGGCTATGGGTTAGTATAAAACAAGGGAATAAAGTTAAAAAATTTAAATATTAAGAAAGTTAAAAAATAAATATTAGGCATAAAGTGCACTAACGAACAAGTAACAAAGTGACGAGTGACGACAAAGTGATGAATTGCAGTTAAAGTGGCATGTGCTGTGTGAAGGGGAGTGACCGGTGGAACGTTATAGTCAGTCAGTGGGGGATCGGGCTCTGTTGATGAGCCCGACTGCCGCCGAAAATTATTGAAGAAACTGTTCGTGTGGCAGGAGGTCTTAGTCCTGATGGACCTCAGCCTCCTGCCAGATGGAAGGGGCACAAACAGTTTTTGTCCGGGATGAAAGGGGTCGGCCACGATCTTTTTAGCTCGCTTCAGAGACCTGGAAGCGAACAGGTCCTGCAGGGACGGCAGATTGCAGCCGATCACCCTCTCTGCAGAGCGGATGACCCGCTGCAGCCTGCCCTTGTCCTTGGCTGTGGCTGCAGCGTACCAGACGGTGATGGAGGAGCAGAGGATGGACTCCATGATGGCCGTGTAGCACAGATAGTAGCACAGATACAGGCACAAAGTCATTATTTACAATCCTGAAGACTTTTATAGGCCCTTGTCTTCAATACACAAATAACATGGATATCATAAAACTATTGTAACATAGTAATACACCTTGTATAATTGCAGTAATATACTACATATTTAAATACACACAGTATAGTTAAATACACATAGTAAAAAAAAAAGAAAAATGATCTTGTATACTATCTTTTTAAGTGACAGTGCTGATCTACTTTAAGATGCTGGGGAGCCGGATGGAATACAACTAGCATGCTCAGAGAGGAGGGAGAGAGAGAGAGAGAGGGAGAGATGGAGATAAGGGGGTGGGGGTGGGGGGGTTGGACCAGCGGATGGGTGCTGTGAAATCCGTAAACAGGGGAGCTCTGTGCATTTGTGGGACGTCTTGGCCGCTCGCCCGGCGTGGCTCATTGTGATCGCGGCATGGTCGTCGGCTCCGGGCAGCGCCCCCCCCCCCCCCCCCCCTCCCCACTCGGACCCCCCCGGCTGCCTCGCATCTGCACCCGGACCCGCTGCCATGGAAAGACCCGTGAGTGCCTACTCTCTCCTTTCCCTTCTCATCCCACACTCTCTCTCCCTCTCTCTGTCGCTCTCTCCCTGGTCCCCCCCCCCCCCCCCCCCTCCCCCCACATCTTCCTCCTCCGCTCTGTCGCAGATTCAGTCGTGGCTGCAGCGTTTCACTCATGCTCTTTCTCCGTCCTCTTGGAGCTCCTGTAGGTGGCAGGAACGCTGGGCAGGGAGGAAGCGCCTTGGCAGCTTTCTCTCTGCAGCCCCCCCCCCCCCGCCCCCCCACACCTCTTCTATTTTGCCTGCCCGTCCAGGCATGGGTGCCGTCCGCTGGCAGGCGCACAGCGTCTTTGCCTGTTGTGCGGTCGTTCGGTACTGACGCTGCACAGCCACTGAAGCCGCCGGTCAGACCCAAGAGGGGCGTCCGTCCCCACCCCCCCCCGCAGCAGAGTCCGCTGTGAGGAGGCCGGCGTTCACCTCCGTCCCCGCCGTTGGCCTCGGCGAGATTCCGATCGCGCGCCGTCTCTCCTCTGCGCCTATTCCTGGCGGTATGTCCCTCGTGCTCTGTTATGTTTGGATACCCTGACAACCGCTGCTGAGCTGCGAGGTGACGGCGACGTTCCAGCCGCTTCTCTGAGTGAGTCTCAACTTTTGCTCAACGTGTCGCCGAAGGCTCCGCGCGCTGCATTCACGATGTGTAGCCGTCGCGCAGGCAGCATATTGTCAGCGGACAAAGCGGTGGCGTCGATGAGAAAAGCGCTGTTTGTTTGTCGGGTTCTTCAGGCTCTTCTGTGTCCGGTGCGCCGGCCGTGAGTCATCGCTCTGTGCTCACATCGCAGCCTCCGCTCTCCTGTCGAATGAATGGCTTTGGCACATCTACTTCCTGTCTCTGTCAAGAAGGTGCGACCCCTCCGGATAGTTGTTTTCACGGTTTCAACAAGCAGCCGTGGCAACTTTTCCGTTGTCGCTTCCTCTCACTTCTGATTAAGCTCTGCAGCGCAATTTACAGTTGGTTGGAACTTACATTCTTGTGTTTTCTAAAAAGCTTAATTTTTGTTCATCTCATTGCCTGCCAGCATTGTGTTGGTTACATGAGGTAGGAGTCACCATCTTAATACTGACGTTTTATGAACCCTGGTTCACCAATTCAAAGGAAGAGTTCTTGTGCTTATGTGGTTTCTAGCTGAGAAAGTTGATACCAGTCAGTACGTTAAATGTGAAGCTTACAGACCGGCCGCTGGTCCTATCCCTTTAAACCAGGTTGTACATCACATCAGTTTTTATTGGAGCTTTTTTTGTCACAGCAACTCTGAGACGTCAAGACCTGAACCTCCGGGGAGCTTCTGCTTTAAAGAGTGTGCTGAACCAGAGAGGAGATCCTCAGTCACCCTTCAGTGTCTTAAGTGGCGAAGTTGCTGCCGGGTGAAATGAGATCTCGGTGTCAGAGGCGCTCGATGCCTCTCCAGCATCATTCTGGGATGACGTCCTAATCCCGCCTCTTGTCCCTTTTGACCGTTGCTTCAACGCAGCAGCTTGCTGGCACGCGTTAGCAGTTGGTACAGCGCGTTAAAGACGTGAATGGAGGTGTTAACACACACCTTCTAGCGGTGCCATGGGAGCACGCCGATTTTCAAGATGGGGCCTCTCGAGAACTCAGGGCCCCGAGGACCCCGAGGGCCCGCATCGGGACGTTTAACCGATGTGTAACCGAGCTTCGTAATGAACGCTGTGCTCAGAGTCGCGTGTTAATTATTTATGCTTTTTCTTAAATGAATGAAAATTTGTTTATTCGCTCACTAGTGTACGCAATGCCTCATTTGATGTCTCCTCCCAGACCCCCACTGACATGATGCCCAAAAAGGACCATGAGCGGGACGTGGAGCTGGACACGAAGATCGAGGCTCTCCGTCGGAAGAACGAAGCGCTCATGAGGAGGCACAAGGTGGAGTGGAAAGGCTTCATTTGGAGTCCTAAATGGTCTTTTCTGTGAAAGCCTGCGGCTCTTTGAGGCTCACTGATGAATCTGTCATTTTCATTGTGTGTTTAGGAAGTGGAGGAGGACAGGAAGAGGGCAGAAGAAGAAGGAATGGCGCTACTCAACCGCAAGGGCAAAGCCGAAGATCTTACCATCACGATCAGCAAGTCCACCAACGTGAGTTCATCTACAAGGGGGCAGACTTGAGAACTGATAAAAGCTCTTCTGACCAGCTGATGTGTCGATGCGCTGCTATCTGTGCTCGCGGCAACTTTCAGTCGCGCTTCTTTCTGGCGACAAAAAAGCCACAAACTACTTTCTGTTTGGAGCAGGACAGTCGGGTGGTGGTCACGAAGCCGCTCAGCGGCGATTCACCGGCCGCAAGGGGACAGCAGGAGGCCGGGCCCGACAGAGGGGGGGAAAGGCCCTCCGCGGGCCGTTGCCCGGGGCCACAGGAAGCAGCTCACGGTCACCATGGCTGGCAAGAAGGTAAACACACTGCTTCGGACAGGATACTGTTTTGCCTCCGGCGATGCTGCTGTGATACCCTGATATGAGCGGCTGTCTCCCCCAGGGTAAAGAGGGTGGGTGAAGCGAAAAATTCCACAGCGGGGGCCGGACCCTTCGGAACCCGAAAAGCCCCGCAGAGGACGGACAGGTGTGGCGCGTGGAGCCACCTCCCATGACCACGAGGCACGCGGCGGAACAGGTCTGAACCTAGTGAGCACTCCAGTCGTTTAAAACCCTGCAAGCACCCTCCTGTTTGTTGCCGTTCCCTTTGTTCGTTATCGGACTGCATCGACGTGTTTTTTTAGATGTCAGACATGCCGGATGGATACGCCCCTTCAGTGAGGGAGCACAATGGCCTGTGGACGGGAGGTGGACTGGCGCTGTGACTAACTGGTCTGTGAGAAATAAAGATGCTGGAAGGCGTGCTGAAGATGAAAAGGATTGGATGATTACGTCTCGTAGCAAAGGAAAAGTCCCTCAGGCTTCAGTTCTCATTCGGCCTACGGAACAGACCCTTTTCATTGGCATTTCATTGAGTCCCTCCAGCACCTTGCGAGATGTATCCACGCTTTCCAAGCTCTTTCCAAACCGGAGGCCTCGTTATTGGTAGCGTGAGATCACAGATGGAGTGTTTTAACGTCAGTAAACATATTCGCCGTCTCAGAACGGTTCTACCGAAGACAGGCAGGGACACGCACACATTCGGGACCCCCGGCTATGCTGTGAAATGCCTCTGTCATTAAATCCCTGTGGTATGTGAAGACTCCGAGACAGCTGCTCTGCCTCAGTCTGACGCACGCACACACATATGCATCCATTAAGTCTCACACACACACACACAGACACACAGGCTGCTCCATCACTGAGTTAGTGGGCGCCACAGACAGCTGATCCTCACCACTGTAAACACAGACGTAGTCTGGTCGTTTGGGGGGGGGGGGATGTTTGTACATATGTAGATCAACACCTGAGTTACTGTGGTTCTACTCTCTTTGCCTCTGGGGTGCGTCCCACTTCACTTCATCACGTGGACTGAATCAGCACTTGACGAGTGGTGCAGCGCTCCAGTCATCTGTGAATCCCAGAGAACTGGTCTCCACGTGGTCCTTGTTTACATAATGTGGCATCTACATAACGAGAGCTGTGGAAATGTGTTGGGATGGGAGGAGAAAATGTCCCGAAAGTGTTTGGACAAGATCTCTGCTGCTGAAATATCTTCTATGTGGGGAAATAAATAATGACGGTAAGCTGGGTGTAGTTGTTGGGCCGTGTCCCAAGCAGGTTATAAAGCCTGGAAGTAACCTCAAGACAAAACTGTCAGCTCACACTCATGAGAAAGGAAACGTACAGGGAGGAGTTGAGTGGGGTGGGAGGGGGAAGAAACTCCTGGCAGCCCGCCGTCTGTTTTTCGAAGCCTCCGTTTTCCCTCCGTGGAAACCTCGAGTGGTCTGTTCTCCTCCGGCGCGACTGTTTCCACATTCCCACCGTCCTGAAAAGACTGATCTGATCTAATCAACATTCAACTGCCGTCTCGCTGTGAAAAGGCTCATTATGCTGGAAAGGGACGCGCCTGGCGAGGTGCCAGGGGAGGGCGGGACGGGTCGGTAGGCAGAGGAAAAGGCTGCATGTGGGTAGGAGAGTGCATGTGGGCATCGTTGTCTGCAGGTGCAGTAGACCAGTGTGTCCAGCATTTATCATTGTCCCCCCCCCCCACCTCAACACTCTGTGTTGCTGTTAATGGCCACATGAGTCATCCACTGCGAGAACATCTCTGCAGAAGTGCTCTCAAACCAACACGCGTACAATGTTCTATCTGCAGTGAGTTTTTTTTAATTTTCCAAACAGACGAAATTCTAACTCCGCCTGGTGACTTCAGTGCATCGCTGACATGTAAAACTGACCCACATGTGTCGCTCCATTAGTCCAGCTGGGGGCAGTGTTGGCCCTTACATCCTCAACCTGTGCTCTTCCTTCATGTTCTTCTACAGCCATGTTTAATCAGCTGCCGAGTGACCTTTTATTGTTGTTTTGTTGATTCTCCTTTTCTGTTTCTTGTCTTTCCTCCGTGGCAGGACGGGCTTCTACGCGGGCAGCAGCACACCGAGGACCATCACAGGCTTTCAGAGCAGAGCCAGGTACCACAATGCCTCATTGACGTGCACATTGTCTCACCCTCTCCAAAGGTTCCGTAAGGTGAAAAAGAAAGGTAGAAAAACACAAGTTTCCACATGACGGCGCCGCCACGTGAGCACACAAAACACAGGGAGGTGCAAATATTCGCTTCTCACCACAGATGCTCGCATGCAGCAGACGGGCACTACGCGCTCGTCCCCTTCTGCCTCTCGCTGTCTCGCGCGTTAACGTCACTGGATTGTCTCAGAGCCGTCTCGCAGATCGTGCATGCGACAAAAAGGCTAAAAAGGGAGGGATGGAGGGAGGGGGAGGGGGGGGGCTTCAAAGGCTCGACAAATACGCCACACGGGAAGCGATGCTTTTCATGCCCCTCTGCCTCTCTCTCTCTCTCTCTCTCTCTAGCTCGGGTGAATGCAGCCGAGTTCTTTTCAGGTGTCGCGTTAAGGTCACACGGCTGTTTGCTTTGTTTAAAAACACGTTTTCAGGCCTAAACGGGCACAGACAGAAAAACTACCGAGAATATCATCGCTCTTAGTAACCGCGTAGGAATCCATCTAAGGTCGCATTCACAATTCTGAGACCAAGTCATGCTCCCTAGCTGCCTCGGCCCCCTGACAACCTCCCCGGCCACAGGGGGGGGGGCAATTGAAAAGTGCTAATTAGCGGGGGCCTCTGGAGTGTCAGCAGGAGACGGCCTGTTGCAACATGCTGGAAGCGGCGTCCCTGGTGGCGACTGATGTTCTCCTGGGGACAGAAGAGAGGGAGGGGGGGCGAAGAGCCACAGATGCCGTGTACTCCAATAGCTTTACAAATGAAGGCAACATGTTTACTCGGCTGTGATTGGTTCACACCTGAGGGGAAAACATCACCCGGCGTGTGCTGTTTTCTCTCTCTGACATAAAATATAGATTGTTTTTCATTTGACTCATTTTTGTTGTTGTTTATTTTTACTCCAGACAGCAAAATCACATCCGTCCTGCAGTATTAAGAACAGATGCTCACAAGGACTTTCCCTCTCAGGGTGTTTTACGTGGTTTGGAGCACAGCAGTGTTTGTAGTCCTGGTTCGCTGCAGGGCTTCGTAATAAGCACACGGCCTCCGGCCCCTTTGATGTGTTAAGGCGCCTGCATCACATCTCTCTCTTAGTATTAGCCAGCAATCCTTTCTGCTCTCATGGCAGTGATCAGTAAACGGGTTAAGAGGGGAATGGAGGAAGGGACTTTAATCAGATGTTCTGGACACCATTTTACTAGAACATTGTCTCAGAGAACTGAGACACTCATCGTCAGTGTTTACAGTCAAGCAGAGCTTGGCAACCACAGCAAAGTCAAACCTCCCTTTTCCTCTGAATCCCACTGTTCTGTGTATTTCCCTGTTGCTTTTTGCTTGTTTGTTTAGAGATGAGAAGCTGTTTCATGAGCAGCGGTGCTGGACGTGAGGGTGTGAGCTGACATGTATCACACATTCCCAATGCAACTGTTTTGTATCCGCTAAGGAGCCCGAGAGGCTGCAGGCGAGCACAGACCTCAACATCCCCACGTCGAAGGAGGAGCAGGTGGAGTACGTGCGGTGGAAGAAGGAGCGCGAGCAGATCGACAGGGAGAGAGTGGCCCGCCACAAAAACGCCAAGGGCCAGTGGAAACGGGCGTGGGACATGGACAAAACCGAGAACATGTACGACTCCTTAGCCGCCAGGCACCTCTGTCTGCGATCTCTGACAGATGTCCCATCCAGGGGATAATTCATTGGCTCCCTCTATTTTTATATTTGACAATTAAATTCCAGGAAATGTAGACTGCGCACAGATTAGAATGTTATTTTTCTAGTTACTGTATGAAAGATCCAGCCTTCAATCCCCTTAGTTATACACTTTGGCATGAATGAAGATGCATCTTCCTTTTGTCGCTTACATCATGTAATTTAATCATATTATTCAATAATAATCCAACCTCAGTTTTTTAAAGTAATGGTGCAACTTATATATTATGTGTGTTCATGCTGACACCGAATGCAGAGGTTGCCCCTCTAATGTCTGTATGCCAGACGCTAGCCAGCTAGCTTAGTTCACCATGAGCTCCACTCACACCAGCACAAACCACATTGTCATGGCAACACGTCACCTGTCGATTCTGAAAATGATTGGTTAGGAGGAGAAAATCTACTCCCTGTGTCTTTCTATTTAGATTATTCAGTGGAAGGATCCATTAGATGAGGAATGGATCTCATGAGGTCACGAGATAATGCTAAATCATCACGTGGAATCCTAACCTTTGAACTGCAATGTAACCGTGGGAAATCATATCTTGTTTTACATCCTCACGCCGTAAACTGAAGCTCCGGTTTGATCGCAGGTCCGTGGAAACACACAGCCTGGTGGAGGAGTGGCATACAGACCATTTACAGACCCTTCAGTGTTTGCCCGATTATAAACAAACCGGGCAGTGGGACAAAGAGTCGCACAGTGGATGAATGTGCTGTTTAGGGAGGCATCAAAATGTAAAGAGACCAGCGAGGGGGGCTATTTTTAACTTGGCATTAGGGATTGAATACCTCGCCTTATTTGGTCAGCTTTAAACAAGGCCCTCGAGTAAGATTAGAAGAGGAAGTGTGTTTTTGACTCAACGATGCAAACGGCTCCACTGGATGTGAAATGCAAGAGTGTGACTCACGCAGCGAAACCGCTCACTGAGCCTGCAAAACCGCAGATTTACATAAGAGGTGTACAGTAATGATACGTGAACATCAGAGGAGCCCGTTGATGGGGTGCTGATAGGCCGTTAGTCCCCTGAGCAAAAAGCGACGTGAGACATCAGCAGGACACCCGACTGCTTTGCTTTCAGCGTCTGTCTTAACTGAACCTCTGCTTTTAGGTCGTTGGACAAGTCCCTCCCTGACAGAGACCGGGCCGCGCTCGGCAGAGGTGAGACCTTCACACAGCTCCGGGAGAAGTAGAATAGCACAAACGGATGCTGATATATTCCATTCTATTTTCCTTACTGTGGATTTTTTAATTTCTTTACTTATTTCAGGTGGACGGAGTTCTAGACGAGGACAATCCCGAGCAGGTGCAAAATCCCACTATTCAATATTTTTTTAATTTATAAAATGAACATGCAGCCTAAGAACGTTTTGTGAGCACGTATTTCCGAGTGAAAAGAGCGTGTTGCAGCTATCATTTGATAGCTTTGTTGGTGTGGAAAATATTATTCATTGGGTTCATTAAACAGGGTGAACTGGTGGGATATTAGCTCGTCAGAAATAGGCAGATTATTTTGGGGGGAAGCACTTGAAAATATGAATGGTTTCCTATTAGACTTCGAAGCACTCGCTCGAAACTGTACTGTTGCCTCTGCAGAAATGAGGATGATCTCTTTACGTAAAATGTCATTTAATCGTTACTCCAGGTCACGAGAAGCGAGGCAGAGACAAGGGAGTCAGAGACGTGCTGGTGATGAGCAGCAAAGCGAAAGGCATAGATCGTCTGACCGGGAGAGCCAGGAGGTCAGTGCATCGACATCCAACCTCCCGTTGTTACCACATCCTCAACCAAGAGTTGAGCGTGGAGCAAACTAACGTGACCCGACCGTGGGAAGGCTGCCGTCGGCTTCCCGCACTGTGCCCCAATGTACAAAGTCCCCAGTGTGTCACCAGGCTCCATTTAGAAGTTGGGACAGCTGACTAAATAACCCCCGAAGTCTTCATTTGTGTCTTGCTGCACAAATTGTTTTTTTTTTCTCCTGAGTTGGGAGACGGGCTGCTGTGCCGGGGGGTGGGAGGCTTTCAGCGTGTGTGTGTGTGTGTGTGTGTGTGTGTGTGTGTGTGTGTGTGTGCGCTGTTACAAAAGCACGGCATAATCTCAAAGAGCCACGAGGCCCCAGGATAGAGGCATTATAACCGTTTACTGTGAAAGTGTAATGTGCCATGATTTCCTCTCCACGCGTCTCAGTGTTGGAGACGGGAGGGGTCAGGGGTCAGGGGTCAGGGCAACACAGCATCCAGGTGTGCGCTGTTACCCGGCTCAGCATAGAGACTAGAGATAGAGGCGAACAGACAGCCCGGCTGTGTCCAAAGATAACTGTAAAGCTCATTAATTAAAACATATCTCCTTTCTTTAATTATTATTTTGCTAACTCAGGACAGAGACAATTTATCTGTTGTCCCATTTCCTGTTTTGACGATGCGTTAAGCTAATTGGCTGTTGGATGCGGCTTCTTGTTTATCGTGCTGTGAGTTATCGATCTCATCAACGAAGCAAATAAGCCATAAGAGATCCAACTAATTCTATGTTCTATGAGGTTTACTGAGCATTGTATTAAAAAATAATAACGGATTTACAACACACAATTGCTACAGACTAGCTTTTGATAGAAGTCCCTTTATTTATTCATAGATGGCATGAAAATGAGGATGAAGAGAACCGACAGGTGAGATATGAACCCAGTTTGAGTGCAAAACGTTTCCACCTCATAAATGTTACTAAAAACAAATCTCTTCTTCTAGTCTACTGACACGACATTAGAAGAGTTCTCGGAGGTACTCGGCGCTCTCACAGATGGCGAAGTAGACGCTCAGAAAGATGAGGAGGCGAAATTGAAGCCGTCGAACAGCCCAATTTCAGTGAGAGCACCCGGGGAAGTGATTGAATCCGTAGCCGGCGCTGAGGGGACGGCCGAGGCCTCGTCCCCGCTGCGTTCGGAGAGGAAAGTACGCTTCTCCGAGGGTCTCATCCAGGGGGGCCACAAAAAGCAAACCACAGGCTCTCAGGACCCTGAATCAAGAAGTGTCGAGTCCTTCAAAGCGCCCTCACCTGAAAAACAACAGCACGCGGCTCCGAGGCCACAGCAGCTTCCGGAAAGTGCCGGCGAGGAAGACGCGAGCCCTCGGGATCAGGGAGGCGGTCCGTCCGCTCCTCCTGTTGCCCGGCAGCCGGCTTCTGGAAGTGAATGTGTTAAAAACGACAGCTCGCTCCCCGCCGCTCCTCGCTGCTCTCCAAAGCAGAGCTGTGTCCCGCCTGCACAGCTCGCCAAGTGCAACACCAGCAACACAAACGCAGGTATGCAACAGCCTCAACGGGCCGGATGTTTTTTTTTTACCGTGTGAAGGACGCATAACTGATCTAGCGTTGGTTTTCTTTCAAAGGGGAACTAATAGACTCCGGCTCGTCGGGTTCGGGAGAAACGCACCCAACACACTCCACCAGCAACGACAAGGTCAGCGTGTGAGCGTTGAGGAGGGATGGGAGGATCAATAGATGTGCAAATGGATGAAGGGAGACAGGCAGGCAGCTGTGTGACATCCCGTTTTGGTTCCCTACCTCTGGTGCCTGTTGGAGTGCACGATGAATCGTCTCACCAAACAATGCCTCTTTATTCTATTCACCACTGAAGCAGCTTGATTATTTACTGTACAACTGCTTACTGAAAGGATTTCAAATAGAACACAGTTGTTAAACCAATAAGCTTTAACTATTACTTTTGAGTGTGTGTTTTTCTCTCTTTTGCAGGCGAGAGAGCATGGGATGGAAGCATGGGAGGATTGTTTGACATTTTCTGGATGTAAATACTGAAACCAAATCACAGCAACGCCGAGCCTTTGCCTTTTTGTATTTGCATTTTGCTTCAGGTTCCTCATTTGAGTGACCCTGTTTGTGGCGTACACACAAATCCATGGTTTCATTTTACTATGGCGCCTCCCACATGTGGACGTTTTTTTCAAAAACCTTCTAAAATTTGATGAAGAAATGGTGAAAGTTTTTCCTGCTCAAATATTTTGTTACATCCAAGCACTTTATAAGTATAACGTTATGTGTACTTACACATTCAACATGTCAGTACGCTGCTTCAGTGCAATATCATTCAATGTTTACATGTGTATGAAAAAGTCAAGGTACATTTCAAGAGGCCACCTAATCAGCTACACTCAGGTAGCCCTTGAAAATAAACCAGCCGCAGTCACATTATCCAGTGCCTGATTCTGCCTCAGAGGCATTTTCAATAAGTGAAGGCTGTGTTATGTGTTGACCTACACTGCATTTGTAGACATAAAAGCCGTGTGATTCAAGTGCATTTGCTTGCTTGCAGCATTAGTTATTGGCCTTTAACCGATCGGAAAGCCCCACACTATTTCGGGGGAAATCTGAGAGGTATTGTGTTATTGGCCATTGACCAGTTAAGGTTAGGTTGTTAATTACCTACAGTATTACTACGCACATTAACGTGTTTTCATTATTGTAGTTATTAAGAATGTTTAAAGTGGGTTCTGTCGGTTATACACACTAAGCTCCTTGGTTCTGAAGGAGCTTCTGCTAGTCTGAAAAATAAACCCAGATGATGTCACCATGATTCATCAAGATTATCCCAATTTGGAATCCACTAATTTAACAGAATGCTTAGGAGAGTACGGGGATTGTGTTCTAAGGAATATTTACCAAGGTTGATTTTTGGCATTGGAGCATTGGAGGTTTGATCCAATCTTAAGACATTATTATTATTATTGTTGTTCTAAGTTCTACAGCTGAATCCCAACTATCTGGTTTTCCTTATTTACTGTATAGCTTTCAAGGCAAGATGTAGTGTGTGTCTATCATTTAAAACCATGAACAATGGACAACTGAAACTTGAAAGTCGACAATTGTGAATCAAAAAAAATGTGCAAACTAAAATATTGTTTTCTGTAATCGCTCACAGTTTTAAACAGAAAGTTGAGGATTTTGGCGCCTGTGGGACCGACAGACTTTGGTCCACAGTCAAAACACTGGGATTCAGCTGCCATTCCCTTTTTTGGAATTGTTTTGTAATTTGTTCTCTTTCATGATCATAAAAGACACCAATATATTTTTTAAGCTGAGAAGCTTCAAGCATTTAGCCAGTTGTTGTTTATTGGCTTCTTCAAATACCGACGGTGTTCCTTTTATTTCATGTCCTGTACCATAACATACCTTAGTGTTACATGTACTGTATAAACCACTTTGCACCAACATGGAATTTATTTATTTGCCTCTCCATTTGGACAACAGAATGTTAACCAGAACTATTATACAAATCTGCTATATATTTGTAATTGTTTGTATTTATTAGCAGTTTGTGATTATTTGATTAACTACAATAAGAAGCCTTACAAGGACAAAACGCTGTCACTTTTTGCTATTGCTGCGGTTGTTAACAGTTATGTAACCGTTCGTAGAGAACATAGTGGACAAGTGGTCAGCCTTAACTGTGGTTACATAAAGTACAATTCACCCAGAGTCCAGCACACTGGGGAACCAGTGTAACGTTTTAGGCCAGTCCAACCATCAAGAAAGAAAGTGTTCTAATTTTGTTGTTAAATATAAAATCTGAATGGATGGTGAAGGGAACTGTTGTCGTAGAGATTACCTCTTAGGTATTTAAAATTCCCTTTCGGACTCAATTGAGGTAAATCCTATTTAGGATCAGTTGAGCATTTGTCATTTAGCATTTTTGTTGTACACATCTCCATTGTCACTTTGCTTGAATGTCATTATTTAGAGGTGGTTGAGATTGCCCTGCTCCTCCACTGCTGTCCTACATGTTTTTACATGCTAGCAAGTAATTGTGAGTGGTTGAGGTGTGATCCCAGCCAATATAAATTGCTGTGCACCATAGCTTAATTTACTGTAGATCCATTTGAAAGAAGCCATACAGAAAATCAAAAGTATTTTTCTTTATCTATAAATAGCAAAACATGAATAGCATTTTTTTCTACACAATTTATTTTCTTTTGAAATACTTTCAACATATTGTCATTTTTTCCACTATTTTTTTGTATTGAATATATTTCAATTTTTTACCTTACATATTTCGACTTTTATTTTTTGACTTTTTTCTGTTATATTTGGGCTGTTTTTTTAAAAACATTTGACCTAAAATATTTTGACTTATTATTCGGCTTTTTTTAAATAAAATTTGTCAACCAAACATATTTGGACTTAAAAAAAAACATTTCTTGATGTCATTTTGTTTGCCTTTTTAATGATCTTTTTTATCTGCTATGTTTTCACATTATTTGACAGTCTTGTGTGTTAAAGTGTGATCTCAGCTCAGTGCGGCACTGTAGCTTTATTTACTGCAGATCAGTGTGAAAAAAGGCATACAGAACATCAATAAAGTATTTTTCTTTATCTCTAACTTAAAACATAAATGGCATTGCTTTTTTTGCTCCCCTTCTCTCACGATCTCCCTCACTCACTACGCTGGGACACCACAGATCTGTCTGCAGTCCCATCTCCGGCTCGGTTTTTACATTCTAATAAAAAGAATAAAAAAGCTGCTGTGGTGGAGAGAACAGAGGGCAGATATGACAGAAATATATAGAGCGCATTGCAGCATCAACAGCCAGTGTGGTTACACCTCGGTCCACTGGGTCTGCCTTCATGCTGGACTTGATTAATTTCAAATGAGCCCTTTGGAGGCTGTCACATTGGGGCCGACTACAGGTGCGTCCTCCCATAGGTGCTGCTATTTTAATTATCTCCTCCCAAGGCCGTCTCCATGGCAGCCTTGTGCCACTCGAGGTCGTGGGCCTTCCCACCTGCTGTGACTACAGGAGCCTCGTTCTCCTTCAACAGAAACAGGGGTACCGAGTATTTATTCATTTGCTTTGTCTTGCATCCACGTTTAATATTTCCAGTACCCTTTTCTGTCCTGTGTCAGAGTCTGGAATCCTGATTCTGGTCCAGTAAAATTGTAATCTCCACTATTAGCATTTACTCCACTGCTGTTAATGGGCTGTGTGCTGCATCAAGATTGCAGAAAGATTCGGGTCATTTTATACCCAGAAGTGGAACTTTTTTTGTTTTTTTTTGCTTCACTCACCACTGAGCAACATTTATATACAGTTGTAATCAACGCTGTATCCCGTATTTTCACATAGACGGGATCGTACTAGTGCAACCCATGTTTGGAAGCAATTTAAAACACTGCACATTTTAAAATGTATCACTATTTTAAAATCTGAATTTCTTCAACGGTGTTCTTCCGAGGTCTGTGACGGCATCTATTAGCCACAAAGACAAAGAGAGAGAGAGAGAGAGAGAGAGAGAGAGAGCAGTCGGCTTCGTCATAGTTGGAAACGAGGTCCGGCCCTTCGGCCCTGACGGAACCGCTCTCCCCACCGGTTTGGCAGTTTCCACTGAGCGTGTTTGCGTCGTCCCCTGAGCCCGCCAGGACATAACAAACGCCTCAGCACGCTGCCCCGATCCAGCAACCCCATCTCAGCCCCCGTCCTCGCAGCTTGGACACAAAGGAGACCAGGGGTCTACATGCGCTGTTGGTCGTACCGATCTGGGGTCAGGGCTTTTAGTTAGCATCATCTGTGGAAACAAAAGCTACAGGCTTTGTGATTAATATTATTTAGAATTCAGTGAAAGCAGGCAAACCTGAGTGACATCTCTAGCAATCTATTTCTGATCAAAAATATTGTCACATCTTTGAATGTATATTATTACAGTTATAATCTCCACTAGCTAGAGACCTGATTTGACCTTTTTTCAGAAGCGACCAACTGTAATCCATCACACAGTATGTCTAGATGTGTTACACACTCGCCCCTACATATATATATGAGAATATATATATATATATATATATATATATATATATATATATATATATATATATATATATATATATATATATATATATATATATATCCTTATGTATCCACACTACTCTTTTGCCCTTTCATTGATTGACCAAGCTGTTGCTTCCCTTTCTATTGTTCTCCTGCATCGCAAGACTTCAGGTTAATATTTCCTAATCATTGTGACGGCGTCTCTCTCACACCTGTTTGTTGAAGGTCATTTCGTTCCTCCGGCTTTGTTGCAAAGGTCTCTCAATTGTAGCGCGTCAACCGAAACATGTCAACTGACGAGGAAAAGAGTATCTAAAAAGCATAACTTTAATCCACTCAAATATGTTTTCGTAATGCTTTGATTAATATGAGCATTTTGTTCCTGTTAAGATGAGCTGCATTGCCGGATGTGCCTACAACCAAATCCCACATTGAACCCTCTATGTAACATGTCTTCATTCTTCCGCCTGGTCGACCGGGTTCAAGGGTCAAAGGTCGGATGGCGTGTCCTCACTCAGTCGTCGCCTCCATCAATAACCGTCGGTCCTGATGAACTCCTGATCAATAAGGTCGGCCCTAAAGCACTCATGAATATAACAGGAAGCCAAGAGGTGCCGGAAACACGTCTGTCAAGACCTGCCGATACTCAGAGGCCACATCGCAGCATTGACGGGGACACTGTGTGTCATATTTTACGTTTGCGTTGTTGTGTTTGGGGTTGTTTGCGTCTCGTGCCGTCCCCCCCCTGATGAACGGACCAGGAACACGCCGTTGGCTTTGGTTGCGTAAGTCTGTCGTGTTGCAACAGCGGTGCATGTTTACATCACAGCGCAGCACCTCTGAGTTACTACGGCTGCTCGGCAGATATACAACATGCTTTTTGTTTTCGTACGTGACGGTGAATGATTCTTGTCCCAGCCAGCAGAGGAAAAACCAAACGGTCTTCTTCGGCGAGAGTTGGATCAAAATAGCAGCAGGCCGCGTTGCGTAATGTGTTACACGGCGCATCAACAAAGCTCTCAAATCGATGCACCTCCGTCACATCTGCTGAGAGGGCGCGCGTGGTGGTAGTGTGGTAGTGTTTCCACTCTATACTTAAACACATGTGACTGTGTGAAGTGGTTTCAGTGAGAGCTGCAGAGACCGAGGCCGACTGAGATGAACGCTTCTCTTTCCAGGAGGAGCAGTCGGTCCTTCTGACTGAACACTGGACAGGTCACTCACGTGATTAAAGTGCCTGCGCCGGGATTTGATTAGATGTTCGAGTGCACAAGGACTGCTAATTCTCACACGGTTGCATGTTTTTTTTTTTCTTCTCTCGAACCTTCTTCTTCATGTACATTTATTTATGTGGGTTTTCCACCTTACACTCGACTAACAGCCTTTTTCAATTTGAAGCCACGTCCGAATTTCGTTTTTTGAAAAACTTTTATTTGAATGTATATTATCTATTGTGGTTTCTGAATAACACAAGTTACGTCCCATATGTCAGCAATGAAGTCATTATTTACACAGATCTATTACAAAACTACATGAATCATTTTCTAAGGATGTTTATTTGTACCTTGTGATATAGTTGTACATATTGCACCTATAATAAAAATCCTCTACTTACACCAACAGTTCATCAAGGCTCAAAAGATGTATGGGCGCCGCACAACCAAATACACAACACATTTACATGGTTATATGCACATACCTGAGCATAACTCAATAATGGAGCTTCTTCCACGCAACATCCGGATTTGATCCATGAAAAAGACAGTACAGCCTCTACGTTAGAACTAGAAGGTTCCGTGTGGATTTAGACTAGCTGATGAGTGGCAGTGACGTTTAGGGCCGTGAGCCCGTGAGAAACACTGCTGTGCCGCAAAAGCAAACGCATCCGTGGAGCGCGCGTCTTTTACCAGTGTTTCCCACGCGCGCGCGCGCAGCTTAGTGTCCGACTTAAAGTAGACACGCGTTGATTTAAGGCATTCAAATGGCCTAAAATAAAATAAAACTAAACTAAAAAAAACGCATAGTGTAGGGAAACTGTTCATCGAAAGAAGCGACGTCTCCTCGTTTCCAGAGCAAGACGTCAGCAGTTACGCATCCACGAGGCTCCCGCGAAACGAGTCCAAAAGTGAAGACCTGCGTGCAATCCGACCCGCGGCACTGATTCTGACCCCTCCTCGAAGGGTGAGTTTCTGTGTTGGAAGGGGGATGGGGGGGGGCGAGAGGCCCGATCAATCCCCTCCCGGCCCGGCCCGGCTCGCCTCCGACGCTGAAGGAACGGCGGCAGCATCTGGAGCCGCCTGCTCGGGGTCGCTCCGGCCCACGGCCCCGTCGCCCGGTCCGCGCGCCCTCGTCTCTTCCCCCTCGGTGCTCGGCGGGGGGTCGCGGCTCTCGCCGGTTTGCCACACGTGCGTCTGCCTCTCCGTTCTCCCGTCGGGGGACGCGTGGAGTCCCCCCTCCTGCCGCGAGTGCGCAACCTCTGCTCCGGACACGGGGCCGCTCTCGGCTCGGTCGTCCCATTGGAACGCGTGACTGTGCGGGGTGTTGACCTGCCTGCTCAGGTTGACAGAAGACAGGCCGGTCTGCGTGGAGTTCCACTCGGACCCGTTGTTGCCTTTGGAATTATTAGTTGAGATGTCCGCGGTGGGGGGGACCTCTCCGGGCACTGGCTTCCCCGCGGATGAGGACGCGCTGGTCGGTTTCCAGATCAAGCTGTAGTAAATGGCCAGGATAATGGCTGCTAAGGACACGGACAAAACATATGCAAAAACAGTTGCTAGTCTCACCCACTTCTTGTTGGTCTTCGCAGCCATCTTGGCCTTTTTGTCCCCCGTATAAGTAGCCGGTTTGCCCCTCTCCATATTGGGCATGAAGTCCCGCTCCCTCATGTTGCCCCTGTTTTTTCCTCGATGCTCCACCACCCCCTCCGTCTTGAAGGCTTCTCGTTATCCACAATCCAAGAGAAGACAGGAAGCAGAGTGCTCGGGAGAAGGACCACCCCGAACCGTCCGTCAGCGGAAAGTACCCCGACAGCTAAATGGATTTCTTGCAATTCATTCGATCGCACACGCGCCGTGCCTGCTGCTCGGTACCCGGTGCAGCATTGCGTCTCCCGACGGCCGTCGAGCATCCACAGGCTGATCACGCGTTACAGCATCCGACAGCGGTCGGGACAGATGTGACGTCTCCCACAGCACAGCTGGCCGTATAGTCCCCCGCGGCGATCCGGGCTACGCAGCAGGCGCTTTGATGTATGGAAACGATTAAGTGGGATCACACGGCGCAACAACCGTCCGTCTAATCCGGCAAACGAAGCGGCTGGCTCAGCTAAAAATACAGGGGAGGGGGGCGGGCGACGGCTCTTAAAGAAGCAGCAGCTGTGCAGCAGCCCGAGAAGAAACCAAAACACAAACACACGCACGCACATCACATCACATCACATCGCTCGTGGAGAGCAGGATGCGTACCGGGAGGGGGGGGGGGGCCGCACGGGGAGGTGTGAACACTTGTCCGAGTGACGCGGCGAAGTTTCCGTTCCGATGAGCACGATGTCCGTTAGGAATGTCCAACGAGAAGTCGATGATCAATTCTGTCTCACCGGAATTGGGGGAATTACGCAACGAACGAAGGTGTCAACCGGCCGCACTTCAGCACGACGGACAGCGCCCGCGGGTCCGTGTGCGCGCATGTGCGCTGGGAAGCCGCGGAGGTGACACAGGTGAAGGACACACGATCAACTGATCAAGAGATTTTCAGTTGAACCCTCTATTAACATCCAGCCATTTCTGTTACAGGTGTGTCAGCATGATACGTGACAGGTGGGACAAGCGGTCCTCCCACACAACCAGGTACACACACGTTCAGGCGTTTATGAGACAGTTGATTGTTTTCATTGCTGTGTTTTATGGAGGAGGATGACGGTCAGCTGTTGTGTGGGGGGTTTTCCAGCATGGCTGCAACATAAAACATTAAAGCAATCACACCAGAAAATGGAGGGAACAGGATGTGACTTTTTTTGACCTGATTGTTTCCTTGTTCTATGGAAATACATCAGCACACTATTCGCCACGTCATCAAATTCTCCACTCAGAATTGTTCTCAGTTAATCACTTGTTTGATCAGATCCCAACCACCTGTCCAGAGTCACAAGGAAGTGTCATTTATTAGCAGTGACAACAATAGATTCCCCCGGTCATTTGGATATCATTCAAATCGACCTTAAAATGGTGCAATATCTAATGCAAATGTTCAGCCAGTCAGGGGCCGAAGAAGAGTTTCAGTTTATTTAAGATTGTGAGTGGTTTTGTCTTTTTTAATTAAAAAAAAATGGACCAAGACTCTTGGTTTATGCATCATGATGGCGATAAAAAGCTGAACGCTTATTCACTTATTAAAGGTTCAGTTCACCCGACTACAAGAAAATCCTCTTCTCACTTCTCCAGCGGTGACTCACCAGATGCGCTGAATGAATTTGACAGGTTTTGAGATGTGTGAGATTACCGATTATCCGATACAACGGAGGCGGAAGAAGGGTTTTGTGTTTGATTCTCAAGGGATAATAATGACATTTAGATATGCTAATAGTAAAACAAAAATTCCACAGAAAGTGTATCTCTGTTACTTTAGCCGCACAACACAGTGCCAACGCCTCTCTGTGGACTATTGGAAATAGTTGTTGCTCTTAAATAATTAACTAGCCCTCCTATTTTCAATTCTGTAAGCGTCACAAAGAAGACAGAAATAACACCATTGCCCCGGGGGGCCTGCAGAAATACACAAAAACAGTAGTAAAATACCTTTTTTGGGAATTTGGGTGAATAAAACCTTTAATATCATTGCCAAAACTCCTCAATCGAGGGTTGGGATTCGAGGAAGAATGAAAGCGTCACTTTTTCCTGTAGTCAAGTTACGAGTTTGTGTTTTTGCAAAGAAAATTTGCAATGCATAGTTCCCGGGTGTGTCCTGAGTGCAGCCACAGGCTGTGCACCAAACTTCCAGTCAGTGCATCTTTTGGATTCAGATGGAAAGATCAGCTTCTCAATGGTTTTGACCATGGTGGATATATTTCCATTATTGCATTGAGCTGTTACCAAAGTCAATCTAGAAGGACAAAATGAATAAGAAACGATACTTTCTGGAGCCTCCAGAGGTCAAAGACTACCTGGTCAAAGGAGAAAGATTTACCAAGTGGTCTGAGGTGAGTGGCCATTTGTGCAATTCTTTTATTTGTCATTGAGTGATGGGAGACATTTATCAACACTGACGTTGGATAAAATAACTGTTCTGGGAAATATAAGTAGTTCAATTATCCAACATGTCACATTCAAACAGCTCAGTTCCAGAGATTTGAACTAATTCCATTGTCTCCATCCAGGACTCCACAAAGACTGTTCCTGTCACCATGAAGATGGATCCAAAAGGTTTTTACGTTTACTGGGTCAACCAAAGCAAGGTAATTACTATTGAGATTAGAAAGGGAGGTGTGGGAAAAATGTTGAATGATTGAATTCCGTTCGGTGGCAAATGGAAATTAATTTCCATTTTTCCTGCATTAGAAAATTGCAACCCGGTAGCTTAGAGCACGCGCTAAATAGATGTCATCATGCAGGACTCACATCCACAGCGCGTGTAATGTTTATTACTTTGGGATCTGCCAGAGCTGTGGGATGGCTGCACACCGGTGTAAGCCGCTTGTGGAGATTATTGATTGGTGCTGATGTGGGCTCACCACCGGGCCGCTGAGCGCTGAAGCACTTGATGTGGAGGACTTGCTTTGTTTCTCTCTCATTGTCAAATGAAAAAAAGCAGACATTGCAGTCGAACGTTTCCCACACAAACACAGTGAATATCATAGTTTTTGCACCTTCCAAAGGATGACTTGTATCTCAATCCATATTTGGACTGCTTCTTGTTTCTAGGAGACAACGTTTCTGGATGTGGCCACTGTCAGGGATACCAGAACAGGAAAATATGCCAAACTTCCCAAAGTGAGTACAGCATTGATCATTTCATGTAGTACTCCGCTCCCATTAGCTCAAAGTGGTGTGTTTGTTATGTGATCATCTCTGCAGGCATGCAAATAGGTCGTCAAGCCCATAATGCAGCCATTAGTACAAGAGACATATTTGCCATGCAAAAACAGCAGTGGACACATGCACCCGGGCTGCTGCCCCACCACAAAAACACACAGACGCACACATACGCAAAAGTAAACACGCACCGTATCACACACTGAGTTATGATCTGAGATTTCTGTGAGTGAAACCTGCATGTCTTTTTTGAGCCAAAATCTGAGGTTTTCCCTCGCTGGGCACCACAGAGAGTATGCAGCCCGTTGAGAGGGGTCAAAGGTGAACTCAGAAGTTGATGATAGTAAATTAGCGGACAGCGGAGGATTGTAACTAACGCACTGGTCTTCTTGCGGCTGCTTTTAGTCGTACCCGAGCGCGTGAGTGTGTCTCAATGTGCCTGTGCATAGGTTTGCGTGCCTTTGTCAGATTTGCATGCGTTGAACAAACTCTCGCAGAACAAGAGCTTCAGATGTGATTTTACATCTTTAAGCAGATTAATACGTAGCTTAAGCTTGAAAAAATGGCCACAAGCCATTTAAATTGGCCAGCAACACGTCTTTTCTCTCTCTTTTGCCTTTCACAGCACACCAAGGTTCGCAACGTGTTCAACATGGACTTCCCGGACAGTAACCATCTCACCAAAACGTTGACCATCGTCTCAGGTCCCGACACAGTGAATCTGACCTACCATAACTTCTTTGCCTCCAAGGACAAAGTGTCACAGGTAACGTGAACTGACTCTGTGTTATTGTCGCTGAGTTTGTCCTTTTGCTGTCTACTCTGATGCAAAAACAGCTCCTAGCCGCGCAATGAGCCTTTGCTTCACCTCAACAAGGGGCCCTCTGACTTCCCTTTACTCTGCATCAGACTTCAGTTTCCGTATTCAATCAAGTGTAATGTAATTTGTGCTTTGTTTAAATGCAACATGCACGGCTCCCATTTCCTGAGGCGCTGTTATGTCGATGCCCTCTAGTGGTGACTGTGTCCTTTTTTAAATATGCAATAACAACGTTTCAAAAACATTTCATGTTGACATTCAATGTTGTATCCCGGTTTGTGCTGCACATCAGAACTGGGCCAATGACATCCTTGCAATCGCCTACAATGCTGCGAGAAACAACGCGTGCAGATATGTCTTCCTGGAGAAGATGTAAGTGATGTAATCTGACAGTTCAGCTTGTATTGTTGCTGAGTGACACTGAATAATGTGGTAAAGCTAAGCAACTGTGCCTCAATCGTAGATACACCCGCCTTTCTCTTCACACCAACAAGGACGGCAAGATCCCAGTGAAAAAGTAGGTCACGTTTCATGACAGGAAAGTTAGTCTGTACGGATCTTCAAATTTCTTACTGAGCGTTTCACTGTGTTTTTATCAGTATTTACAAGATGTTCCCTGCGGATAAGAAGAGGGTGGAAAGTGCCCTGGCGTCAGCACACCTCCCTAAAGGAAAGGTTAGGAAACATACACCACTGCGCACAAACAACCGACCGACTGTTTGTTATCTTTTTAAATCAGGCAGATGACATGTTTCTCCTTTTCAGTTTGACACCATCAAGTCTGATGTCTTTACCGAGTCGGCCTTCAAGCTCTTCCTGCAGAACCTCTGCCCTCGGCCTGAGATCTATGAGATCTTCACGTCTTAGTGAGTCTGCCTCTCCCCCTGCTTCTCTGGTCATCTCCTGATTAACTTGCTTCTTCACATAATCTGACTTGGAACTAAAGCATTAATCCCAAAGATTCGCCAGTTTGCCTCCGGTTCTCGCTGAGCTACCTGGCGTGGGCTCAGGATGCAGGTGCTGGTCCGTGATTTGCTGCAGCTCTCATTTCAATGCCGTGCCTCCCTGCAGCTCCAACAAGCCCACCATGACGAGGGAGAATTTCACCAAGTTCCTCAACGAGAAACAGAGGGACTCTCGGCACAACGAGGAGCTGTTCCCCCGTCTGCGACAGGACCAGATTAAGGCTCTGATGGACAAATATGAACCCGTCTCTTCCAATTCAAACAGAAGTGAGGTTCACCGATGAGGGCTTTGTTACAGCGGCCGGATCGCTTCGCTTTTTAACTGCATCTACGTGTCTTTTCCACCGGCAGATCTGATTTCCCCGGAGGGCCTCCTGTTCTTCCTGATGGGGCCCGAGACGTCGGTGGTCATGCAGGACACGCTGGCCAAGAGTCAGGACATGACTCAGCCGATACCCCACTACTTCATCAAGTCCTCCCACAACACATACCTCACAGGTCACACGCACCACTCGGACTTTTAGCTCGGAATCGTCTCGTACACCATCCGCTCGACTCTTGAGGGTCACTAAGGTTTTTTTTTTTTTTCCTTCTTCTGTCTGTCGCACCGCAGCCGGACAGTTCTCAGGCGTGTCCTCTCCGGAGATGTACCGCCAGTGTCTGTTGTCCGGCTGCCGCTGTCTGGAGCTGGACTGCTGGAAGGGGAAACCACCAGAGGAAGAGCCCATCATTACTCATGGCTTCACCATGACAACTGAGATACTCTTCAAGGTGGTGAAGCGCAGTTTTTAAGCTCGCCTTTGGTTGGTTGGTTCTGGTTGGACTTTTGTGCCTGAATACCTTGAAACCGCCTTAACTTCACTTTAAATGCACTTCCTCGTTGGAAAAAAATATACATTTGTGCTGCAAGTTGTTTTTTTCTGTTGCATTGTTTCAGTTGGACCTCTTCAAACCCCAAATAGTGTCTGTCTATTAATTCAAATAAAGCCTTTACATTTAGTGATGACCTTTATTTTATGTCCAGGTGCACATTAAAGAGTTAAGTAAACACACACACACACACACACACACACACAAGCAGAGCAAATCCTCTCGCTCTCAACTCTTCCATTTAAGGCTCCACGGTCTCAGTTTACTGTCGGCCTCTAGATGTGATGTGTTGAAGCTCAGCACGGAAGCAATAGCTGTGCAGCTTGTTCTCTCTTTTTAACGTTCTGGGAGAGTTTTCAGGCTGTGGATGTCATTCATTTGTTCTACTTCCATCGTTTTATCATATTTGAAGACTTTTCTTTAGTTCTCCTGCCCACTGAATCGTGGACATGACGACTCTTTCAAATATAAATGCACCTGAATACCAAAATAACCCGAACGCCTCTCTCTTTTTGATGACAGGATGTGATCGAGGCCATCGCAGAGAGCGCTTTCAAGACCTCCCAGTATCCGGTTATCCTCTCATTTGAGAACCACGTCGACTCGTAAGAACTGAGCTTACACGGTCGACACAAAGTGATTATGTCCAGATGTGATCATATTGACGGCACACATCGAACCTTTTGTTCGGGCAGTACCAGCAGACCGTAACGGCCGTTACTCCGCTTTGTTTCAGGGTGAAACAGCAGGAGAAGATGGCCAACTACTGCAAAACCATATTCGGGGATGCCCTGCTAACAGATCCGCTGGACAAATACCCCGTGAGCACACCGCCGCACCACAGCTCGCTGTGCAAAGATAAAGTTCATAAATGGCCGGACCGCCTTGTTTGATGAATTAGATAAAGGATTATTGTACCGCGTGTGTCTGTGTCATGAGGAGCAATAAATGGCGTTCCGGTTTGTTCTCTTCCTTATCAACGTGATCTCCAAAACCTGTTCGTAAAAATGTGTACGGAAATCTTGAACATACAAATTGGTAACAATACATAGGAACTGGCGGTGGTTAACCACGCCCCTTGAGTGAACAACATGGCGGACCATGTCGGATTCTTGAGTGAACGTCTCTCCGCCATGTTGGATTTTTTGAGGTGGGTTAGGGTTAGTATTCTATTCTTACAAGTTAACATTGATTTCTCGTTAAAAATGCAATCATCACACGTTTATTTTACACGGTTAGACTTCACAAAGTGTGTCTACGGGGCGCAGGTCCCCGTTCACTTTGAACAGGGTGACGTCATCAGTTGCAGTCCGTATTTATATCGTATGTATCATTACAAATTTGTATGTTTATGATTTTCGTATACATTTTTACGAACAGGTTTTGGAGATCAGGCTGCCCTTATCGCTGCCTGTTCAGCTCCTCCCGGCCATGACTGCGTGTGTGTTGTTTGTGTGTTTGTAATCCCTGAATCAAAGACATACAAATTAGAAACATTTTTAGCCCTGAAATGCCTCGAAAGTAGCAGTCATCTCCCCAGAGACACGTGAATAGATGATACGTTTAAAATAAGTCCACAGGAATTCAACACCTTTCGATTAGATCGGTCGAATCATTGTCGACATCTAGTCGGGAACACATCTGTTTTTACTTGTAATGCAATTAAATTGCATTGCATTTAACTTTCTCCCACCATTGCGTTACTGCGAGATTATTATCTCAGCATACGAGGTTTTATGGTTACATTCTTAATAAAAGTTAGTTCTATGTTTCTCTTTATCCGAACTATGCAGCTGAAGCCGGGCCAGCAGATCCCCAGCCCATCCGAGCTCATGGGTAAGATCCTCATCAAGAACAAGAAGGGCAGCCACGAAAAGCCGGCCCAAACTAAGAAAACCAGCACGGGCGCCACCGACCCGACCGCAACCACCGCCTCGCCCACCCAGGACCCAAACTCCGCCTGCCCGGATCCCGCCAACCCGGCGCCTGGCAGCCAGGAGAACCACGGTGGACTCAATCGACCTCAATGTCAGACAACGTTTAGAAAATAGCCGTGTTTAGTTCCTTTTTTTAAAAAACATTATTATAATATGTTTAACCAGAGGGGGAGACAGCTGTGGAGGACGCTGAGGAACAAGAGGACACGGAGGAGCAGGACGAGGAGAAGATGAAGACGTCGGATGAGGTGCGCGGTTTCATCCGCTCAAACAGCTGGAGCTTCGGTTAACTTCCTGTCGCTCCCCCACAGGGCACAGCTGGACAGGAGGTCACAGCCTACGAGGCCATGTCGTCCCTGGTCAACTACATCCAGCCCAATAAGTTTGTCTCTTTCGACAATGCCAGAAGTACGTCTTTGCTGCGTAAATTTGGCCAAACTCACACGCAATTTGAGTCGGCGACACAAGGTAAACAAACAAAAGTGAAAGAGTGAGTTTTGTATTCCTCCCGTTTTCTTCACAGAGAAAAACAAGAGTTACGTCATCTCATCCTTCGTGGAGACCAGAGGGGAGGCAATGATTTCCAAGACTGCTGTGGAGTTTGTTGAGTATCCTTTAGGAGTTGCTGTGATCCGCTCACAAATACGGGAAACTGTACTAGATGGAATGAATCAGATCTTTTCTTTAAAGTGTCTTTTAGTCCTGTAAACTACAGAGTTACACTGCTTCTTAAACCATCTCTCTCAGATACAACAAGAGGCAGATGAGCAGGATTTACCCCAAAGGGACGAGGATGGACTCATCCAACTACAGCCCCCGGCCCTTCTGGAACGTGGGCTGCCAGATGGTGGCGCTCAACTACCAGACGATGGGTAGAAATGAACACGCAACACACAGACAGTCGGTCTGAAATGTGCCGTATTACACAAGGAGATGTAGCCACTCACAGTTTGCCTGGCGACGTGTTTCAAATGTCGTCCTCTGCTGTATTTCGAGACCTGAGCTTCTATTTTTTCCCCGCGGCATGTCAGCGTTGCACCTCTCCGAGCCTCCCCCCCCCCCCGGGCTCTGCATCCCAACGGAGGGGGGGGGGGGGGGCCGTGAACGGGCTGTTTTCTCTCTGCTTTCAGACTTCCCCATGCAGCTCAACATGGCTCTGTTCGAATTCAACGGCAGGACCGGCTACCTGCTGAAGCACGACGTCATGCGCCGCACCGACAAAAAGTTTGACCCTTTCTGCGACAGGATCGACACGGTTATCGCCAGCACACTGACCATAAAGGCAGGTCGACGGGCACGCTGTTATTACTCTCCTCGGCCGTAAACTGCCCCCAGTGTGTGTTTGGCTGTTGTTTTAGATTAGATTAGATTCAACTTTATTGTCATTGCACAGAGTACAACTACTGAGGCAACGAAATGCAGTTTAGCATCCAACCAGAAGTGCAAAATAGCAAAAAATGCAGAGTATGTGCATATTTAAAGTGTAATAAGTGAAATGATTGGCCGTTGTATGTGCAAACCAACAACAAAATGTGTGAAGAAAGGTCAACATTTTCAAAAATCTTCGTTTATACCCACTGTGTCCTTAACACAAGGCCACACAACAGCATCCGCACCCTCAGCTGCTTCCTACATGTCTGTCAGTGTATTTCAGTGTCGTTTTCCCGCCTCCCCAGATCTACTCAGGCCAGTTTCTGTCCGACAAGAGCGTGAAGACGGGAGTCGAGGTGGAGTTGATCGGGCTGCCGGGAGACCCCAAGAAGAAGTATCGCACCAAGTGGTCCACCACACCCAACGCCATCAACCCGGTGTGGAACGAGGAGCCTTTTGTTTTTGAGAAGGTGTGTGTCAGTAATCAAACCCAGCCAGCACACGACGACCCGGCGTGGCCGCTGCTGTCGGGGGGTTCTTAATATGTTTGTTGTTGTCGTGTTATAGATCCTTATTCCAGAAATGGCGTCTCTGAGAATCGTGGTTCACGAGGAGAACGGTAAATTCTTGGGACACAGAATTATTCCGCTGGACGCCATCCAGTCAGGTCGGTGGCACTGAGAGAAAAACATCGCACCTCGACACGCTTTGTCTGCACCAGAGGAGCAGCTGCCTGTTGTTGTTTTTTTTTCAAATTCACGGGGATTTGTTTTATGGCCCGCAGGTTTCCATCACATCTGCCTGCGCAGTGAGAGCAACATGCCGCTCACGCTGCCCGCTCTCTTTGTGTACATCGAGGTCAAGGACTACATCCCTGCAGCCTTCGCAGGTGCTTGGATTTTTGCTTTGGCTTTTTTGCAAAGGAAAAAGCGTCTGGTGCAAAAAAAAAAGAGACAGATTTGTTAAAGCTCGCTAGCATTTAGGTTTCTTTGACATTCATCTTTGATTGACGCGTGAGTTACTGACGCACCCGATTCTACCTCAGATTTCACAGATGCCCTTTTCAATCCAACCAAAGGAGCGGAGAAGACTACAAAGGCCCCCAAGGAGGTGACAAAACAGCCAAAGTCAACTTAATTCAGCTATTGTCCACTAAAATCCTCACATCAGTAATGTCCTCAGTCCTCCTTTGAATCCTGAAGCGTTTTCTACATTGTGAACTCGTCCTTTCTGTCCCCACGCAGTCATCCGCTGACTACGTTTCTCCCTACGAGAAGCCTCTTGTGGTTGAAACCCCAACAGACACGGCTAAGGAAAGCGAGGCCGCTGCCGCAGGTAATGAAGCTTGTGAATGGGACACAGTTCATAGTTTTTTAAACAGATACTGAGATTCAGTTTTGTATGAATTAAGAAGCTCTATTTGAAGGCTATCTTCTCCCGGTAGAACCGGCAGCATCCGAACCTTCGCCCCCAGTTGACGCCAATGACCAGTCAGCCGGGTCTGCTCCGGAGGCCGCAGAAGAGGCTAAAGAAGAGACCGAGGACAAGACGGACGCTCCACAAGCTGCAGCAGAACCTCCTGCTGAAGATCCGGCCCCGGACCCAGAAAGCTCCACACCAGAAACCCCACCCGAGTGCCCGGCTGTGCCCGACGCGGCGGCCCCCGAGAAGGAGGCCGCTCGAGAGCCAGAGGCGCCTCCCGCAGTCACAGAGGAGCCGGCGAACGACCCCCCTGCCGCCCCTTTGCCTGCCGCTGATGACGCAACCGGCCCGGAAGCTGCCGGAGGGCCCGTCGCGGTGGCCCCGCCCGGTCCGGCCAGCGCACCGGCCGAGTCGGTCGGATCAGGTGACTCGTCTCAGCCGCCGGCGTCCAGCGAAGGTATAACGCCGATGGCGCACCCTGCGCTGCACTCCTCACAGTTTCAATGTCAGCATTGCTCTCTAGGTGGAGACCCGGCGGCACCGTAAAACCTATTCAGAACTTTTTTTGTTGAACAGAACTTTGAAAAATGCACATGTGGAAGGATTCTCACAACAAGACGTGCTGTGTTTGTGCCGCAGAGCCTTCAACCGTGGCCGCTGAAGAGCTGACGCAGCACAAGGCCTATCTGAAGGTCGTCAAGCGTCAGGAGAGGGACCTGAAAGAGGGAGAAAAGAAGTGTCAGAAAAAAGTGGAGGATCTGATTCAGAAATACTCAGACACGTTCAAGACCATGAAAAAGAAAGCGTCTTTGAAGAAGAAGGAGTGAGGAGATGATTTGTATTTCCAATTTGTCATTTTCTAATGTTTATGTTTATTAAATCACCAAAGAGCATCCGACGGCGTATTAATTCTTACCCACTAATGAAATTGTTGTTGTTGTTGTTGTTTTGGTCATTGTCGCAAAGGAAGCACGGAAAAATGTTCGGCGGCTAATGTGTTTTTTCGGCTGAAGCAGCGAATTAGAGGATGCAGAGAACATCCACATAAACATTGGCCACATTGACCGGCGTACTCTGCCATCCACACTCATCTCTCAGGACAAAACGTGGCATTCAAGGCCAAATTCTATTTTCAGAAGCAGCACGGTTGTACTTCTGTTCTGTACCTGTAGGGATCATGGCTGCATGTCAATAAACTATTTCCTTGCACATCATGTCACGTTTCCTCCAGGGGAGGGGGAAGCACCTTTGACCCTGAGCGCGTGCAGGAGCAGAAGGAAAAGATGCAGGTTGAACTGCAGGACCTGTGGACGGAGCAGGTGGATCACCTGAAGAAGAGGAAGGAGCACTGTGCAACAGAGGTGAGGCAAAAACTAAAAGTTGCATTATTAACAATTCAGTTTTCCCCATTTCAAATAAGAGAAAAGACGACGGCGATGGAGAGCAATGAACCTGAAACTGCACTTCGGTACACAGTATTCTTATTTGAAGAAGGGGTCAACTGATTGTGTGAAATGTGGAAGACTTCGCTTGTAGAGGCAACACCAATTACCATCTCCTGTCGTTGAGTCTGCAGTTCCCTTCAGCTTTACTGTCTGTTTGCTCGTTGTTTTGGTTTAACAGCCTGCAACTCAACCGGCATGTTTCAGTATTGCATGAAAATACTGTAAAATTACAACATACGAGACCTGTTAAGCACCAAACCCTCCCCAAATGTTTTGGATGTGTCGAAGACGTCGAGTGAACGTGTGAAAGCAGATCGGTTTATATTTATTTTCACGTTTAATTTATACAGCTAGCATTCGTTATTGACGTAGCTAGCAGACGTAGCACCACGTCAAAGAATTAGCTCGGACGAACACCGCCAACGTTGGTTACCAGATCTTGCGAAGGTGTGAAACTGAGACAAAAGAAAGACCTCAAACAAAGTACATTTTCTCAGTCAGAATGTTCGGGAGAAATGTGACTCCCAACCAAAAAATGGGTCCCATATTTATATCTATTTTCGGTGACTTGGGGGAGAAATTATCTGTTCACTTCTCTCATCATAGATTCAGGTCGTTGGGCTTCTGTGAAACGCACGCAACACAAATTCAGGACACCGACTCTCCTGAACATCTGTACGACAGCGAGGGGTCAATCGGGTGTTTCTTTTTAACCTCCCAGTAAACAGAATGTGCACTGCAGAGGTGCTGTGGAGGGGCTTTAGTCTTGGACTCATCGAACTTGAAGCAAAAGTTCATGCAAAGTTCTGTTTGGAGAGAGACACGGACATTGTTATTTAGAGCCTCCTTTCGAGCTCCATCTTGACTGTGACATTGTGTCATTTCTTTCTTTTGTTGTCACAGAGACTGGCCAAACTGTTGGAGTTGGCCGCAGAGAGGCACGCCGCTGAACTGAAGACCCTGGAGAGGTGTGAGCTCACACACGACACATTTTGGGACGCGCTGTGCACACTGAGCGGGCTTCGCCAACCCTCTCGTGTCTTGAGATTTTGATGTGACATTGTTTGCGTGAGTGTGTGTGTGTGGAACATTTTACATTTTGCAAGGACGATATAATCATATGGCCAATGTGTGTATCTTCCGATGTCCTCGGCTGGCTTGTGGTGTCCTGGGTGTGCATGTGCGCGTTATCCCAAATCCCCAGCTGGCAGACGGTTGTCTCGGGACAAGCATTGTCCAACGGGTGTTTAAACAGCGGTAGGGGAGAAAAAGGCAGCGCCGGTAATCCACCTGTCCACACGGACACTGTGGCATCACATCTAAGCCTCCCGTCACCGAAAGAGAAAAGGTCACCTCAGAGACGCACAGCCGAAGGAGCTCAGTTTGAAGGAAAAAAAGGTTCTTTATTGGCCAGTTGTTTCATTTTCAGAATCTTAATCGGGTCCTTGCTTTTTGTCTTTACCTCGGTCAGAGAAGAGAATAAGAAGAAGACACGTTCATCCTCGGGGAAAGCAAAGTAAGTTCACAGCATGACCCGCCTTCAGTCATTTAGTGTTGCCATTTATTACCATTCCTCTCACTCTCACGTCTTTTTTTTGTCCAAAATGAAAAGAAATATAATTGAATATTAACAGTATGCAGAGGCTTCTAATTGATAGTTATACTTTTTTAGGTTGAAAAGGGGAATGAGCACAGAGGTGTTGGATGAGCCTAGTCTGTCTGACAGTACAGTAAGTAGTCTTTTAAATTCATTTAAAACAGCAATGATCATTATGTAAAATAGTAGTTTGACATTTATTTTGAATTCCGTTACCTGCTTTTCGTCAGTTTTCTGAGGAGATTGATTCAAATCCCGATCATTAAACTGGCGCCGGCAGCCGTTTAGCTTAGTTTAGCATTAATATTGTAATCTGGGGAAGCACCCTCAGCCTAGTTCTGTCCACAGGGAACCAAATCCACCGGACAGCTCAGCTTCCGTGGCACAGAATGACAGTGGTAACGTCTAATTTCATCTCAAAATGTCAAATCACTCTTTTAAAGGAAATAGTCTGAGGCTGCACGCTGCCGCGCGTCACTGCGCACGCACACTGCAACACGTATTCAAGTTTGTGTGACTGTGGTTACAGAAAGACAGAAAGCGTCTTTAGAAATGAACCCAAACGCGGAATGAAACCTTTCATGCATCTGAGCACATGTTCACATCCACCCCCGGACAACAAACGGCGCGTGCACAACCATTCACCCACCCGCCCACGAACAAACACACACCTTTTATTCACCGAGGGAAGTGCAGCGGGCCCTGACCATAGGCCGGCCTAGTCTATTACTCAGAGGCAGTTTGCAGGGAGCAGACTAATCCATGTGCGGTCAATGACTCACTGCGCTGCGCTCTTGTTTCTCTTGACGGCTCATCATCCGTCCATTTCACTCTGCCCTTCTCCCATCGACTTCATCCGGAAAGAAGCGAAAACCCACTCGCACCTCTGCACACAAAGGGCCCTTTGCAGCTCATTTTCACTTACCCAATCAAGCCCCGTGCCCATTTATTACGGCAACTGTTTTCAACACAATCACTTGCTTCATCAGCGAAGCCTCAGTATTGAATAAAGATTGTGGAACTGAGCCGGACGAGTCCAACCTGTCTTGACTGTATTGATCGTCTTGCTCGGGTTGCGTCCCGTGGGTGCGTTCCCCTCTAGATGTACACTCACACGGAGGGAGAAACAGGAGCAGTGACACGCTAACCGTCTTTATCGCCCACTCGCTGGTGTAGAATCAAACCACAGATCGATCAAATGTTGTGCGGTGCTCTGTTGTGTTGTGACAGGCTTCAGATTGCAGCCCACAGCAAGTGACTCTCGTGAAGAAACAGGCTGCAACGCTGGAGGAGATCAAGGCACTGACCAATCAGGTACACGCATTGCCACCAGGAGACACCTGTAACTATGTCATTCAGGAGCTGAACTAGAAGCCGGAAGTCCTGATCGCGTTTTCAGCGCTTCGAAATATCGACGGCTAGTCAATCAAGGCCGACGCCAGTTTTACCAGTCAGCACAATTTGATTGGTAACCATCACATTCAATTTCCTCCCGAATCTTAAAGGTTCTTGCTTGTTTAAGACGATTTCTGCAATTTCTGAAATAAGATGTTATTGTTGGATTACAGGTTAGGAAGATGCATACATGTTTCCCATCCCTTGACCTTGAGTTAAAGCCGTAAGCTGATTAAAATGTGATTCATACAAGCAAAGTTCAAACGATGCCAGCAACAAAATCCCTACATTTTCAAATTGCTCGTCCACCCGGGCGGTTTTCTATCAGCGATCATACGTAACGTTTCAGCGTGACGGATTTAGTGCAGACCGAGCTCCCACCGCTGCAAATGATGTCAAGCAATTATATGACAATGTGTTGCTTTGAATTGGTCCAATCTTGGCAGTTATTATTGAGAAAAAAGGTGTTGGATTGAAGCGTTAATGCCAGATGGATGGTGTGTTAACGGTATTAACTCCCTTCCTTCCGTTATGACGACAAACTGCTGGAGAAAGGAGTCCATTGAAATGTCAACGTGCCCGTAACTCCTAACCAAGCTTCGGCCCCTTTTGTCGGCAGCTGAATAACGAGGCCCTGCAGGAGCACCATCAGAAGCTGAGGGCTCTGCCAGCGGAGGTGAAGCAGGCCGTCAGCGTCTGCGTGGGGGCTCACTTTCCCGAATTGGTCGACCAGGCCGGAGACACGAAGGTGGAGGGGGCGGCCGGCTATGCGGACGTCTTCCTGGGTTAGGTGTGCCTTTTGACCCCTGACCCCCCCCCCCAATTACATCCTCCCTCAACCTGTTGTAACCTGGTTTAATGAGTAGTAGAAAAAACGTAGCTCTGTGTGGATTTTAGTTTGAAGGAGCTGGTCATGGAGGGAGCTATTTCGGGAGTCATTAAGCCTGTAATTATATTTCTGTAGGTGTCCTCTAGACTGAATATTTGATCATTTGGAAATTAATCTTTATTTGAGTTGCTTTTTAAAAAGCCAAAATTTATTCCTGGGTGAAAGGCCGCTACTGAAAGCTTTCCGTTCTCCTCATGACATCACAAGTAGGAAGAAACGTAGCTGCAAAGATTGTTTATCAAAGTCTGCAGGCTGAATGAGGACAATGGCTCCAATCTTTCACACTTCAGCCCCCCCCGGTGAGATTTGCTCTGCGAAGCAGAACATTCACGCTGATATTTAATGTGTAGTAGTAGTAAGGAAAGAAATACAATTTTCAAAAACATTTTTAGTGTAACAATGGTGTGATGGCGATGGAAATGGCAGCACCAGTCCATCAATTTCCCCCCTGCATCATTTGCTCTAGTTATCAATAAACCTTTCTTTTCACTTTACTTGTGTGTGTTATTTTTCCAAGAAACGGTTTAGTCTTTTGTCATCACAGTAGTTGTGTTTACATGAAACTTACAGAACATCCGTGATAGAAAGGGGCGTCTCTCTGATCACTGCTTCAGTAAACTCTCACTACACTAATTCCACTAATTCTCGTAGCTCATCGAACTTTATGTCAATGTTCATCTCAATAGTTTTCTCTTACTGTGTGTGTCCTCGCAGCCGGAGTAATTTGGCACAATACAGGCTCAAATTGTGGACCAGAGAAAATTCCAACGAGAATAATTCAGAATAAACCTGAAAGAAAGAAATGCGCAACCTCAGCTGATGAATAAAGGCGTGCGCGTGACTCACTGACCAAAGCAACCTGCCGGCACTTTGCATTTCCCTTTTTTCCGCGTGACACCGGCCCTCTGAATCAAATGACACCAATGACATTTAAAAGTAGAAGATCTTGATGAACGAGACGCAGCTTGTGCCCGAGAGTCCTGCCACCTCGTGCAAAACACAGATGAACTGTGAGCTTCGGGGTGCGAAAACCAGTCAGCCCTGAATCACCGGGCCGATATAATCTCACATGCGACGTGGATGACTCTCATGCCAGCTGGAGAGGGAAGGCCTGGGCAGGAGCTTTGCCACCGACGAACACTTGGCCGCTTCTGGTCACACGCACAAAACGTTTGCCCGACCGGATCAGACGCTGAGATGAAATTGATATTGGTTGATGTTCAGAGAGTGGGTGAAGGAAAAAAGTGCGAAGATTGATGATGATGAGAGATTATCTATCAAAATCCCTCCACAGGGGTTTACATGTAGAATAAATGTCTTACAGATTGAAATATGGAATGAAACATACTGCATGTTTCGGGTGTCTGTAAATTATGTCCATAGTATTTAAACCCTAAAAGCAGTTTAAAATCAATTTAAATTTACTTAAGAGAAAAGATCACAAATGAAAAATATGGCTCAGATGAAAAACAGAAGCTTTTCTCTTCAGCAGGCTCTCCATTATAATCCTGAAATAACTGAGAAACAAAACCCTGCAATTGAAAGACTCAATTCTGCACAATGTTCCAAAATGTATTACATCATTAGTAGAGCATAAAAAGGGTGTATTTTTGGATAAGCGCAAAGAATGAGAACAGCGAGAGCACACGAGAAGAGTGGACTACTTTGCTGTTGTTGTTTCCTGTTTGTAGAAGCCGGCTCGACCCACAGGAGGTGGAGGCTCACGATCTGCAGTCCATCTTGACATGAAGCGGATGCCATCCTAGATGAATATTAAGCGCCCACACCACCCACATACACACCACCTGCTGAAGCTGCACCGTCACAGGCTGCACGCTTGTGTGCTTGTGTTGGATCAGTGTGTGGGATGCATTACACTGACTTTAAAGAGCGAAAAAACCTTCCCAGGAGAGGAGATTGCAATAAAATACAGTTATTTGTTCATGATTTGCATGCAGTCTTTCACCAAGCTGCAGGAGGTTGGTTCTTGCTCAAGCATGCTTTACAATCCCAATTAAAACCACGCTTATGGCATGGGATTAGCAGAAAGGGGAATATTGCAGGAGGCTCATCTCCCTGCAGTCGCTCACCTCCTCCTCCGTGTCACATGGTCGCCGAGGACCTCTGAGAGGCACCTCCACCTTCTCAGGGATGCAAATTTGAACTGTGTGTGCTGAGAACGCGGAGCTTCATTTGACACTTTCTCTCGGAGAGGCACCCACGTACCATAAGCCCATGTCAGACAGCACTCTCGTGGCTACTTGAATTCTGATGCGCTCCTTTTTTCGTCGTTGTTAAATTCATGCCATCGTGCCAAAGTGGGCCCGATGGATTTATTCTCCTCTTGCTGTGCTCGCGTGCACAATATGGATTCCCAGTTGCCTGTTGATGTCTCCGCTGCCGTCCCAGCCTCTCCAGGGTGAGAGCATCTGCCACGCTGAGAGTTAAAAAAGGCCCCGAGAGTCACGAGTCATGTCAGAACCCTGGCTGGCAGCACTGTTACGTAAGTGTAAAGTTGCCGGATTTGAACAGATGAGTGTGCATAGTGATCTGCACAGTCCGCCGGTTTTCTGCGGTGTTAATAGGTTTTGAGCATCGATTTGAAATTGGGCAAAAATAAATATATTCCTGTATATTATATCAATTCAATCGGTCATAGTTTTAACAGTGTGAGTCAACGTCACCCACCGTTTATGCTGCTCACATAAGACAGGTGTTTCCCACCAAGAGTCCCACCTGCAGCTGAGTTGATGTGAAACGTGTACTTTTACTCTGAGCTGCATTTGCTGTTTATTCCGTGCAGCTTCTGAACGAGCGACACTGGCCGGTGTGAATAGTCGTGGCCCTCGGGGTGCATTAGTTCATTTATAAAGAAATGTAGTTAAGTAAGCGATAGACTGAGAGAACCTGAGGAAAGACAGTGGCAGCAGTTGTGACATCAGGTGAGATGAGATGAAGTTTGGCTTCTGTTACTGTCTGAAAGCCTGCAGGTGCTTTTTTTCTGTTTTCTCCACTGACCCGGTTAAACTTTTGCTATTTGCTGCCACTTCCTTTGTAGATTTGACGGCGTGGCGGACCTTTACCCCGGCAGCAGCTGAGTGTTACCAATCTCTGACAATGTGGACATTAAACAAATACACTTGTTATCCATTTGTACAATTTACAGAGCTGTCAGAGGCGAGTGGCCCCGCAAGGCCACAAATAGGGCCTGTCAGGTGGGAGATGGACAGCAAACTGTCTGGTCCTGCATCTCTTCTGCATCTTTGGAGGAAAGGAATTTCTGTCACAACTGATAGATTACTGAGGGAGTTCAGGTGGATCATTGGAACCGACACCAAGGCTCCGCATGGAAAATTGTTGACACAGATCAAATCGCCTTGTTCAAGAGTTTCATTATTGGGACGTCAGAGCAACGCTTCGTCTGTCGCTTTGGATTTTTAGATAAACATGAAGAGCTGATGCTGGCATTTCTGCTTTTGTTACTGTAAGTGTGTATATTAAATCTGATTTAGAGGTTAAATTGTGTAAATATAAAACACAACTTTGTTATCCTGTTTGGGTAGAGAAAATGAACCGTTTCCTATACAATGTGATGTTTTGTTATAATGTTCACCGTACTCCCATCTTAGTTCAGTGTATTAGCACGCTAACATTTAGCACTAAACACAATGGCCGCGTGAGGCTCATTGGGTTTGCTCAACGGTTGGAATCCAAATGTGAAAATAGAAATTTGTACCCGATGATGGTAGTTAGTCATGATATTATCAGTCATGATACTTCTTATAATAATAACAATAATAATGTACCATATTTCATGACAATCCATCCAGCAGACCCGCCCACCGCCATCCTGAGAGACGCGCTGCTATTGTTGCCCCAGAGCTGTAACATCTTCTGCGGCGTGCAGATACCATTTTCTTATCGGCACATCAGTAATTTGACTCGTCTATGCGAAAATCAACAAAAATTCTGTCTGCATTAGAATTTTGCACTTCTCTTCTGCTGTGCTGATCTTCAGCTACCCCTCCCTCCCCTCATCCATGGCACAAGCACACCGGCCAGTCCCACTGTAGCTGCTAATTCTCCGTTGTCCAAAACGCCTCCGTCTGAGGGCTGATATTAAACCGCCTTAATCCGAAGGCTGAGGGAACTGCACACTGTTTACCATCTGGCGAGCCTGAGCGAGGGCATTAATTGATGAGAGAAAGCGCCCCGCCTCAGGCCCGACGGCACAACCCCCCCCCCCTGTGTTTGTGGCAGCTCCCGCTGTGTTGTCATGGTCTTACGGCTGCAACCCTGTATCTTGATGTAATTGTCCCCCACTCCAGCTCTGCCGTCCTTGGTCTTGTGACAAAATCCCACAATGTCTGCCCTCTGACGATCAGGAGACGAAGACGATAAACAACAGCAACGGGACCTTCAGTAAGGTTGGAAGTCCGTTTGAGAAAGACGCAGCTGCGTTTCGGCGGGAACAGCAACAAGCGACCTCGCGTCCACCTCAGAGATGATGCGAGCGCGCCGTGGCTACGTGGTGACAGCGGGCCAGCTGCTGCCTTTTTTCCTGGAAGGGAAGGCGCACGCGGCCCCCCCCCCCCCACTCAGCCGAAGACCACCGTGTCCTTGTATCGAATCAAAAGGGCATTAGAGGAACTGAACGGACACACACACACACATACACAGACAAATGATAGTTCCCGGCTGAATATGAATGCATCGACTCGGGCGCCCCGGGTCCCAGCAGGAGACGTTGTCGCCCGCTGCTCGGATGGCGGGGCCACCTGCGTCGAGACGAGACGCGGCTGTAGGGGGGAGGATTTGTCTTTTTGTTGTGAATTTGAAATGTGGACATGAGGAAGAAACAGAAGCCTGTGACAACGGTGAAATCTTTCAGCAAAGTTGCATCGGAAAAACTTCATCCAGTTACTTTTACCGTAGCTGTAAATATTTTTCCCTCATTAACAAACCCGCGTTGAAACTACGGTCAAAGGTTCATCCTGTTTTTTGAATCCTGTCAGCAGGCGGACGAGGAGGAAGTCCACGGAGGATGACGGGCATGTTGAGTCACACCTTTGAGTCACAATGAATGGGCCTTTTGGTTCCCAAATGAACTCCATTTCCCTCCTTATACACACATGTAATACCAGGCAATAGCTAAGTGGAGTTACCAAGGGAGTTTGGCTCGGTGTTTTGTTTCCATTAACAAGTGTTCCTGGAAAGAGCCTGTTGATTTAGTGTCACTGGAAGTGCATTCTCCCCAGTGGCTAATTAAGACATTTAGGGCCGCGGGTAACACCTTGATTTGACACCAGTGTTAATGTCTGATCAGGTATTCAAAGCGGCTCCCGCTTGGGCCGGAACCTCAATGAATGGGAGATCAGGTATTTACCGTGACATCTCTGTTCTGTTGCATACATCCCACCAATTAACAAGTCTCATGGTACCAACTCATTCACATTGGGAATATTTCATTCACATTGCAATCATTTACTTTTGAAGGATTATATATAATCAAGCTTGGTGGAACAACACTCAATGTCATCAGATTTATCCAAGTTGGTCCTCCGCTATTCTGCTATGCATTTACCCTTCAAGTATAACTGTAGGACTGAGCTGACGCTGTTTTTGTCACATTTAATCTGCGTAGAAGACATTCCAGTGTTACGGTACTTGATATGGAAATGTTCATTATTTGCACAGTCAAGATCCTGCCATATAAGACCGTCTATATCTAACAATAATTCAGTTTTAGCGTTGTATCATCTGGATTGAGTTACAATTTCCTTCCTACGGGGATAATAAATAAGTCTATATATTTATACATATTGGTGGAGCACCATGCTGAGCACATAACACCTGCGGATCCGGGCGCTGTGAAGCAAAATCAAGGGCGGCATCTGTGGCATCATAAGAATTCAAGTCTGCTGAGATGTTGCCATTGTATGACCTTATTATGAAAATATGTGGCCGAGATATTTCGTCGTGATGAAAAGTGTATGTCAGTACAAACAGAATAGCCCACATTCACTGTGAGCCATCTAGAAGGAAGTGTTGTTGTGTTGATGGATATCGGCCGTGTTACGATGCTGTTTAAAGGTCCCGCTGAGGGTTTGATGAAGCCAGATGGTGAACAGTGAGAAAGGGGGAACACAAGCTATTTTTCTCTCACCTCCACTGTTTGAAACCTGCAGAGATTTATATCAGCAGTTACATTTTAATGTCAGTCTGAAAGGGTCCTTTCTGCTTTTTTTACACACGAGCTGCAGCAGATTAGACAACTGTATCCATTTTGTGCTTTCGATGTTAATGGTGGTAAATTAAAGTGCGAGAGGCATAAGCAATTTGGATTGATTGCATAAATTAAGTCATAATTAAATGAGTGCTTAACAAGGCAGTATAGGGATGCTCTTTATACTTTAACAAACATATTGCAAGGGTTGATTTCCATTGCTACCTCACAGGGCAACATCATGCTGATATCCTGATGACAGCAGACTATTCAGTACATTATAAAGCTAATTAAAAAATGACTTTTTGTGGTTTTACATTTAGCAATAATTGTTATTATGAGACCATAAGAAGGTTTTTTTTTCACAATAGAGCAGCATAATTTATTATTTATTTAAACCCTATTTTTTGCACTGTATCATGATTTGTGTTTTGAAGCAAACTGCAAGCAGAACCACAGAGTGGAGGATGGCTGCAGCATTTAGGAGAAATATTATCGCATCGAATTTTCATTTCCTTTCACTGAAGCGAGTTCTCAGCCTTCACTCTTCCCCCTGACCCACGCTGAGATTCCTTATAACAATGTAGCAATGAATTTAAACTCAATAAATGCCCTATTCAAGAGTTTTATACAATTCTGCATTTTTATTTTCACATTAATGTTGTACATTAGCACTTAATTTGAATCAAAGATGAAAGTGTGGCATTTCAGTTAACCTTTATGGACCTCACATCAAAAACACAGCCAATGTTTTCACTTTGAGTGATTATTCAGTTCAAATAGCATATACTCTCCAGGCAGAGAGTGCTGGGGCTGAACGGATGCTGCCGCTGCATAATGGTCCTCAGACATTTGTTTCCTAGGCAACGTGGGGAGGGCATGTGAAGAGGGAGGTATAAAAACACTGCCGGCTCCTCTCTTGGTCTTACTCTGAGGTGAATGCACTCGCTGTCAATACGGAGACTCTCCGAAGAAGTTGCCGCACTCTTTCTCTCGAGATTCGTCGCCTTCTGTCTTGGCTCACTCGACGGCTCGGCTCCGCCGGTAGCAGTTCAAGAATGATGCGGCCGAAAGATTTACGCCAGGGCTCCGGCACCAAGACCTTCCTGGACGCCATGCACGGTGGTAAAGTTCACCTCGCACGCTTCATCCTGGACGCCTTGGACGGGCGGATCATCAACTCAAAGACGGAAAACAGCCGCACCCCGCTCATGTACGCGGTTTGCCTGCAAGACCCCGGCGCCAGGGCCAAGTTCACCCGGCTCCTGCTGGAGAAAGGCGCCGACGTCAACTGCCAGGATGAGGACGGTCGGACTGCCCTCAGCCACGCCTGTGAGATGGGTCACCTGGACGTGGTGAAGATCCTGGTGCCGTTCAACGCCGACCCGGAAGTCTTTGACACCTGGGGCAACAGCGCTCTGATGTATGCTGCCTTTTCTGGGCACAACCAGGTTCTGGAGTTCCTGGTCCGGGCTTTCAAAAGACTGGGACTGAGGCTGGACAGAACCAACAATGCTGGTCATTCCGCCATCGAGGTGGCCAACTTCTTTGGACACAACCAGTGTGTGCAGATTCTGAACTTTCCGTGCAGGAGGGGTGTAAGCGCAGATAATCCACTTGCTGAATCGGGTACCATCGGTGAAGGAGAGCGCCGGCTGCCCAGCCGGCTCCCGAGGCAAGTTCTGGAGAGGTTCTCCAAGCAGCTGAATAACAATGGAGACCAACTGCCCGGGGTATTTCAGAGACAGCTGAAGATTGGAGACAGCACCGGGCTTTGGAACCGTTTCAGATGCCCCAGGAGCCAGTCTCAAGACGACAGCCGTCGCCACGGGTGGGCTCTGCCTCCTCAGACAGAGAAAAGCAAGGTCGAGGGGGATCACAGCGTTCTCTTCTCTGCCAAACAACTGCAAAACTGCCAGCTTGGAGAGCTGAGAGCCACAACGATGAACTCTCTGCCTGTCGATGTCAGTCGAGGTACCGGAATCCAGGAGCAAACACCAGTAAGTTTTCCCCTGTGTGTAAAAGCAAAGTCGTTCAACCTGGACATCCTGAGCAGCAGAAAGCAGTCCTATCAGGGCGATTCCCGCGACGTCAACCTGCCAGCCAGCAAACTGAAGAGAGCCTCGCTGCAGGATGAGAGATGCCTGGTAGACAAGACGGCATGTCAAGGGAACACCAGGGGCCCGACAGATGACGATGACAAAACGCCACTCGATAAGACCGTCGGATCACGGAGAGGAGAGACGGATGACTCGGCCACGGCGAGCAGGAGAGAGCAGCAGAAGAGGGGGAGCTTCGGAGCGACCGGCAGACACAACAAGCTGCTGTTCGCCAGAGGGGAGATGCAGGCCGGGACGAACCCCGGACGCACGCCGGGGTTGGCGGGACTCGGGACCAGACTGCGGCGTCGATTCACCGCTCCGGAGTTCATGCGGTTGGTGATGGACTGCTCGGCGGGCTCGTCGAACGGCCGGGGGCGGATTTCCCGCTCTGAAACTTTCCCTCTCTCCCACGCGCACCAGCGGGTCAACAGCCAGCCGAGCGTCGACGGCATCAGCGGAGTGAAGTGCGAGTTTGAAAGCTGCTCGTCTCAGTCCGCCCTCGACTAGGACATCGCGCGGCGTGCACTTTTTCACGGGGCTTAAAAATTCTGCCAGCTCAGTTTGATTGCTTGGTTCTATACTCTATTCATTGAAGTGCTAATCTTTTGCTTATGTTGCAGTTCATTCGATTTTTAAATGCTTCTCAATAGAAAACAAGAGGTTCAAGTTCATTCATTTGCAAACATAACATTTTGAAATCATTTATAAATTAACATATCATCTGTGAGCTACTTAGCTATTATTTCTTTTGTTTATATATAAATACACACACATACGTGTGATTTATATTGTATGAAATTAAATGTATTTGACATTGCGCTTATGTGTTTATATGAAGTATTTTGCTTAAACATATTCCTCGAAATAACCAATAAATGACACCTTGCAACTTGTGAGTGTGTGAATGAGGGGAAAAGCACAACCAAATGAATTTCAATTCAATATGCGTCATTTATTGATTTATACAAAATTAAAATGTGTAATTCTCTTTTTCGTGACCGATCCGCACAGAGATAGAAATACATGAAACACAACATGTATCTGTGTCAGAATACAAAGATTATGTGCAAAGTGTTTCTGAGCAGGTGGACGTCCTGCAGCATCACATGCCCGGCCTGTGTGCTTTATCTAGGCAAACAAATGCAAATACAGTCACACACGTCTTCTGGAGGAGCAACACACACGCGTGTCGTGGTTTTTAAAAAGTCCAACACTCTGCGAGTCGCATCAGAAGCAAACACTGAGATTCCACCTCACGCGCATCCATGTGCTCATCACACACGCGCACACACACACACATGCACGCACACATACAAATACACACTCACGTTTAAGTAAAGAAAAGTAAAATTTTAAATTCATCTCATATATTTACTGCGGTACAGTAGATCAGCAGGTGCAATGACCGGATATTCAGGATTTCTATTTACATTATTAATTTCTCTGCGTATGTTTCAAGTCCGTACTTAATAATGAAACCTTATTTGCAAATTCACATCATACAAACAACCCACAACACCTTTTAGAAATAAATAATAAATATGAAAAAGAGGAATATGGTTCTGGTGATGTTCCAATAGCCCAATAGTAGCAGCTGGGCTTTAATCTACCCATTTATTATGTTAATAATGGAGAATTGTCTTTCACTTCCCAGTTTGGTACATAATCGAGCATTCACATCAGGCCAGGTGTGCCTCTATTTGGCCATGCAAATAGTCTACTGTCAGTGTTTGTAAAGTGTACTGACAAAGCTGTTCCTACAACAGAGAGTGTGAGTGTGCAGAGGTAACTTTATTCTTCCTTGATAGTGTCACATTGACCTACTGTGGTTTTGAGCCTAACAGCTTTGTAATCTACACTGCTAGCGATAACGCCCGTTAAGAACACTAGAAAAGATCTGTAGAGTAGCACATGTTCATTACATATACTTACGTGGAATATTGACTTTTGCTCTCAGTTGATATGCACCGTGTGGTGTTGCGTTGTATCCCACTGACTGTAACAGGAAGCCAATCAATATTCGGCTGAGAGGTGAGGAACTGCATGCTGCCTTTTGACTCACTCCTAAAGTGCTTCTCTCATGCCTGAGTCCATGCGGTGTCCGTCAACCAAACTCGCGGCCCCCGCCACCAGTACTCCGCCAGCAGCGCGCTGCCTGGCTCTGCTTCTCCGGAGCGGACTTCCCGTTGGCCAGGGGTGCTAGTGTTGGACCCCCGCTGCTGGTCCTCGCCTGTTGGGGTCAGACTGAAGGTGGGTGTTGGGGAGCTCGGAGCCCCGCGGGGTCAGCAACGGGACATGCGCTTGCGGTACTGCTCCACCAGTGGAACCAGGCACTGAGGTGAGCCGCACTGCAGCAGGAAGGGGTGCTCCAGCAGGTCAGTGGCGCTGGACCGCTCTAGGGGGTCCCGAGTCAGCATACGGTCCAGGAAGTCCTTCAGAACCGGGGAAATCTGCGACATTGGGTACAAATATGAATGAATTTCTACATTAGTTATTTGTTGCAGTTATTCAACTAGAGGCACGACATGGTAACATGCTCACAATGAAAATTTCGTCATTGTGTTAGAAATTGGTGGTCAGAAAGTTTCAGCAGGTCCACAGTCCTAATTTGGTACGTCGGCATACTAACATTTGCTTATTGGCACCAACAGTGTTCAAGCGCTGCTGAGGAAATACGTTTGCAGTTTAGTCTCGTACCTGGCTGACGTTTCGCACCGTAGGAGCCATCTCATCCCTCAATCTCTTCATAGCAGCCACAGGGGTTTCACTGAAGTACGGGGGCTCTCCATCCACCATCTCCACCACCATGATCCCCATCGACCAAATATCCACCTTGTGCAGGATCACACATGGAAATTGTGTTAAAGATCTTACCGCACAGATTTCCACTGTTGGCCTGTACGCCGGATGGGAGTGATTCCCGTTGTTGTCCATCGCGGTTGCATTTGAGCGTGTGCGTCCTCACCTCAGTGCCATATGGGGATTTGGAGATGACCTCAGGAGCCATCCAATAGGGTGTTCCCACTAAAGACTTCCTTTTGGGGATGTCCTTGCTGATCTGAGCACAGAAGCCAAAGTCTGACAGCTTGACCTGTGGGAGATAAAAAGGCCGTGCTATCAAGAAAAAGGGGGGAGAAAGAAAAGTAAGAAAGAGTACCAAAATATCTTACCCTTCCGTCTAATGTGAGTAGTATAGAATCGCTCTTGATGTCTCTGTGGATGACTCCCTGTGAATGCAGATAGGCGAGTGCTTGCAGAACGGCTTCACACACTGTGGCAATCTGCTCTTCACTCAGCCTGCAGGACAAGACGCACGCAAACATATTTTACGGTTACGACAAATCAACGGCTGAGAAAGTTGAGTCACTGTGCATTGAGAGCGACGATGAAGAAGGTTCAAAACAAAAACTCCCACACGGCCGAATGACCAACGAAACATGTTCATTCCTTTCACGGGGATAGTGTGACATCATAAACACATAAGAGCCAGGAGTCAAAAAGACATTTTCAAAGGGCAAGTAAGTAAATGTAAACACGGAAAACACAAGGTGAGATTTAATTTACGGAGCACTGAATAATCCGCATATTTCAAAGATCCACCTAAAACTATGAAAAACGGCTTTGTGCAGTAATTAAAGCCGTAAGTCGCACGTTTATGTTATTTTTGATGTATGCACTATTGGAAAATGTGATGGCATCAAGGCTTCAAATCCGCAACCACAATTGACTTTGTACATTGCATCTAAACGTGCACATATTCTATTATGTCATTGAATTTGTACTTTTCCTCAGACACTGGGGAGAGGGATGAATGCCTTTTTGATTTTGAAATCCCTCAGCAGTCGATACCACACTACCCTCTTGTGGTTGATTTAGTTATGAAATGATGACAGCGCCACTACACAGAAATGCACTAATTCAGCTTTCTCAGGATGAACCAAGAGGACCGCTTGATGCCTGTACCTGGTTTCAGACACAATGTTGGTGAGTGCTCCACCTTGCAGGTACTCCATGATAACCCACAGCTCCTCCTCCACCAGGGCGGACTTGAACATCTCCACCACATTCCTGTGCTGATAGTCCCTCATGATGACCACCTGCAGCAACAAAAACATCACCGGAGAAACCAAAATCTTAAGTGACATAGTTAGTGGAGTGCTTCCGCAAAGTCAGGAGACAATGTTGGTGCTGCATTTTAAATAGTATCCTGCTTTGCTCTCGATCGGTTTGGCAAACAACCAAATCTTTAAATAGCTCCGTGACTAATCCGAGATATGCCAGACAGAATAATCAGGGTTTATTTTCTAAAATGTTAGTTCCCCACAGAGTCACGAATATCATTATACAATTGTCTGTAGAATTAAATTTCAAGGAAAAGTCCACCTGGCCCAATTCCAATAATGTGGCTGTTAGGACTAAATGGGCCGAGTAAAATATGGCACTTGCCATCTGTGTCGTACAGATTCAGCAAAACAAGCTAATATTGATGCTCCAGGTAGCGAGCATTAAAAAAAATTGAATACGGAAATTCTGTTTCATGGAAAATCTGCAGGAGACCCAAACATCTTGTTGCAAAATATATTATTTTCCTGACTCTCTAACACATAGGGGGGAAGTCAGTGCGAGCTACAGAGCCACATTTATGGGAAATGTTGAAGTAATCTTAAATTATCCCTGACATGCTGGACCACAAAGAAAAGCAAACCTGGACGCTCAAATGTGTTGCCGTAACCTTGGCTGCATTGTGTGTTGGAGATTTGTGTTTTTGAGAACCGCTTTCTACGTATTTGGACATCTTACCTCATTAAAGAGCAACTCTCTCCTCTGCTGCCGCCGCAAGTCCATCATCTTCACCGCCACCTGCCTGCCGCTGTGCTTCTCTGTAGCGATACAGACCACCCCCGTCGAGCCCTCCCCGATCTTCACAAAGTTCTCCAGGTAGGACCGAGGGTCGCCCTTGTCCACCACCATCTGCAGGGCGGCCTTGAACTGTTCGTGCGTCACCTTTGGCGGGTCTGGTGGGGGCCTGGGCGAAGGATGCTGCGGGGGCCTAAAAGCAGGGGAGCATGTGGCCGGAGGGCTGGTGGCCAGCGAGCCTGTAGGGGAGGGACGAGGCTGGGACGGGCTGTCCTGCCGCGGGTAGGGAGGGTTGAGGCTTCCAGAGTGTCTGAGGAAGGGGTCGGGCCCATTGGGCCTCAGCCCCATGTTAGGTGACAGGCCCAGCGTGTAGCTAGCCGAGGAGCGCACCGTTCGCTGGGGTCTGATCCCGCCCGCGAGGGGACTGCTGTTGCCGGCGGGCAGGAAGCCGGAGTGGTACCTCACCGCAGACTCCGCCTGAACGATAGAAGAGGAAAGGGTGAAGAACATTAAGGGCAGGGAGCTGAAAGAGAGTTGGCCGCTTGCCTGGAGTTCAAGACCCGCTTTAAAAGTGAATGTAAATCAAGTCCGTCCCTCTCGGTCGGCATCCACCTCCCCTGATGTGACCCATGTAAAGACGGCGCCATGGAAGCCAAGTATCCCGCTGAGATCGTGCCAAACACACCATCTCTCAACTTTTACAACCCCGCCTGGCACTTTGAACCCACATTTCCCATTTTAACTCAGACTCAAATCAAATAGTCAAACCCAGAGCTTTAATCACCTTTATTGTAAATCCAATATATGGCATTTATGCTGCCTCACTGAAGTTTCTAAAACCTCAACTTAAAACTTAAAACCCATGCAGAAAGTAGTACAGGTAATACAATGTTCAAAACGTTAGCAAAAATATGCATAAATTGTGCCATTCTATGAATAATTTATCAGTGCACTTAATGGCCACAAAGATGTGCAAAGAAAATTGCCGGAACGTGAGACTTACTTTCAGGTCATAGGAAGAGAACGGCCTCCCGGGGCTGTTCTGCGGGTGCACGTACATCGGCACGTTGGGCCGGAGCTCCGCAGTGACTGTTGCTTGACCGCAATGAGGCTGCTGAACAGTCACAGCTGGGCTGTAAAAACAAGCTATCGGTCTCTGATTTTGCGGCACTCCCCTGGGAAGCTGGAACTCCCTCTTCCATATCACTCTCTCCCGAGGGCTGCCCACCTCACCGCCCATATACGGCCCGTGACTCAGCACCGGGGCGTTGGGGGGCGGAACCGGCCCTCGCGACGGTCCCTCCAGAGAAGTGACGCTGACTTCGTAGGTGGACCTGGCCTTTGGCAAGATCCCGTTTGGATGCAGAGTGACACTCCGTTTCATGCCGAGGTAGGGGGTGTTGGTCTCACTGTGGATGTTCCTGGCCCTGTCCCTCCACTGGTCTTGACCGTCGTCCTCGTCGTCGCCGTCGTCCTCACCACCCTGGGTCAGGCCCTCGTACTGGTAAGCGTCTCCCTCGCACACCTCCCCCAGCCTTCCCAGTGACTGCGCCCTCTTCCTGGCCGAGGGGCTGCTCTTCCTCAAAGAGTTAGAACTGGTCACAGACAGACGGTTCATGTCATTGATCATGGCTGCGATGTAGTCTCCGTGACCGATCATGCTCCCCCGCACAATGGTCTGAAAGAGCAGAGGTGTTTATCTTTAATTACACTGCATTTGCCATTGTCACATTATATAAGAGAATTTGGAGTAAAATTAATAATGAGGGTGACATAATCATTGCTCGGAGGCATTTCCCCAAAAAACATCCATCCATCAATCCATCACACAGGGTCGCGGGGGGGCTGGAGTCTATCCCAGCCAACACCCTGGACTGGTCGCCAGCCAATTGCAAGGCTAACACAGAGAGATACAACCATTCACGCTCACATTCACACACCTACAAGCAATTTAGAGTCACCAATCAACCTGATCCCCAGAGCATGTCTTTGGCCTATGGGAGGAAGCTGGAGAGAACCCATGCAGACATGGGGAGAACATGCAGACTGCCCACAGAAAGGCCGCTGAGTCGAACCCAGGACCTTCTTGCTGTGAGGCGACAGTGCTAAAAACAGGCCCAGACAGTCCCCTCAAAAAACATACACCAAGCAAATGTATCAGGAGACGCACTAAAAAGTCACAGCTTCCAAAGATGCAAAATTCTGAAATGAGAGATAATTGTTTCCATGACTTCTCAGATGCTATGCATAGACAGCGGGCATGCAAATGCAAACCTGCCCTGACAGGAAAGTATCAGACAAACTTCAGATCTTTTGCCAGAGTAGTGAGATTATAGCAGCTGTTATGCAACTGAGCGCTGCCTCATCAGTCATGTTCAGTTCACAGCCGGTCGACGGCCTCTCCTGTTTCCCTGGTTCGGTGCCATTATATCTGCACAGGGGGCAGAGGTCAGATGACATGTCACCTACTCCGGCACCTCTCTGAGAGGAGAGACTAGCAGGTGATAATGGCCCCGGTGAGACATTCCATTTCCCTCTTTTTCCCAGAGCAATAATCTGAAATGTAGCCTGCTGTATTTTCATCCAAATGTTTTTTGCAGTTCACGTAAGAAAACGCAACTCTCGCCTTGATGACGCTCCTAGAACTTATTTCGACAGCCCTGATCACGTAAAGAAATCCACTAAATGTATTTTCTGGAGGGTGAAAAACAGAATCAAATGTTTGCTTTGTGAAGCACAGAAATCCTTCGACATGCAGAATTTATCACTGACTGGCATTTCTTTTGCACTACCGGCACTTTTTCCTCCCTCCCGTTTGACATCTATGGGAAGGCTCCGTGGACTGTTAGGATTGCCTGCACGGAGTAATAAATCCCTCTGAGTCTTCAACACTCGTACAGTCGGGGGACGCCGCGGGGTCATCAGCCCGGCCCCCACATGCAAGCAAAGAGAAGCGTGGCTTCCTTCCACGTTGTCCTCGGAAGGTTGTGGCATCTTCTGAGACAGCAAGATTCCTTCGACTGGTTTAATGGCGTGCTAATTCCTAGTGACCATGAAGGGAAAGTCATAGGTGCAATAAAGAGTGGTGTACCTTCTTTGGCCTCAGCTCCACCTCTGTGATCCTGGAAGGGTCCACCATGGGTTTGGGCCTGCGCAGGTTCTCTATCAGGCTCTGCCATTGCGTCGGCAGGCCCACAAAGCAGCCGCGCTTGGAGTCGAAGGAGGTGTGGACCCGGTGCTCAAAGTTCTTGGGCGTCGATATTTCAGGCCTCTTCTTTTTCTTCTTGCGGAACATCCTCAGGTCCTCGAGGGCAACAGCCTGCCTGCTTTAAAATGACCCTGTGGGCACAAACGTATTCACCTGTTAACAGTGCACCCGATAACCCAGACGGCACATTGCCAAATGACTGAAAATAAATCTGTCCTGGCGCAGCCCTGGCGAATAGAGTATATGCAAATAAAATCTGACAGCGGAGGATCTTTCCGGAGGGAGTTATTATTCAAACGGATCCTCTAAAAGCTGTTCCATGTCCGGGGGGTTGCGTATCCCCCCCGCACGCTATCTTGTTGGCTGTCACAAACTTGTGCCTGTGAGAATGGCTCCAAGGACAGTGGATGGATTTGCAAGCGCATGTGTAATGAAGGATATCTGGTCAATCGAGGCTTATTCATTCTTTGTGCCATTTCGCTGATGAGCACGCGGCTGAGCTGGCCGGCGCCCACAGGCTCTCGGCGCATTAGCAGGACGAGCACAACGCGCTTGTGCGCACACACACACAAACACTATGGCGGGCTATCCTTCACAACCCCTTTTCATACCTCCTTCACATCCCATCCTAATTAGTAGCACGTGTGCCCTTGATTGCAGGCAGGGTGACCATTTCATCCTTGGACGGAGGGCCGTGACTTTGGCGAGCCGCTAACTCTGGTTTTGTGTATGTCGGGCTTTATTTTCAATTCACGTGTGGAGAGATGATTAAATACATTACATCTCATTGGCAGCTGTACTGAGGGATAACCACTCACATCAAAGACTCGTGATTAGTATTAATACCGATTCATGTAGCTCTCCTCACGGAGGACGTTCCGGCAAGGCCTGCTGGTTGTGTGGTTAGAGGGACGTCAATGCTGGTGTTAACATAACTGTGAGCCCGCTAGTTTATGTAGTTTATCTACCACTATCATTAGTTTAATTAGTTTTTTTTACCAATATTTAGGTTTGTGACCAAATATCAACAAACCCGATCCCACCAGCCTCACCTTTACTTTGGGTTTGCTGATAATTAATGAATTAGAAGGAAAAACATTGTGCTTCACGAGCCAAAGTTGAGAAATACCAAAAGTAATAATAATAATTGCATTCCCTCATAAGCTTTAAGATTTTCAGTAAAAATAGTTATTCTGTTTTCCGTTTAAAGTCCTTTAAACTTATAGCACAGTGATAAGTTGTCAAAAGCCTCTTGCTAATTAGTAAATGTCAGCATGCTAATGTGAGCGAGGTAAACACTATACCTGCTTAACATGAACATGCTGGCAGGATTGTTGGGAGAATGTTAGTACTTATTGTCTTGTTATCTTCAGCAAAATCTACACAATTTTTCCTTGAATATTATGCAATCTCGCCCCTTCTGATCAGCCTAAAACCTTCATCATTAAAGGGAGGTGGGGAAAGGTTACGGGGGGCGGGGGGTGACCCCCCCCCCTGCAAGGATCATTCTGTCACGAGGCTAATATGCTAAGTGTTGCGTAAGTATATCGCTGTGCCTCCCTACGTTCCTAATGTGCTGCTGGCAGCCACTTTAATTCCATGTGACAGAGACATTATGTGGTGAGGGCTCTCAGGAGGGGGTGAGATAAGAGTCGGGGCCAAAATTAGAGTCCACGCTGGATAAATTAGAGGGACAGGGACTCTGTTTCCTTCCTGTAGACACGGAAAGACTTTCAAGCGCCCGTTGTGGATGCTTTTCAAATAATGAACGCTTGAGAAAACAAGAAGATTGCAATCTCTGCCGTTTTATTTTTCCCGCCGCACGAGGCACAATCTGCTCGGATGGTTCTGCAGCATGCAGATGTTGGCATTTCCCCAACAAATATTTACACATGGCGGTCATGTATCCTTTTACAAGCAAATCAATCAATATTTACTCATGAGTCAAATGCAAACGGCCACAGTCGTCCACTGCCAGCTAGAACGGGGTGACGACAGCACAAACAAGAAGGCTGCTTATAGTGCTTCATCACGCTCCATAAGTTCAAAGCAGCAGAGAACAGAACATATCACAGCATTGATAATTCATTCTCTATTTTTTTCTAACCAGCGAGATATTAGAGGCAAGCAGAAACAATCTCATAACACACACAAGTCGATTCATGCCTGGTCAGAACTAATTAAAAAGTTGATGCTGTTATTGAGTTACACACTTTAATCACATGCAGATGGCCTTATATTGAACCCGGTAACTTCGCCAAGCTTATTGCTCTCTTTACAACAATATCCTATCGATTGTTAAGCCCATCGCACAGTATGTCTGCACGGGGCTGAACTTGCACAGCGCATTGTCCTGCTTTCTGGTCACATCTCTCTAAACTGCAGAGACATGACCCTATGCCTCAGTGACTTGTCTTGAATCGATCAAAGTTCTGAGGCAAAACTCAGTCAGTTGGTGTCGGAGATATGAAGAGCCAAGAGAGGATGAGGTCACTCATCACATTAGGTATTTCCATCCGTAGAACTGTGTGCGGCACCAAAATAATATCATAGCTCCAAATGCACGAACCAGAGAAATCAGTAACAACTACAATCTCACTCACAGAAAATCACATCGAGATCAAGCTGAAGAAGTCTGCTTGTTTGAATAAAACCACCACCTAATCACAGCCAAACCTTCCCTTTCCAGGCTCAAAGGAATCTCATACTCAGCCCCCCCAACTGACTCACGTCGTACAGAAGCAGGCGATCCATACGTCTCCCACGGACAACATGACAGAAGAGGAGAGGGCACGCTCGCATACCTCTCATGCTCAAATCACCCGGGCAGGTTGTGTTGTGGATGAGTGGGAGGGGATGGAGAGATAAGAGAGGTATTGGATTTGCTCGATGTTAGCGCTCCGAGCTCTGTTGAATGATTTTATTTTTTTCTACTTGCCCTGATTTCTGCCAGTATCCTTTTTTTCTTGGCATGCATGCAGAAATATAATGAGCGTGCAGGTGACCACGCTGGCAGGATTAGTATGGTCTTCAATCCTTTACTGATCTAATTTTAGGACACATCACGCCTCCCACCACCCCTCCTCCCTATCACCATGTTTATTTTGCACAGAATTCGTGTCTCAGGATGAGAGACGGATGGAAAACAGGTAATCCTCTTTTTATGTTTGTCATTGCACGTACGGCCATAATCCAGCTACAGGGGGCTGCATCCTTCTCATAGCAGTAAAGATAGCTTCAAGGTCCTTTATAGTGTTTTTGACTCTGCAGTGTGGGGGGGGGGGGGGGGGCTTAGAGATTGCTTCTCTATCAGCTTCATTATGATGACCGTTCTGCCCTTTGGGTGTAATGAGACCGCCTCTCAAGAGGGAGGGAGGGAGTCTTGGTCGGTCATCTCTTTATTTTCCTTATGCTTTGTTGCACACGCGGGCACATACTCACACTCACATACGTCACCTGAGGACATAAAACAGGTCCACGAGCGCTGGACGTGACCGGACAGGACAATGGCAGTGTTTATTTATATTTAAGTTGTGTCCGCTTTCTCTTTGAAGTCACCTCTGCAGACAAGGAGGGATTGTCAATAAGAGACGACAAGTGATCTAATAAGCTGCACTCAATGACATGGAATATCGCGCCGCTTTCATGCATATTTCATGCCACTAGTCTAATACATCATGCATGACAAAGCACTTGGAATAGGAGGAATGTTGGGAGGATGTCACACATCTGTGGCCTCTGCAAAAGTAGCCCGTTGTGCTTTTTTTCAGTCCTCGCCAGTGGTCAGAGATGGCAATAAAGGTTGATTCACCAATCTAGTGCAGACTGAAATAGCTCTGTAACTATTGCATGGATCGCCTTGAGGTCTACAGAGGGGAACACCAACCATTTCCTCTGGTACCACAGTGAGGTCACACAAATGTGTAACGTAGTAATGTAACCCTAACCCAATGGGGGAATGAAATGCACTACTTTTGATGGTCACTGGGTCAAAATGTTCTATGCACATGGTAATGTTGATGATCAAATGATACCTAAATAGCATCAGCAAGTCATTATTGTCATAGTAGCATGCAAAAAAGCAATTCAAAAAGGTCCGCAGCAGAAAGAGAAATGCCAGGTCAAAATATAGACCATTTGTTTTTCTACGGTGGTGAAACAAAATTCCCTGTCCTCCATGAAGTATTTCTGATCAATGCACCACTGAGGGGTAAGGACACAATGTAGGGCATTCCCAAGTCAAGGGCCTGTAAAGTGAACTATTTTTAGTATACGGGTTATGAAAAGTGAAGCACAGTTGAAGTGCAGAGAAATTATTATATCAAACATGTCAGAGAAAGATAGCAATCAATTCAATTACATCCATATTATGCTTTTACGTTTCAGCTTGTAAAATTAGGCATTAAGCAGAGATGACCCACATTCACCGAGAGTTCATCGATAGTGACACATCTCGCCGTTTTCCATATCTCACATAACTGGCTGCGATGCGTCATGTGAAGGCAATGACTCAAATCTCTGTAGGAAGTAGTTCAAGTCAGAAATGGTTTCAAGTCACAGCGCGCTTCCACTCTGGGAGGGGAAACCATCAAAGAGGTTGTCCGTCATTTTCGTGTGCATCAAACGCGCGAGAGAAGGCCTCAGGATTGAACGTGAACAGCAGAGGATCTGATCTCCAGACGATGTGGGATGACACTTTTTCAAGGGCAGACATCCGCACAGGAGGGCACATTAGTCTTGTGTTAATATTGACAGGAGGAAACAAGAAATGAGAGGTCAAGATGGGAGGCGAAAGAGTGGGGGAGGGTCTGGATGCTTGGACGTCCCGACTGAAAAATTAATGGAAGAGAGAGGACAGAAACGAAAAGAATAAAGAGGCAGAGTAGGACATGGATTTAATTTGTCAGTGCCGTGAAAATACATCTTCACACGTTATTTTTTTGCTCAGTTTAGTCGCACAGTTTCGTGGACAGCAGCAATCTCCAGTTTGAAGACGCATCGTCTTTTCTCCGTCCCCTCGATCAGCTCAGTCTGCAGTAAACAGGGAGGACAGGACGCTCACATCTACGGAGCGCGCTCATCACTCT